AAAATGTGTAGAATTGCAACAAACTTGCTTTAAAACTGCAACATTTACTCTATGCCCATGGCAAAATGTGTAGAATTGCAGGAAATGGACTCTAAAATGTACAAAAATATCTCTGCTGTCAACAAATATTTTCTCTCCCTCCAAAGTTTTTTCGCTTAGGGCGCCCAAAAGGCTAGGGCTGGCTCTGACTGTATGTTTGGGTACTTTTTGTGGCCCCCACCCCATCAAAGTTGCCCATCCCTGCCCTAGATAGTGCCCTGGTCAATAGGGGCCCCTATGGGCCCTGGTCAATAGAAGTGGGCTATGTAGGGAATAGGGTGCCATTTGGGACTCAGACCGTGTATCTGCTGCTAGCCTAGCTAGAACTGTCTTTGGTGCCAACTCAATAAACAACATAAAGTAGTATCTGGTGCTAGCTACTTGAACAGCATGCTGTACTAATTCAATAAACAGTTTGGCTCATCAGAATTCTTCTTAACACCGTACGTAGCAGTAGTTCCCAGAGAGAGTGAATGAAAATAGGAGAATTTAAAAAGTGTTAGGATGGGTTGAATAAAGGGTCTTTCATTCACAATGTCACATTTATTAGCACGTCTTTAATAATAGATCAGTTATTAATGCGCTATTAATGAGATATTATGTGTTGGTCCAGAATGTAAAAGTATTTGGGGCAACATCTTAGCTTGACTCCTGAATCTAGGTCTCCTGGCTATATCTAGGATGTAATCCATATTTAGAAGTTGTGTTACTTCTCCTCAGTCACTTACTCATAGGAGGTAAACTAACAACACAATGCATGACCATGATCATGACTGTCCTGCTGCACCAAACCTGATCATGGTGAACACATACACACAGTATCAATCATAAGCTATCACGGTGCTGTCAGGTTCACAGTTTTCAAGACGAAGTTACTCTGAACATATAGGGTCGGTTTCCTGGACACAGATTAAGTCTTGGACTACAAAGCATGCTCAATGGTGAATCTTCATTGAAAGTGCTTTTTAGTCCAGGGGTATATTTGTCCGGAAAACCAGACCATATGTGACACAGACAGAAACCTGAATGTGGCCGAGTGCTATAGAGTGTATAGCACAGCAACCAGTAGAGTATATAGAACAGATCCCTAGACACACAGCGAGGAGTCTGAGGACACTGCAAAGTAAAACTACAGGACAGTAAAGTACAGATGGGATGTAAAAATAACCTGTCACTAATATGCGGCATGTCAGCAAATACAGTATAAGGGTCAAGGTTTCACTTCCAAAGAATAAAGAACTATATTAATAAGCAACAACAAAATACAATGTGTGGCAAAAAAATCATTTCAAATTTGGGAATTGATTACATGACAGGGATAACAACTGTAAAACAGCACACCCTTAAAGAGAGGAGAAGGAAAGTATTCAGACCCCTTGACTTTTTCCACATTTTGTTACGTTACAGCCTTATTCCAAAATGGATTAAATCGTTTTTTCCCCTAATCAATCTACACACAATACCCCAAAAAACAGGTTTTTAGACATTTTTGCAAATTTACATAAAACATATATACATATATATATATATCTCATTTACATAAGTATTCAGACCCTTTACTCAGTACTTTATTGAAGCACCTTTGGCAGCGATTACAGTCTTGAGTCTTCTTGGGTATGACGCTACAAGCTTGGCACACCTGTATTTGGGGAGTTTCTCCCATTCTTCTCTGCAGATCCTCTCAAGCTCTGTCAGGTTGGATGGGGAGCGTCGCTGCACAGCTATTTTCAATCAATCAATCAATCAATTTTATTTTATATAGCCCTTCTTACATCAGCTAATATCTCGAAGTGCTGTACAGAAACCCAGCCTAAAACCCCAAACAGCTAGTAATGCAGGTGTAGAAGCACGGTGGCTAGGAAAAAACTCCTAGAAAGGCAAAACCTAGGAAGAAACCTAGAGAGGAACCAGGCTATGAGGGGTGGCCAGTCCTCTTCTGGCTGTGCCGGGTGGAGATTATACAGAACCATGCCAAGATGTTCAAAAATGTTCATAAGTGACAAGCATGGTCAAATAATAATCAGGAATAAATCTCAGTTGGCTTTTCATAGCCGATCATTAGAGTTTAAAACAGCAGGTCTGGGACAGGTAGGGGTTCCATAACCGCAGGCAGAACAGTTTAAACTGGAATAGCAGCAAGGCCAGGCGGACTGGGGACAGCAAGGAGTCACACGGCCGGTAGTCCCGACGTATGGTCCTAGGGCTCAGGTCTCTCAGTTGGCTTTTCATAGCCGATCATTTAGAGTTGAAAACAGCAGGTCTGGGACAGGTAGGGGTTTCGTAGCCGCAGGCAGAACAGTTGAAACTGGAATAGCAGCAAGGCCAGGCGGACTGGGGACAGCAAGGTGTCATCATGCCCGGTAGTCCTGACGTATGGTCCTAGGGCTCAGGTTCTCAGAGAGAAAGAGAGAACGAGAGAATTAGAGAGAGCATACTTAAATTCACACAGGACACTGGATAAGACAGGAGAAGTACTCCAGGTATAACCAACTAACCCCAGCCCCCCGACACAAACTACTGCAGCATAAATACTGGAGGCTGAGACAGGAGCGGTCCGGAGACACTGTGGCCCCATCCGAAGAAACCCCCGGACAGGGCCAAACAGGAAGGATATAACCCCACCCACTCCGCCAAAGCACAGCCCCCGCACCACTAGAGGGATATCCCCAACCACCAACTTACAATCCTGAGACAAGGCCGAGTATAGCCCACAGAGGTCTCTCATTTTCAGCTCTCTCAAGAGATGTTAGATCGGGATCAAGTCTGGGCTCTGGCTGGGCCACTCAAGGACATTCAGAGACTTGTCCCGAAGCCACTCCTGCGTTGTCTTGGCTGTGTGCTTAGGGTCGTTGTCCTGTTGGAAGGTGAACCTTCGCCCCAGTCTGAGGTCCTGAGCACTCTGGAGCAGGTTTTCATCAAGGATCTCTCTGTACTTTGCTCAGTTCATCTTTCCCTCGATCCTGACCAGTCTCCCAGTCCCTGCTGCTGAAAAACATCCACCTTCACTGTAGGGATGGTGCCAGGTTTCCTCCAGACGTGACGCTTGGCATTCAGGCCATAGAGTTCAATCTTGGTTTCATCAGACCAGAGAATGTTGTTTCTCATGGTCTGAGTCCTTTAGGTGCCTTTTGGCAAACTCCAAAAGGAGCTGTCATGTGCCTTTTTCTGAGGAGTGGCTTCCATCTGGCCACTCTACCATAAAGCCTGATTGGCGGAGTGCTGCAGAGATGGTTTTCCTTCTGGAAGGTCCTCCCATCTCCACAGAGGAACTCTGGAGCTCTATCAAAGTGACCATCGGGTTCTTGGTCACCTTCCTGATGAAGGCCCTTCCCCCTTGATTGCTCAGTTTGGCCGGGCGGCCAGCTCTAGGAAGAGTCTAGGTGATTCCAAACTTCTTCCATTTAAGAATCATGGCCACTGTGTTCTTGGGGAACTTCAATGCTGCAGAATTTTTTTGGTACCCTTCCCCAGATCTGTGCCTCGACACAATCCTGTCTCTGAACTCTACGGACAATTTCTTCACCTAATGGCTTGGTTTTTGCTCTGACATGCACTGTTAACTGTGGGACCTTATATAGACAGATGTGTGCCTTTCCAAATCATGTCCAATCAATTGAATTTACCACTGGTGGACTCCAATCAAGCTGTAGAAACATTTCAAGGATGATTAATGGAAACAGGATGCACCTGAGCTAAATTTCGAGTCTCATAGCAAAGGGTCTGAATACTTATGTAAATAATGTATTACTGTTTTTTATTTTTAATACATTTGCAAAAAAATTGAAAACCCTTTTTTCGCTTTGTCATTATGGGGTATTGTGTGTAGATTGATGAGGATTTTTATTTATTTAATCCATTTTAGAATAAGGCTGTAACGTAACAAAATGTGGAAAAAGTCAAGGGGTCTGAATACCTTTCAAATGCACCGAGTGTTCTAAAAATTAAGGACACCTGCTCTTTCCATGACATAGACTGCCCAGGTGAATCCAGGTGATGTCACTTGTGAATCCTTTATTGATGTCACTTGTTAAATCCACTTCAATCAGTGTAGATGCAGGGGAGAAGACAGGTTAAATAAGGATTATTAAGCGTTGGGACAATTGAGACATGGATTATGTATGTATGCCATTCAGAGGGTGAATGGGCAAGACAAAATATTTAAGTGCCTTTCAACGTGGTATGGTTGTAAGTGCCAGGCACACCGGTTTGTGTCAAGAACTGCAACGCTGCTGAGGTTTTCACGCTCAACAGTTTCCCGTGTATATCAAGAATGGTCCACCACCCAAAGGACATCCAGCCAACTTGACTCAACTGTGGGAAGCATTGGAGTCAACATGGGCCAGAATCCCTGTGGAACGCTTTCAGTCCATGCCCCGACATGGTTAAAACTATAATCTCATGGATGGTCAGTCCTTGCAACCAGAGCTCTGTCTGTGAATTTGAAAGTGGTTACATTTCTAACCCCACTTCCCTTGCTTAGCTGTTTATAAAAACAGTGGTGGGGTGCCCGCCTTGTTGTGGTTTGAACTGCAGATTGCTCCTTTAAACACACGTTCTCCATCTAGAGACTGTGACTGAGACGGGTCCTCTACACTGAATATAGCACACTCCAATATAGAACACATCTCCGGAGGGTGCAGCACTAGCACTAGCATTATGTTGCATTCTCAGATATTTCTTCAAGAAAGCATGCCAGAAAATGGGTCATGCTGAAAGTTATTTCCTCTATCTACAATAGTGTGGCTGCTATAGTTCACTGAATGAGTGTTTGACAATAATATTGTCTTAGAGATCTCCTCTATCTGGTGAGGGAGTAGGAAATAATGATATCGAAGTGTTTCACAAGGATAAAATTTAATTAAAAAAAGTTGTCAGTCAGTCTTATAAAAGCTAACATAGTTTCGCTTTTATGTTAGTCAGACAGCAAGATTATGTAACCCGTGTGAGCAGGTCTTCACCATATAAAGGGAGTGTCACAGCCATAGAATTAATATTCTATTCATTATATTTCTGTAATCATAGCCAGTGTTCTCACAGCAAGCTGCTGTAGCTCAGGAGACTATGTAGCAGTCTGTGAATTCCTTCTAGTCGGTTTATTTGCCTGCTGATTGGATCAGTGGATTACCAGAGGATATGAGCTCAATCATCTCCATAGAGGTGTTTATTACAAACCCCACACATAGATACCCATGTACTGCTGATGGAATGTGTTGAAATCATATGTGAGGGTGTGAAATGAGAATGATATAAACTGACATGCCTGACAACCAGTGGGCAATGCTGGTTGAAATTACATATTTATGTACAAGTATGAGTTTACCCAGCTGTCCTTCCCTGTTCAAGTCCCTCTATCCCTCTGTCCCCTGAGTCCATTGTCTCCATGGTGGTACTAGCAGCATTGAAATGTTTCCTTGGACTGTCTCATGTTGATCCTGTCATTTTTGTTGTCTCTGCTGGATAGCCCTCTGTCAATCCGCAGCATGTTCTCCACTAGGAAGGCTCCTGCCTCGTCAACATTGAGATTGTCCTGAAAGTCAGACACAGGGGAACATGGTACAAGGAACACTTTTTAAATTCCTTCTGAGGTTATTTAAGAATGGTGAAATGCAACCCCTTTTGGTCACAGTCAGAGTCAATATCAGGTTTGTAGCAGTTTTTCATTCAATTACAACAGAGTCATTCCACCTCAAAAAGCACAACAAAAGGATTTTGAAACCCACCATCTCAGATTGTTCTGAAATCTTTTCTATACTTGGAAACTGATAAGATTGAAATATAATTTGATCTCTGAGAAATTAAGATAATTGATTTCACCCAAACTGGCCATTTTAATTTATAGGATTCATATAATCTTCAATAAATATAGTGCCTAACATCCGATTTGGACCATAATTCTTACTAACAATGAGTAAAACATGAGGAATCCAATGAAATTATGAAAAGCCACCCAGTACACAATATTGGTTCTCTATGTTTGACAAGTAGTATGGAGCTACTGCTTGGAGTATTGCTTCTTCATCCTTTGTAATTTATTGCCTGTGAATCTGGTGATGTTTTTTCCCCCCTGTTCTGAGAAATTAGCCGTTGAAGTCACTTGCATTATATAGTGTGAAAGTACAACGTTTTGCCCACTAGATGCCACTGTTCCTGCTACTGTCACCAAACACTTTTGTCCATTTTGCTGGTCTCGTGTTTTTTTAAATGGACCACAACATTTTCTTTGCAACTTTGGGTAGAAAACCGTTAGCTTTTGCTCATGATGAAAATAGATTGTATGGTCAACCTCACAATTCAAGTCAGTCTTCCATGAAAGCAATTTAGTTTGTCCTTCTCGGCTTAATTTGTGTCCAGGAAACGGCCCCTCTGTGTGTGGTTTATTCCCTTCAAAAAAGGGCCGTATTAGTTGATGTTCGACCATTCCTGGTGAACAAGCAAAATATTAGGCTACAGCAGTTCTACTGGTTTCAATGTTATGGTCTCTAATGGTCTTCAATGGTTAAATGTCCCAAACACACACTGTACAGTTTTTGCAATGGTAATGGTATTGGGTTGGGTTTAATGGTAAATGTCACTAATCACACTACAATATCATTTTATTGAAAAACATATGACTGCAATGGGCGGCAGGTAGCCTAGTGGTTGAGAGCGTTGGGCAAGTAACCCGAAATGGCGCTGGTTCTAGTCCGAGAGCCAGCAAGGTGGAAAAATCTGCTGTTCTGCCCTTGAGCAAGGCAGTTAACCCCCAACAACAACTGCTCCCCGGGCGCCGATGACACACCTCTTTGATTCAGAGTGTTTGGGTTAAATGCGGAAGACACATTTCGGTTGAATGCATTCAGTTGTGTAACTGACTAGGTATCCCTTTCCCAATGGTTTATAATTTTATTATTGTCACAACATTTTAGTCACTAGCCCATTTCTCCATGAACATTTTGGGCTTGTAGGAAAAGTCTTCATATGAGAATTGCAACATACAGCCCTCAGAGAGCTGCCATTTGTTGGACTATTCAAGGAGAGTTAGGTTTAAGTATTAGGTTGCTAAGAGAAGGACAAACTGAATTGCTTTCATGGAGGACTGGCTTGACCACACAATTGACCACACAATTTATTTTCATCATGAGCAAACACTATTGGCTTTTCTACCCAAAGTTGCAAAGAAACTGTTGTGACTCATTTAATAAAACAGCAAAATTGATAAAAGGGTGTGGTGGCAGTAGCAGGAACAGTGGCATCTAGTGGGCAAAACCTGATACTTTCACATTAATTTATAGTAAATTATACAAGTGACTTCAATGTCTAATTTCTCTAAACAGAGGGAAAAAGCCATCACCAGACTCACAGGGAATACATTACAAATGGTGAAGAAGCAATACTCCAAGCCACAGCTCCATACTACTTGTCAAACATAGAGAACTGATGCTGTATACTGGTTGTTGGGGTGGGATTGGCGTGGGGTGTGGGGGGTCCGTGGGTGGCTTTTGACAATTTTATTGGATTCCTCATGTCTTACTCAATGGTAGAAAGAAGTCTGGTCCAAATCGGCTGTTAGGTACTATATTTGTTAAATATTATGTGAATCCTATAAATTAAAAGGGCCGATTTGGGTGCAATCAATTAGATTAATTTCTCATAGATCAAATTCAATTTTAACAAAATAATGTTTCAGGAATGTAAAAATCGTATCTGTTTTTGTAACTACAGAAACGATTTCACAACAATCTGAGATGGTGGGTGTAATGAAATGGAATGACCCAATATCCATTAGTCCCCAAACTCTATATGAGGGTGAACAGAGCTTTTACTAACAGATGAGTGAGGGCAAATGGTTGTTGTGCTGACAGCCAATGCACTACATAATGTTTGTCTTGCACAATGCACAGCTTCTTTAAACCACATTAAAGCACTGTAACTACTGTATAGCATGAACGTTAAAGTTAATGTTTACACACCTTAAGCCTTTATGAGTACATTGTTACTGTGTTAAAGTCCAAAAATGTACATCACATGACTTCATTCTATGACTGATATCGCTCTGACTCCCTTACCTTTGCTGATGTCTCAAACCAACCCAGGAAGCCTTTCTCTTTACAGTAGTTGTCCATGAGGGCAGACAGCTCCTTGTTTCCCTCTGTCAGGTCACACTTGTTGGCTAACAGGACAGCAGGGATAGGGCTTCCACTGGCCAGTCTCACTTTGCTATCTAGGTCATGCTTCCACTGTGAGGCAGCCTCTAACGTCTCCATCTTGGTCATGTCAAAGACCACAAACGCCCCCATGGCCTCCTTGTAGTATAGTCTGGTCATGTTCCTAATCCTCTCCTGACCTTCAGGAAATAGAGAAAAACATAGTGTGTCCCTATGGGCCCTGGCCAAAAGTAGTGCACTAGAAAGGGAATAGGGTGCCATTTGGGGCACAGCCATACAGTTGTCATCTGCTTTGCTTTCTTAAATCCTCCTTAACTTTGAATGGAAAGCTGTTCACTTACATAAATGTTAATCTGGCTGTGGAAAATGTACAACTTGGAAAGCAAAATGTTGTCTACAATCCATGGAGATAACCTAGCAAGGAGAAAGCTGTAACCCCAGACCCAATAACAAAAGCAGAGAAACACAGAACTGTGACTGTCATCATATTGTCAACCCCACTCCACAATGAAATATATCACTGAAACACAGATCATCAGGATCTAATTTCAGTCCACTTTTTTGACGCCCAATTCTACACTTCTCTATATAGGAATATTGAAATTGTTATTGTTAATAGAGTAAACTTTTCTTTAGCTTTATTGAGTTAGTTGCATAATCTTATTTCTATTTCTAGGCTTTATAGTTTTATGAGTGAGAAAAACATGATTGTGCTAGCTGAAAACATCTGTCCATCCATAGTAAATTGGAAGCCCTCTCTTTATTGTTTCACGTGTTTGTGTGTCTGTGTGCTCAACATATTCGGTTTACCTGCGATGTCCCAAAGCTGAAGTCTCACCACTGTTTTATTGTCCCATTCGATCGTTTTCAACGCGAAGTCAACTCCAATCGATGCCTTGTACTCCTCCTTGAAGCGCATGTTAACGTACCTCGTGATAAAGCTGGTTTTTCCAGCACCTCTCTCTCCAATTACCAAAACTTTAAACAAACACTCTGTGCATACCGATACTGAACCCCCCGCCATGATAAAATATCAACAGCAACATCAGCTTTGTTGTAGGCTAGCGATATAGACCAGAGAGTGGTAGGCTTCACTTTCTTTTTGCTGCAGGTGACCAAGGTACAGACAGTCACCATGAATGAATGACTCAGTACACGTGCAAAAAAAAAAAAGATTTTATTCATTCTAACAAAACATATATCTTTCATAATGTGAACGACAAAGACTGTTTGCACTACTGTGTTTGATACATGTTTAAAACAGAAAACATTATTAGACTCTATGAAGGCATATCAATCAAATAGCCTATTCATAATACTATCAATTGTTTATTACATTATATATAGTGAGATCATAACAATTGGTAAAAGTAAGAATTATACTGTACAACCCCAACAGTAACTATAAGCAACACACTTAGAAATTGTAAAATAAACGTAGTAATTCCTTTTAGTAAAACTAATCTGAATCATTACCAAAATAGGATGCATACTACTTACTGTACATTCACAAAAGTAACAAATTACATTTTTGGCAGTCATATTATAATAGACACTGTTGCAAGTATGGATATAGAGGGCTGTTTATAAAATATACAAACTTTCAATAGAAATTAGAGACATTTTAAAATGTTTTTCTATAAATGGAAGCATACCGGATACATTGCACTTGAATCCATCTGGTTTTGTTTGCTACATTCTTACAGTAGTTAGTTATTGTATCTGTATAATATATTCATTCTGAAGTTATCTGATGAAGAAAGTGACTGTGACAATCTCTGTGCTTTTTTCTGAATATAATACATACTTGCTTTGAGCAAAACAACAAAACACATTCATCTAGAATATTTTACATTGTAAGGTTATAATTGTATTAGAAAACATGGGACTACACAGTGCATACATTATTTCTAGACATGTCTGTGAACTACAGGTTGGATAGTCTAGTATTATAATTGATAAACTATCTACTTTCAAGTGGTGGAAGTTTGCCTTAATGAAAACAAGCGACAAACACAATCATTATTGTAATACCTGATGATGGTCAAATTTACACTGCATTGTACCCTTAATAACTGCTACTTATATGACTTCAATAAGCTACATGAAGGAAACTATCTTAGCTTTTTGCTTTCCTAATAAGACACTGAGCAAGTTCAAAGCTTTTCATCTCTTGCATAAACATGGAAATACATTTAGCAACGGGTTAAATCCTTTCTCCATTATATTTATTATACAACAATAAGACCTTTTTAAAAGTGTGTCCTGTGCTTTTTTGCTCACTTTCATCCCTGTAAACACAAACACCTTTGCTCGTAGATTTCATGAGTCAACCCATATAGTCCAGTCAATAACTCAATAACTTATTCAATACATTTTAGTCATTTCTTACTGGTCATTAAATGGAACGTGAACAATATGCTACAAGTCATCAGCTACAAAATGACTCTATATTATTCTACATTTTAGTCATTTAGCAGACGCTCTTATCCAGAGCGACTTACAGTTAGTGAGTGCATACATTTTTATTTTTTTCATACTGGTCCCCCGTGGGAATCGAACCCACAACCCTGGCGTTGCAAGCGCCATGCTCTACCAACTGAGCTACAGTACTCGTTCACAGCGTTGAGGAGCTTTGTTTGTAGTCCTTCAGAATGACGGAGGCGTAGTTTGGAGGGGTGCATAATATGGACTCAGACACGGGTGAGGCGTTATGAAAGGGACTCCCCATGCTCGCTGTATCACGGAATGGGGAGGGGGGCATCAGGGCCATAGAATCCTCCATGGCTAATTTGATCTGAACGAGGTCGTCGTCCTCTTCTTCGTGAATCAGGGCGTTGTCATACATGTATCCATGGAGGAGGCCAAACTGCTCATTCTCCACCTCTACCTCCTCCTCAATCTCCTCCTCCTCCTCCTCCTCCTCCTCCTCTTCCTCCATCTCCAGGTGGGAGGTGGGTTCCTCGTCGTCGAAGGGGCCAAGGTCTAGTTGCAGGGGCAGGACTGCATGCTGCTGGATGAGATGAGCCTGGTGGTACACAGGCCTGCCATGACTGTTCCCAGACCTGCCCCCAAAACCATCACCACCACCCACAGGGCCGGGTAGACTAATCATGTCCATATCATTGAGCTCAGGGATGATGAAATCACTGTTGTACTTGCCCACCACCTCCTGTAGCTGTAGGTGGTCCATGTTGACACTCTGCTGGGGGATCACTCTGCTCTGTGGCAGGTGCAGGGGCATGTGCTCAATGGGGGGGTAATATTCAACCACCTCCTCGTCCACCTCTTTAATCGGCCCACCGGTGGAGGGCATTATCTGCCCGTGGGCCATCATGTGTGGACTAAGGGGAGGATTGTATCGGACTAGGTCGCTCTCGTCCTCCTCAGCTACATTGTACAGAGTCTTGGTGCTGAGGTCAGAGAACTCCATGGCCATGCTGCTGCCTGTGTTATGGTAGGTGTTAGTTAAGGGTCTGATGACGGCCATCTGATTGGAGCATCCTGCTTCCTGTCTCTTCACGTGCACAGACAGTCTGTGCCAATTGTGCTCCCCTTTTGGAGGATGATGTCTTGCACCTGGTTCAGACCATGACACAGACTTTCCATTAGAACTATGAACAGAATAAAGATGGCTGTTAGCTATTTCATAGGAACTCAGAAAGGTGGAGACAACAACTGTGTTTCTGGTTCATGTAATAAAAAATAATAAAGGAAAGTTAAAATCTCTAACAGATCAATTACAATTCTATGTTGATGGTGACTTTACAAAATGCATCTTCTTGGTTTGAATTACTGAAGATTGTATATATTTATTTATATATTCAGATGAATGTACTATACATCCTAATGCTGTGGTACAGTGTATCCTGATAGTGATCCTTCAGTACTCATGGGTATGCTGGTTTTAATTATATTCAGCAACAGATCAAAGGTGCTTGTTAATTGAACATTGACCTGGATCTGGCATATTATCCTCTAACACTCTCTCTGTGTCCCAAATGGCACCATATTCTATACATAGTGCACTACTTTTGGGCCCTGGTCAAAAGTAGAGAACTAGTCTATATAGGGAATAGGGTGCCATTTGGTACACAGACTCTGCCCTCTGAGTGTGAATTACTTGTAAAGCAAAATCAGCATCCCAGTGGTACCTCAGGAGCACGGCCCATATTCACAAAACGTCTCAGAGTAGGAGTGCTGATCTTGGATTAGGTCCCCCCTTTCCATCTTGTCTTATTCATTATGCTCTAAAAGGCTAAACTTATTCTATGTCAGCACTCCGACTCTGAGACTCTTTGAATACAGGCCCAGGACTGATAAGACTAATTTCCATCAACTTACTTCTCAGAGTTCTTCTTCCGTTTGAACATGTTGAGCAGGCTGTTGCTCCGGCAAGCGATCTTGCCGTCGCCGACGTGCATGCGCACTACATCTGAGGTGGTGAACGCGCTGCGTACATTCCGCTCCGGCTTGGCGAGGATGATGTAGATCTTGGGCGAGAACATACAGCCCAACGCCACAGTAACACTCAGGCTCACTGAGAACGATGTGGTGATGATCTTATAGTTGGAGCCAAAGTAGATGGGCACAAACGCCAGCCAGATGATACATGTTGTATACATAGTGAAGGCAATGTACTTGGCCTCATTGAAGTTAGCTGGAACGTTGCGCGTCTTGAAGGCGTAGTAGGTACAGCTCATGATCAGCAGGCCGTTGTAGCCCAGTGGCGCCACCATGCCCACCGTGCTGGTGTTGCAGATCAGGAAGACCTCCCTGATGCTGGGGTAGGACTTGACGGGCATAGGTGGCTCCAGGATGATCAGAGTAACCTCCAGGGTGAGCTGGACACTGACTAGGAGGCCGGCGATCACCAGCTGATTATACAAAATAAGAAGAACACACAGGTTTTATATGCCACTTTTCGAGGACCCAAAGACATACTAAAGACAAAACAATAGGTGCGTCTGAAATTGGCATCTTATTCCTTATAGTGCACTACTTTTGACCAGAGCACTATGCAGGCCCTGGTCAAAAGTAGTGCACTATATAGGGAATAGGGTGCCATTTGGGAGGCATCCAATGTCAAAACCAAACAGATGAAAACAAGAACAAAGAGTAAGGAATACGTCTATATAATCACCTGGGCCCAGGCGCTCATAAACCGCGGCTTCCTGGTGCAGATCTTCTTCTTGCTGCCAGCCAGGATGCGTGCAATGCGGTTGGTCTTGGTGACTAACGCTGAGTAGCACATGGCGGCTGAGAGGCCCACCAGGAGGCGCTGCAGGTAGCAGGAGGCCACGGTGGGTCGGGCGATCAGGGTGAAGGGGCAGATGTAGCCCAGAAAGATCCCGGCCAGGATGATGTAGCAGAGCTCGCGGCTGGAGGACTTGACCACGGGCGTGTCTCGGTACAGGACGAAGATGAAGGTGACAAAGGAGGTGACCAGGATGCCCAGGCAGGCAAACACCACCTGGACGATGGACTCTGGATTCCCCCACTCCAGGTACCGCAAGGTGATGGGCTCGCAACCTGGGGAGAAGACACAGATAAAGAGAATAAGTGTGAGACCTTTCTCTGAAGATATTTCATTTGAAACAAAGCACAAAGGCTCTTACTGTATGTAATAGGCTAACTGATTGATGGATTGATTGATTTAACCTAGGTCCCAGACAGTGTATGTCTGACTTCACACTTCTTCATTCCATATTGACGAAACTACCCAAAATCACAAAGGATGAAATAAACAAATAGTGGGTAAAAAATGTCATTCTGCACAGTTGAATATTATGAATTAAATATGGGTAGCCTATTGCATATTTGTTTCTTCAAATCGACCATCTGAGAGCCTGTGTGACCGCTGCCTCCAGTTGGAAAACACACCAAGTATTAAAGTAGGTTTTCAGCTCAACTATAAATAAACCCCTTCTCTACTTAAGGAGGGCCAGTGCACAACACAGCTAGCCATGGGGAGGGGAGGGAGAGGCAGGCTGGAGTACAAAGCATAGCCATTGGAGGCGAGGGAGAACGACAGGACTGCTGCAGGAGTCAGTAAATCACTGCAGCATACCACTGGTCCAAGCATCCAACTTAACCACAGTATACATCCACTGACACACCTAACTAATGCCAAATATTTCACTGACCAATTTTATATTAAAGGCATACTTCGGGATTTTGGCAATGAGGCCCTTTTTCCTTTTCCCCAGAGTCAGATGAACTTGTAGATACCAGTTGTATGTCTTTGTGTCCAGTATGAAGGAAGTTAGAGGTAGTTTCCTGAGCCAATGCTAACTAGCGTTAGCACAATGACTGGAAGTCTATGGGTATCTACTAGCATTGGCTCGCAAAACTACCTCTAACTTCCTTCATACTGGACTCGGAGACATACAAATGGTATCCACTAGTTCATCTGACTCTGGGGAAGTAGATAAAGGGCCTCATTGCCAAAATCGTGAAGTATCCCTTTAACGTCAAACTGCAAAAACTAAATAATCACATAAGGTCATTAAGTAGTGTGTGTTATGGTTGTTAAAATAATTGCTATCTAAACAAAATGTTCACTTTCACACAGTTGATGACAATTATTTTTTGGTCAGTATTGTTGTTTCATGTCTAATGTCTCTGACGTGAAAGGTAGACATTTCAATTAATTTAAAGGAGAGCATCTTGTCTGTGAAGAGCTTGAAAGCCATAAGCAGTAGCAGTAAGAAAAGTAGGGATGTCTGATACATGTTGAATATGATTCATGGTTCTCCTAGTCATGGGAGCACCTTTGAAAATAGGACAGCAGTACAGGCCAGGTGGGTGAAATAGTGCTGTTACCAATAATCATGGATGAATAAACTCAGTTGAGCTCAAATTAAGTGTTGTGCTGTGAAGGCTTTGAGGAACTGAACTTCAAAATAAGACTGTAGTACCTCTGGGGGGATGGTGACTCCCCTGTGAATAAGATATCTGCTCTGATCTCCTATTAAAGGGATACTTAAAGGGATGGTGATTTCTTCAAAATGTGAGATGAACTCGTGGATAGCATTTTTATGTCTCTGCGTTGGAAGGAAGTTAACTAGCGCTAGCGCAATTGCTAACTAGCGTTAGCACAATGACCAGATACCCATAGACTTCCAGTCAGATACCCATAGACTTCCAGTCATTGCGCTAAAGCTAGTTAGCAATTGCGGTAGCGCTAGTTAGCAACTTCCTTCAAACTGCACGCAGAGATATAAAAATGTTCATCTGATTCTGGGAAAGTAGATAGAGGGCCTTATTGCCAAAATCCCGAAGTATCCCTTTAGCATTATGCAGCTGAACAGAAAGGCAGAGTGCATCACATGAGCAAGGAAGTACATTTAAATATTCACTCCAAATTGACAATATACTTTAGGCCTACTGTAATGTCATTTAATACTATACATGGACGTAATAGTATAAGATAACATATGGTAAAAAATCCTCTGATATACTGTAACCAGGTGTACAGTGCATTCTGAAAGTATTCAGACCCCTTTACTTTTTTCCACATTTTGTTACCTTACAGCCTTATTCTAAAAGGGATCAAATAGTTTTTTACCCTCATCAATATACACACAATACCCCATAATGACAAAGCAAAAACAGTTTTTTATAAATATTTGCAAATGTATTACAAATAAAAAACTGAAATATCACATTTAAATACATATTCGGACCCTTTACTTAGTACTTTGTCGAAGCACCTTTGGCAGCGATTACAGCCTTGAGTCTTCTTAGGTATGACGCTACAAGCTTGGCACACCTGTATTTAGGGACTTTCTCCCATTCTTCTCTGCAGATCCTCTCAAGCTCTGTCTGGTTGGAATGGGAGTGTCGCTGCACAGCTATTTTCAGGTCTCTCCAGAGATGTTAGATCGGGTTCAAGTCTGAGCTCTGGCTGGTCCACTCAAGGACATTCAGAGACTTGTCCCAAAGCCACTCCTGCGTTGTCTTGGCTGTGTGCTTAGGGTCGTTTGGAGCAGGTTTTCATCAAGGATCTCTCTGTACTATGCTCCATTAATCTTTCCCTCGATCCTGACTAGTCTCCAAGTCCCTGCCGCTGAAAAACATCCCCACAGCATGATGCTGCCACCACCATGCTTCACTGTAGGGATGGTGCCATGTTTCCTCCAGACGTGACGCTTGGCATTCAGGCCAAAGAGTTCAATCTTGGTTTCATTAGACCAGAGAATCTTGTTTCTCATGGTCTGAGAGTCCTTTAGGTGCCTTTTGGCAAACTCCAAGTGGACTGTCATGTGCCTTTTATTGACCACTCCGGTCTGGCCACTTCCGTCTGGCCTGATTGGTGGAGTGCTCCAGAGATGGTTGTCCTTCTGGAAGGTTCTCCCATCACCACAGAGGAACTCTGGAGCTCTGTCAGAGTGACCATCAGGTTCTTGGTCACCTCCCTGAACAAGGCCCTTCTCCCCCGATTGCTCAGCTTGGCCGGGCGGACAACTCTAGGAAGAGTCTTGGTGGTTACAAACTTCTTCCATTTAAGAATGATGGAGGCCACTGTGTTCTTGGGGACCTTTAATGTTGCAGAAATGTTTTGGTACCCTTCCCCAGATCTGTGCCTCGACATAATCCTGTCTCAGAGCTCTACGGACAATTCCTTGGACCTCATGGCTTGGTTTTGCTCTGACATGCACTGTCAACTGTGTGACCTTATATAGACATGTGTGCCTTTCCAAATCATGTCCAATCAATTGAATTGATCACAGGTGGACTCCAATCAAGTTGTAGAAACCATCTCAAGGATGATCAATGAAACAGGATGCTCCTGAGCTCAATTTCGAGTTTCATAGCAAACGGTCTGAATACTTATGTAAATAAGGTATTTCTGTTTTTTATTTTTAATAAATTAGCAACATTTTCTAAAAACCTATTTTCGCTTTGTCATTAGGGGGTATTTTTTGTAGATTGATGAGAAAAACATATTTAATACATTTTAGAATAAGGCTGTAACATAACAAAATGTGGAAACAGTCAAGGGGTCTGAATACTTTCCGAATGCACTGTATTTTGGCCTTCATTAGCTTTGTGTATATGTTGCTGTAGGCACCTCTACAAAGACAAAAAAAAATCTAAAAACAAACAGCATACACTCCTACAAAACCTAACAACTTGATGGTACTGTTTTGTACCAATTTATGCACAATTCTGTAGATATGAAAGAGGGAAGGGAATGGTACCTTCCAGTTCGGGGTCCGGCCACCAGCCTAGGTCGCAAGCCTTACAGGTGAACTCATCCTGAACAATCTCGTTGTCTTTACAGGCTGTACAGATCCAGCAGCAGCTCACCTCTCCCTTCCTGATCACCTGTATTGATCAAACACATAGACAGGATGAGATTACACTGTTGGTTGAGTCTCTCTACTCACTCATTTTACCCATACAGCCGGTCACAGTTCTCTCCCTAGTCCCTACTCCTTCCCCTTGGCCTTAACCCTTCATTTGCAGATCTGCAGCATCTGAATAAGTATAATCAGGGTAGAGGTGGAGTGTCCACCATATTGCTTACACCTTACAGATCTGCAAACTGGAAGGTTTTGCAGCTTGCTGATGTGAAAATTGGGTTAACACAAGTTATAGAAAGGGAAGGAGGAGGAGCTTTTACAATGGCATGCAGATTTATTTTAATTTGAAAATCAAGCACCAGTGGGTGTCCTAGTGTTAATGAAAGTCAATGGATAAATAAATAATATTGTTCAGTAGCATCAGACCAGCTGGGACGTTGACCCCCCACCTTGATCTCTCCCTTGGAGCAGGGCTCGCTGCAGACGGAGCGGACCATGTCACTGCGGTTTATCTGCATCATGTAGTCATCAATGCTGAGCTGACCCTCGTGCCACGAACCCACATTGATGTAGTCGAACGCACCAGGCTCCACATACTGTAGGTTCATTATTTCATACCTAAGAGTGAAGGGAAAGTTGCTCTGATGAAGATAGATTGTATCTGATTCAAGTGTACGGAGACTTATTTTCATAGTGAAAGAGAAAGCAACAGATTAAATTATATTCATCATGGGCAGGGGGCTTTGGTATACATAGATATATGAAGGAACTTTTCTTCATTCAAAGTTGACAAGTACATGTATTTGTTATGTTTCAGTAGGATTGGTTGTGATCTTCTGGGCACATCTTCCTAATAATTTGGAAACAGTATTGTCACTGTCAGGGGATTTTTGTTGAGTACAAAGAGTAGATGCTGTACTGGTCGGATTCATACCGCAGTCACCTCACTCAGGAAACCACCGTCTTAACCTTTAGTTTTAGAGGAAATTCCCTCTTGGGCTGAGGGTGACACTGGTTTTATGTCTCATGGCAGGGCTATCTCATCATGAGAGTGTGACTCTAAATCACCTGGGCTACACCTACCTGCCAGGTGTGTCTCCGTTCTCATCAAACCACACATCTTCTCCAGACACCCCAGTGAAGGAGGTCCTCATGAGGAACTCCAACAGCTGGCTTCCATCGATGGGGTCCATGGCCTCACATAGTCCCACATGGCCGGGGCAGAGGTGGCTGTGCATGTCATGCAGACCCTGAGCCATGGCGTATATAGCATTGATGACGAATCCCATCTTACTGTCCTGGACATAGTTGTCCTCTAGACTTTCGTAACCTGCCAAATACAATTAAAACATGAAATTAAGATTAGGGATGCATTGTTTCCTCAAAGTAATAAAAAAAAGAAAGTGCTTCATGTTTCAGTTAAGCATTATACAAGGATTATACACTGCTATGCAATGCAAAGTGCAATAGTTAGTCACAGCTGAATATGAAAGAAACTATTCTATTTTTCTATTATCAAACGTCTTTTGCAGTATAATATACACTGAAATATAACAAAGGAATGATAGGGTGTCCAAAAACACATGGTTATTATTATTCTTGGGTTTTGGGCATCAGAAGGACACACTGTTCTGTTCTTTTCTATGTCTGGGAGCATCAAAGGGCAGGCATCATTATATTATGGCATCAAAGAAATGCGTGTTACCATGGAGCCACCAACTATTTTGTATTCGCAACTCACAATTCAATGAGGTATAAATAATGTGGTAATATTATAATTAATTGACAGAGGAAGAAAATCTATTATTCTCATTTATTCCTTCCTCCCTCGATCCATTTGCATCCTTGTTTGCCAGAAATACAGGTCTCGTGAATACAACTGTTTGATACATTGTGCAGTAGGTTAAAAGAAAGAGACAGTAGAGTAACACTTTGATGATTTACAATTTGAAGAGAACAATATAGAACTAAGTCCAGAGACACCCTATCGATTAACAAGCGTGAAGCAAGCTAGAAGCAATATAAGTAGCACATACTGTAGCAGATCTTGATCTTATACTAATATCACAATATTAAAGGGCAACTCTGCCACTTTTCAACCTCATATTCATTATCTCCAGCACTAAACCAGTGTCTACATAATATGTGAAAACAGCGAGTTTCTATGATCTGTGGTTAAAAAGATAAGAAGAAAGGTCCTGAGAAATGCTTCTCTGTGATATCACAGGGTAGGATTCAAAGTAAGAAAAAACATGATTTTCAAAACCTGCAGCGAGTTTCTAGTCAGAGGGAGGGTATGTTCTTGTTCCCCACATCACCGCGAATCTTGTAGTTTACAAAACGTAGAAATGCGCAGTTTTCACATATGCAGACACTGGTTTGGTGCTGGAGATAATGAATATGAGGTTGAAAAGTGGCCCTTTAATAATAGTATCCGGTACAGAAAGAATCAACTATTTGATTCATATCAATTTGTGAATCAAACGGTTCGGGTACAATGATTGCTCAGGTTTCAGATGTGTTTGTTTGTAGGCAGGTTTAATTTTTTATTTGACCCCCTTTTTCTCCCAAATGTCAATCTTGTCTCATTGCTGCAACTCCCCAACAGGCTCAGGAGGCGTCCTCCAAAACATAACCCACCAAACCGCGCCTCTTAACACCCACCCGCTTAACCCGGAAGCCAGCCGCACCAATGTGTCAGAGTGAGCACATCAACTGACGACCCAGGTCAGCCTGCAGGTGCCCAGCCTGCCACATGGAGTCGCTAGAGCGCGATGAGCCAAGTAAAGCCCACCCGGCCAAGCCCGGATGACACTGGGCCAATTGTGCGCCGCCCTATGGGACTCCCGATTACGGCCGTTTGTGATACAGCCCGGGATTGAACCCGGGTCCGTAGTGATGCCTCTAGCACTGTGATGCAGTGCCTTAGACCGCTGCGCCACTCAGGAGGCCCTGCTTGCTTTTTAAAAAAATTGTTTTTTTGTTTTTTTATGTATCAACTTACTGAGTAATACAAGTACAAACAAACACATCAACAATCGATTGGATAGGGTTGTGGATAGTGACATGAAGAGTGAGAGTTATACACCTTCCTAATATTGAGCCCTCAGAACAGCCTCAATTCGTCAGGGCATGGACTCTACAAGGTGTTGAAAGCGTTCCACAGGGATGCTGTTGACTCCAATGCTTCCCACAGCTGCGTCAAGTTGGCTGGATGTCCTTTGGGAGAGGTCCATTCTAAACCCATGGTGTCTTAACGTATTGGGCCAAGGTCCATATAGGAACATGCAGCATGTGGTTCTACAAGGCAGAGCAGCCAGTTGGCATCTCATCTAATGCTTTCAAATGTTATTGGGCTATGTTTTATACAGCAATCTCAAAACCAGGAGGATGTGAGAATACACAGTGTGTGAGGGAAACCAGCTGTTGTGCTCTCACTGCAATGCATAAAAACACCCCAATAGCTTTATATAGTAGGGGTCAACAGATATACATCGATAGCATTGAATTTCAGGGTTGATATGACTCTGGTTTGGTCTCTATGCAGCTTAGGAAAAACCATCTCAACCACAAAGGGGGATAACTTCCCATCAAACAAATCATAGAGTTTTCTATTGATGATACACTATATCAGTCGACCTCTATGTATATTGCCAGAGTGACGTGCTTGAAGAGTTCATTCAGAAAAATACACACTCACCGTTTTGGAGCTCTTTACAAAGAAACAATAGAAGTGACAGAACAGCAGACTATGACTCTATCTCTGATTATCACAAATGATCAATATCCCTGTTATACATAGTACAGAAAGTAAGAGAAACTTAGTGCTTGATTTTTTAAATGAGGAGGTGGGTATACATTAAAAAAGATAAAACTAGTCTTTGAAAAGGAGATGTAAAAGAGAAACGTAAATTCATGCTAAATATTAAAAAATGTTTTTCCATACTGTTGCATGCATTGTTTAGATTTACGTTTACCTGTAACACATTGTTTAAAAAAAAGAAAACATCACTAATTTTTATAGAATTCATCACTGGATTTGCTAAGCAATGGTAACCAACTCGTAAGTTTAGTTTGAAAACGTATATAACGCAAAAAGAATATAAAAGTGCAAGGTGGGGAAAATAACTTTTTGAAAACATGCTTTTTGAGCATTGTTTCAAGTGATCAATATACTGTAGCTATGGCTAATCAATGAATCTGATTATTCATTTTTTTGTGAGATCCAATGTGCCTTGCTAATTCAATTTACCTAGATCATCTTTGGTTGGCCAGGAGAATGTTTTAGAAATAAAATAAAACAAAAAACAAAACATTATTGTATGGCTAGATGCACAGAAACTATTTATTTGTTCCAGTTTAATGACATTTCTAGCCATTTGAGACAAAAATACAAAAACATTTAAACATCTACAAATCTAAATGTAAATGTATAGTTGAGACAACATCAAGTATACCATATGCTAGTTTACAATGTATGTCAGCAACCCTTCTGAAGAAACCATTATCATTCTCTATCATATCCTTTTCTCCCCATATCTACCTGAGCAGTTTTTCCTGTAGTTCATGTTCTCCAGCGGGTGCCCTGGGATGCGACACTGGAACTTGTGCTGCCAGAACTCAGGGAACCATGGGTTCCTGGTGTTGGTGTTGAGGCGGAGCTTCAGGAAGTAGTCATCAAAGGACGAGACCTCCTCCGACTGCAGCTTCACAGTGATACCGCCCACAGCCTCCTGTTCATAACCCTCAACCACCTCATCTCTGTCTGCCCAGCCATCACTGTGAGGAGAGACACAGTAACATTCACGTTAGAACTACTCCTTACCACCCCCAAATGGATGGTCTTTTAGAACTTTTCAATGGTCCCCTGAAACAGATGTTGAGAAAGTTTGTAGATGACTCTGGTAGGGACTGGGACAAATGGTTACCTTTTCTTTTGTTTGTCTACATCATGTAGATGCCAGACAAGTTGGACAGTCTGAGGGAGATGGCAAAGCAGCATCTTCAAGAGTCACAACAAAAGCATAAGGTATGGTGCAACAAAAATGCAAGAGAAAGTGAAATGAAGTCTGAGCAGAAGGTGTTACTACTCTTACCTTCTGATTCAGGTAAACTCCTTGCCAATTGGCAGGGGCCATAAACAATGGTCAGGAAGACAGAGTCTATGTAACCTATGAGATTCTCTTTCCAGGAAAGCTGCTTCCCAACCAGAGAATATCAGAAATAAAGTTGATGGGGTGTTGCATGTACTCATTTCATAGCTTAGGGAAGAGTAATGAGCGTGTGCTCCATGATACAGTAACACCACAGTAACCTCATCACAGCCTCCTGCTCATATCCCTCCACCACCCCATCTCTGTTTGCCCAGCCATCACTATAGGGGACAGGACAGTTCATCAGTAACATAATACATAGAACTACACACCTTGCCACTTGCCATATTATATTTTTGTGTAGCACACAAAACATTAACAATTGACTGATGAATGCCCTCCTCCCTCCTCCAGCATGGCAACATCACCAGTATCTAGCCATCTGTTTCACAGCACCACACACACACTATGTTCCAAGAACCTGCTTCTCTGACGTCAGCACATAGCAGTCATCATTCATACCATGGTATGAACAAAACATACGCAACCAAGCCATACCACCTCCATGTGGGATACTGGGTATAATTGTTGCATTGTCTAACCTTTACATAGAATGAAGCCTATAGCCTATATACCAAAATCAAAGACAATGGCAAATGTAATGTCAGCGTTTAACAAAAAAGAGCTCTGCTATTTAGAAAAAGCCTCTTGTTTCCTACAGGAATCACATACACACGGGCGGCAGGTAGCTTAGTGGGTAAGAGCGTTGTGCCAGTAACCAAAAGGTCGCTGGTTCTAAACCCCTAGGTGAAAAATCTATCGATGTGCCCTTAAGCAAGGCACTTAACCCTAATTGCTCCTGTAAGTCGCTCTGGATAAGAGCGTCTGCTAAAATGTAAATGTGTGCACTCTACTGTAAGTAACCTTGTACTTTACAAACTACTGTCCTGTATTTTGGATAAAAGCATCTGCAACAGTAAGTGGATATATACTGAATGAATAAGGTCCACCCTGCCAACAAGGCTTTCCTCTCATCCTCCACACAGCCCAGGATAGATGGATGGTCATCCCCAGCCTCCTCTATCATAGATGGACCCAATGCAATGGGCTGGCTGTCTTCACTTACTGCACTGCTCTACAAAACAGTATTTTTTTTCAGTCGCTAGTCTCCTTGACCCAGAAAGAAACAGCCGCACCAATCCCATGTCCTATTTACCATCCACGAAGACGTCACAAGCTGCATAACTCAACTGCAGAGAGTTCTATGTCCATTTTTTATATATTTGTGTTTTATCATCAGTGTTTCAGACTGTATCCTCACTATCACCATATATCAGTGTTACATGACTTACTTAGTTTGTATATACAACATGTTTTTGTCTTTTGATGAGGAATCGTCCAAACTGTTATCCAGGGCTAGCCTGCATGGTCCAACTGTATTGTTATTGTGTGAAAGGAAACAATAAAAACTACAATTGAAAAAATACCAGGCTAATTTAGGACAGTCTTAGCTGTACCTTGAGCTCCACTACACCCGTCAGGTCTTAATGCTAGCTAGCTCCATCCTCACTGCATAGCTCCGGCCTTACTACAGTGAGGGAATGTCTATAAGCTGATCTGTGCTTTGATGCTCAGTAGTCCTCACCACTGAGCTCTGTGCTGGAGGTGCTGTCCTATATTAGCCTAGTCTCCCACTGAGTCTGTGATCTGACAGGGGAGAAAGAGAAAGAGAGAGATCGGTAGAGATAGATAGCGAGAGAGAGAGAGAGCTGTCTAACCATGCATTATTCATGAGTGTGAGTGTGATTAAAAGCTTCTTTCTGCTTTCAGAAGGAACTCCACTACTGCTAGAATAATGATTATTATCGTGTTCAAGTTTAAACTGAGTAAACCATAGGGGGCCTTGGTATGATATATCAAAGGGAGAAACAGCAGCATATTATTTTGGACAACGATCAATGGTCATGGCAATAATTTCGTTATACTATATGATAATAATGAGGTCAATCACTCCACAAAATGGAGTAAGGCAAGAACAGCAAATTTGCCATTCTATGTTCAGATTGATCTGATCTGGGGCCTAATGTAGGAGTGCTGATCTAGGATCAGGTCCCCCTGTCCATGTAATCTTATTAATTGTGATCTAAGCTGATACTAAATCAACACTCTTACTCTGAGATACTTGATACATAAGGCCCCAGGTTGATATGACTCCCTTTAACCCATTGGCAAGACTGATTATGAACATATACAATGATCTAACTTTACCTGCCAATGAGAAGGAACTCCCCTGCCACCCCAAGTCGTCTCATAGCCATGAGCAGTCCACGAACTGTCATACCCTCGCAGAAGCAGACGACCACCCGGGCCTTGGGCAGGCGTTCTCTCAGCTTCCTCAGCAGCCTGTCAAAGTGCTTCTCTCCAGCGTTGCTGTAGATCTTGTCTGAATGGGCGATACACAGCCCCTCCTGAGAGGCCAGCTCCTTAAAAGCTTCCATGCCACTTTCTCCGTAATTACCTGGGGAAATAAACAGCATTAACAAACAAAAAACAACACTATATCATGGTCTTTAAAGGTAAATATATATTTGAACACAATATTATTTAAAAGGTCAATACAGTATTCTACATTCTGAAGAAGTTTAAGACATTTTGTATTAGAACTTCACCTGTAAGTATTGCCAACAAGCCAAACGCAACAGTACTGCAACCCATAACTAGTGATTGCATTTCAAACTTTCAGTCTGTTTGTTAGCACTCTATTTCAGAGATGAAAGTGCCATGTGATGTCACTGTAACTCATATCACTTGTTTATCTAATAAAAACACACATAATTCTACTCATCGGTCTGGTATATAACGAAGGTGCAACAGAACAGAAATGTCATTGGGTTTTAATCAGTTCATCGCCAACTCTCTGCCTGAGTCCCCTGAGTCCCTCACTGCAGGTAGATCAAAGGGCGCGTCCCAAATGGCACCCTATTCCCTTTATAGTGCACTACTTTTGACCAGGGCCTATAGGGCTCTGTTCAAAAGTAGTGCACTATATAGGGAGGGAATATGACGCCATAGGACGCTATGAACCTTATATCATTCAGACATCTCATCATCGGGGAATGGTATCTTAATTATTGTATAATAATCTATCCTACATCCTAGCTCTTCTTCTTGTACTGCAGAACAGAACTGTAGCTACTAAAGACGAGAATTGTCTTGTTTTCTCAGTCTCATATGCTGTAGTTGTTCAATACTCAAAAGGTGGATTTTTTAAAAAATCGTATTACCGGTAGTTTATAACATTGTAGTGAATTCATCAAAAAATATCGAAAAATCTTGACTGAATTACATCATGCTGCAGAGAGTTTGTGGATAAGGACAGCATATCTATTTCTATCTAACCTCTTAAATGCAGTTATTTACCAACAGTCGTCTCACCAGAATACTTTCTGACAGCTGGATACCTGCTGGATTACCTGCCATCACCTCCCCAGTAAGATTTAGTAGGAGGGACATTTCTGAAGGACTTGGTTCCACGAAATCCTTCAAAGTTTCAATTCATATAACTCAAGAATTTTGTGGAGTTGAGGTAGTGAGTAGTCAGTTGTGGTAGTATGTGGTGCACATTAATTTCTAAACAGAGGTCAGAAGCAAGTTGTAAGTATTTGATGCTATTGGCATGATAAACCAACAAAACAAGATTATATCTTTGGGAACATCAACACAAATCATTGCAAGGGATGCCGTCATGTAAAAGCTTCTATTGTAGTACCTTTATGTTTTTTGGGAGATGAAGTACTCTTTTTGGTTTCAGGCAGAACCCTTTTGGGTTCCATGTAGAACCCTCTGTAGAAAGGGTTTTACATGGAACCCAAAAGGGTTCTACCTGGAACCAAAAGTGTTCTACCTGGAACCAAAAAGGGTTCATCAAAGGGTTATTCTACGGGGACAGCTGACGAACCCTTTTAGGTTCCAGACAGCACCTTTTTTTCTAAGAACGTAGTCATGATTGCTATTTGTGCCAACTTCAAACTATAGATAGACTATTCCCTCCTCCCTAACCTACAGCTGAATCCAAACACTGCCCTGTCTTCACTGGTCTGACACTTCTCTCCACACCCAATTAAGCCCTTCAAAAGCTATAGACAGTGACTTACCCTCTGTATGGACTGCTGACACATAGGTCCAGTTATAGCGTTTGACTATGTCCAGGATGGCTCTGGCTTGGAGAGTGTCAGAGGGCACAACCCTAAGGAAATACTTGAAGAGTGTTTTGTCACTCAGATCTATGCTGGTCGCAGAATATGCTATCTGGGGGATGTTGAACAGCTGCAGGAGGTTCTGAACTTGAATAGCCACTGAGCTTGACCCAGGTCCGATGACTCCGGCTATGGGTCTCTTGGTGGCGGGTGGCTGACTCGCAGGCGTCCCTTCAATGCACCACTGTCTGGAGGTACCATCTTTGTTGTCATCATCCCGGATCGAGATGAGAGAGTCTCTAATGAACTCAATACTCTGCTCCAGAGCCACTGAGGAGTGCCAACAGGAGTCCCTGATCTCGCACCCCAGAGTGATGTTGGGTAGAAGATTTGGGTTGGAGTTTATTCGGTCCAAGGTGTGGAACATCGCTTCTACTCGTTGGATTCCATACTGTTCCCGAACCTCACCGCATTTCCTCTCCGCTACCTGCTCTGTTGACGGTTGGTGGTGGACCGAGAACAGGGCACCGATGATTACGTCCCCATCCATTCTGGCCACCAAGCGGGACGAACCAGCTTTAGGAACCACTGACCTCTCAAATATGTTACTGGGGGAGACGAATGCATCATACAGTAAAATAGGGAAATACAAAAACCTAATGGCATTCAAGTACATCATATTCCACATAGTGTAAACGGTCTTGGTGATAGAATCATGTCCGCTTTGCCATTGGGAAGAGCTGTGGGTCCAAGTTTAATCGAAGATCCATCATCTCCTTACCATCCCTCTTTCACTGATGTCTTTTCTGCAGATGAGATACATATATTAATTTAAGTTTCTTTAGAAACAAGTGATGATAAACAGCTGTCTGTTGCCAATATATTTTAGGCAACTCTTTATACCCCTTTGAAACGCAACATAACTTCTCAATTAACCAAAGGAAAATATCCCACTGGGTACAGACGTCAATTCAACGTCTATTTCACGTTGGTTCAATGTAATTTCATTGAAATTAAGTGGAAACAATGTTGATTCAACCAGTGTGTACCCAGTGAGATAGCTATAATGCAGAAGCGAACTAGACATTCAATCTTGAATAATCAAAGTAATAATAGCCTAGGCTACTGTAATTTATAACCATATAACGACTTTGAATGCCTTTCATAACATGTTCAGCAAAGACAGCTTGCCAGAGGCTGATTAAAAGTTGATTGGTCTGATGGTTGGTTTGCATGGCTGGTTTCAGCACCTAGTCATTGGACAGCACTCAGTGCTAACTTGCCTGTTGGGCGTACAGTCATTTACCCACGCTGAGATTGTTTTAGGCTACATAAATCGCTACTTAAAATATTGCTAAAATGACTCATTGAAATTATGAATCAGATCTCATATAATTTCCTATGCCATTAGGCCTATGTATATAGCCTATTGAGATTTTCAACGTCAAATGGACATTCAAATTGACATTCACTTACAAACGGTTTAGGTAAAATAGGCTATTTCACAGTTTTTCATTTATTCAAATGTTTCAGACATGTGCGAATGAAATGCCATATTATTCATATAGGGTGAAGTCAGCATTAGTGGGACATTTGTGTTTGAGAGTACTGTACTATGCTAATTTTGCAAACCAATCACAACAAATGTTATTGGGGTTGTTGCTGCATGTGTTCTGTGCATGAAAAAATTGTTTTGGTTAGTGTGACATCGCATCATTGATGAGTGTGGTCAGGTTTCTTAGATGGGGTGACCCCTTGAAAATCATGAAAAACCACTGTACTATGAAACCTTGCACTAGAATGACAAGGCTGTCATTCTGTCAATTATAATTTCATAATCTAGTATTTTGGTGTTAAAATTAATAGTTATTGATAGCGTTTTGAAATATAATAAACATTCATGTAAACAGCTTGTATATTTAATGAAAATCTGATTTATAGTATTGTCCCATATCTAATGAAGGAAATTACTGACAGGGACCTTTCAGCTATAAAAATGCACAAAATAAACCTTTAATCAATTTATCTGTAATTTCCTTCATTAGATATTCTGAAGTGCATTGCAATATGTTGTTGTCGTTGTTCATAACATCTCAAAATCAAGTCTAGACGCTATATAGCACATAAACAACATAGGATGACAGTGAAAGGAATTAAAGGGAAATAACAAGGGTAGGTAAGGAAAGGAAGGACAATGACATGTAAGAAACGTAGGATAGAAGAGAGCCTCAATTTATGAAAGGGGACAGCCTTTAGGGAATAATAGAGGTGATTCAGGATCAAGTAAAAGCTGAGCAGACTCCTTTAGATAGATTTCGACCAAGAGTTTGGAATGTCCCCAAATCAATTTCCCAATAGCATAGAGAGGTTCTAATAGAAGATCATTGAAAATAAAACAGAGAGTGTGTTATCTATAAGCCTCTACAAAGTATTATTGATGATTTCATAACAAGTGCCAGGTAAAGTGGGACACTAATGTATTTCTAATGAGAAAATGGTGCCCCACATCATCTACTTAAGTGTCCCACTAAAACTTAAAGCCAGGCTCTAGCAAAAGTAGGGGTCTGATGTTCTTTTAGGGGTAGTAGCATCCACGGAATAATACATTATCAACTTGTTTCATCATAACAATGTAGATAAGACCTTAATTAATTGAAATGAACATCATTTGAGTAGGGGTGGACTTATTTTGATTGTGTACATAGCCATCTACCAAAAAGTGTCCCACTCATGCATATATCACCCTAACTAAACAAAATGCTACCATCATTGCTATTCACATGAAGGGCAGTCTCCTCCATTCATGTTACATTGCACCGTTTGAAAGCATTAGCATAAAACACCTTAGATATCATAGCGTTAGAGTGTGGACATACCTGCACCTCCTGCCTCGGAACATTGCGTACCTCCTTGTCCCCTGAACCTCTCAGTTTGGAGCCCAAGTTAAGCCTTTGCCGCGCCAATACAGGGTTTCTCTTTTTTCCTGCCTCTCTCTCGCTCCCTCTCTCTATCTCTCTTTTTGAAATGCAGCATGGGTGCCCCCCCTCTATTCCTCTTGATCATTGCATGCATCTTTAAAACCGGGTCATATAAATTGCATCATATGGCCCTGATAAAAGACAGTATGCAGAGAGAGATAGACATTTAGTATGCATTTGCATGGTGGAGTATTTTAAGCTAAATAAAAACGTTAATTGCGTGTACAAGCTTGCTTTATTTATTTTTCAGAATAAAGGTATAATCATAGAGGCCTACAAAAGGTCAGTATTATCAGTATGAAATGAGGCTATAGGCTTCTGCAGCTATTGGCTAATAGTAGTAGGCTAGGCTAGCCAGTGGCATAAGCCGAAATGTAACATATCTAAATAGACAACACTAGCCTATATTTGTTTGGCGGCGCATCAATGGCTGCACATCCAAGTTAAGCTTCCCCTAAAGTAAATTGAATTGAACTTGCCATAATTATATACTTACTGCTGTCTATACACAAATAAATGAAATCCTTCAAAACAGCACACCAGAGAGCATGATTTAGCCACAGAGGATCAATAGCTTCTTTTTAAAAATATATGTGGATTGATTGTCTTAAACCTCTACGTTATCGGTGTCCCGTATACGGGACGGTTGAGCTAACGTGCACTAATGTGATTAGCATGACTGTTGTAAGTAACAGCAAACTTTCCAGGACATAGACATGTCTTATATGGGCAGAAAGCTTATATTCTTGTTAATCTAACTGCACTGTCCAATTTACAGTAGCTATTACAGTGAAAAAATACCATGCTATTGTTTGAGGAGAGTGCACAACAACAACAAAAAACGTATCACGACAACTGGTTTGATACATTCACCTCTGAAGGTAAATAATGTACGTACATTCAGTAATCTTGCTCTGATTTGTCATCCTAAGAGTCCCAGAGATAAAATGTAGCATACTTTTGTTTGATAAAATCCATTTTTATATTCAAATGTAGGAACTGGGTTGTACAGTTTGAACCCCTGCTGTCTCTGGCTCCACACCCACCCCGCCCGGCCATCTAGATGTGTGAAAGTTAGTGTATAAGCTAATGACCCATCATGTATGACATTCCTGGGAGTGTGTGTAATTTACAATTTGTATTACCATATCATTTTTGTATGTTCTCTATAGTCATGTACTTGAAAATGTATCAATTGACCAATTCGGCACATTTGGGCAGAATTGATACAAAATAGTCCAGTATTTCAATGCTTCACTGGATCAATCTGAAACTTTGCACACACTGCTGCCATCTAGTGGCCAACATTTAAATTGCGCCTAAACTGCAATATCATATTGTGACCTTTCTCTTGCATTTCAAAGATGATGGAACCAAAGAAAAAATAGAAAACGCATGTTTTTTTGTTTGTATTATCTTTTACCAGATCTAATGTGTTGTATTCTCCTACATTAATTTCACATTTCCACAAACTTCAAAGTGTTTCCTTTCAAATGGTATCAAGAATATGCATATCCTTGCTTCAGGTCCTGAGCTACAGGCAGTTAGATTTGGGTATGTCATTTTAGGCGAAAATTGAAAAAAAAGGGTCCAATCCTTAAGAGGTTTTTAAATCCCAGTGCAGAGCATAACCTAGACTCCGGAAGCGCGCAATTTGGGCAGCGTGTAGCAAATATCAAATAGCTGATTGTTGATTTGCAGCTGTCAGTGTAAAGCATCTAAAATCCTAAGCCTATCACAATGTTTCAAAATTCAATTGCGGGAAAAAGCACAAACGAGAGGAGACAAAAACAAATCTCTAACCTGTCTGTCTTTAGTTAAGCTAACAAAATTCTCAACTCCCACTATAGCAGAGAGCGCCGGTGAGTGCGCATATTCACTGTCTTTATCAGTGAGTGAGTAGTGAGTGAGTCCGCGCCACTGGTAGGTTTTTTAGGACAATAATATCCTCCTCTTGGCTAGATGGACGTCATAGCCTACACCATGTCTCCCCTTTTCATAGACCTCGATTAGATGGTTGCATTCAAGACATGGTCGTTTTATTGATCTCATATTTTGATCTCAGTATTTTTGTGATATTAAAGATTCGGCCATGGAGAGTAAAGTGTCGTAGATTTGCATGAAATGTGTTTGTAAAAAGCCACATTTTTCTCGGATCCTACAAAAAGAAATCCTAATCTAGCTCGGGTTGAGCTCTGGATGTGTGCAAAGAAAGCAGAACGGTCTTTTTCGCAAAGTTAGTTAGCCTTATTTATGGCTATCCAATCTACTCATCACATTATAGGAATTGTAGGCTATTTTACATCAGTCTGCAAATGCGATGATAGTTGCATGCAATGCTTTATCATTAAGGTTTTTCGTGAAAAATATACCTTCCCCAAACTTGAAAGTCACGCGCCGCCTACGATTTGACTGAATTATTGTAATTATTTTTTGGGGGTGAGAAGTGACTGGAGCAAGTTGAAGGCGACCAGAAAGATAGCAAACGCCATATTTATTTTACTCTTTACAGATAGAGAGCAATGCTGCGACCTAGTGGTTATGGCTGGACGGTTCTGGTTCAACGTTGTTGTGACGCTACCTCACTTCCGTCCTGTGTTATGAAAACATGGCGCACCGCAGCAGCGGAGGAGCAGGCTGTTCAAGAAGACTGTAAAGTCTATACTTGACTGATTTTGATAAACCAGACCAGTCTATTATTTCGTCTGCAGGGACCAGGAACAGATTCGACGCTTTGTGAGCAATAAAAAGTAAATGTTCAATGTTTGTTAGAGCCAGACAGTAGACATATTTGCTATCAAAGCCAGACAACAATCACAATGCACCTAGAAGCGGCACTGTGGTGTAGCCTACTCGTTACATTGTTGGAAGCTCGTCATGTAGCAAAATGTTGCAGTATGGGATTTGTACATTGCAGAGCCATTGTTGACACATAGAAGTTAGATAATCATTCAGTGACCAGTTGTCATAATGTGAAGACAGGAGTTTACACCAAGGATTTAGAACGACAGGATAACGAAATTGCCTGACCACGACGTTTTATGGTAATCTGGTATAGACCTCAATGGTATAAGTAGAACCGACAGGTGTTAAAAAAAAAAATCCATGCGTGTCCATAACGTGGGTTTTTGCTTTGATTAACTAACCTCTCATAACTTTTATTGCATGGTTCTGCATAACTCAGTTCCCTCCAAAAATTGTGCAAACTTTAATGTGGCCATGCTTTACTTATCATAAGCGTTACAGCAGTGAGCGACTTTCCTGACATCCTATGCTCTCCTAGGCTGTCATCATGAGCAACAGAAGGAAGCGTGCCCCACCGGTGAGGGTAGATGAGGAGGCCAAGAAGAAGCTGAACTGGAACATGCACGAGGACCGCAGGAATGAGACTCTACTCCAAGAAGAGGAAGACCAGATTCCAACCAGCTCTTTTCTGTCCACCGGCCACCACATCCCAACTGCTTCCCTTCTCTTCACCAGCGACCAGATTTCAACCAGTACCCTTCTTTCAACCACCCAGCAGATCCCAACTGGTTCTCTTCTCTCAAGCGTCCAGGAGGACTGTGAGGCAAGCTGCTCCAGCTCAGGAGCTCTGTTGTCAGACCTAGGACTAGGAGAGGACCCCCAGCTCCCTGCTTCATCCTCCACAGACACTTCATCCTCCACCTTCCTCTCCCTCACTGTGCTGCCTCTTTCTGACCTGGCTCACGTCTGGAAGTCTCTGATCGGGGAGTTCAGCCTCCGTCCTCCCCCTCTGTGGGTTAATCCCCCAGGCTGTGACCAGAGGGCCTTCACCCTCCGTAGGACAGGAGATCAGTTGTGCCTCAGTTTGACCAGCATCAGCGACGAGAGTAGTACTAGTACAGGAGGACTGGAGCTGAGGCCTCTGGATAAGACCTGCCCAGTGGAGTGTTTCCTGGCTGGAGGGATACTATTGGAGGAGCTGGACTGGCTGCAGAAGAGAAGAGTTGTGCAGCTGTGTCATCAGCCAGGAGAGGAGGATATTAAGGTGTGCAGTTTCACTTCACTGTGATCATTTAGAGAGTAGTGTCAATGTTGTATTATTCTTTTTGTTCTTCACAAGTGCTTCAATTAAATGTGTAGTTTATTCAGCATGGTGGCTGATGTAGTCACCCATCAATTGTGTTTGGCTGTTAGGGTTATGAATATGGAATGAGTTATTATATTGCCTTTTATTTTGCTGTTTATATTTTTCTGAAGAAGTGCAGTCTAAAGTGGTGTTTTTTTCTCCTGTGTTTGTTGGCTTTTTTTTGGCAGGTGGGGATATATGTACTGGAATCGGGATTGGGAAAGCCTGAATTCCTCAGTGAGGGAAACGGACGGCTCAGAAAAGCAAATCAACTGATGCAGAAGTTAATGGAGTTTTACTATGACTTTATCATCCCTGGTAAGTAACTTGTATCTCTCTTCTTCCTCCTCCTCCTCCTCCTCCTCTCCTCCTGGGTCGTTCCACCAATTCAGTGCCTTTCGAGAAGTGCAACTTGGTCAGATATCTTTTTTATTTCAACTAATTTGAACATTCTGTTCTAAATAGCACATGTTCAACTTAAAAAACAAACAAGTGTTCCCATCTCAAAAAAAATACTATAGTAAATGTCTATTAAGTGCCAAATAAAGTAACAGGGTTGACCGTAACGGGGTTGATAATTTCATCTAAATCCGCCAGAAATCCCCTTGTGACAGGGGGAATGGAAGCTTGTTGTGTGCAACAGGGAGTGGCAATTTAATGCAAGTTTCACAATTTTAAATAAAAAACATTTCTTGCCTGTCTATCTATGGGTAACAGGGTTGATTTGTTATGCTCGACCAGCTCCGTTTTCCACCACCAAACACCAGAAAAAAAAGAGTAGAACCAGCTCACCTGCTTTTAAACTATGATTTGACTATTAAAATATTTAACAAGGAATTGTTTCACCATATTAAATTGAGAGTTCAGTTCACGTGACAGGGCTGACCTTTAAATGAGGGATAGATGTAAATGAATGACTAATCACATGAAATAAATCATCTTCAGAAATGACTTTGTCAAAGCAACAAAATAACTAGGGCTTTACAATGACGGTGAAAACTTGGATGCATTTTGGGGTTAAGTGGGTTAAAATCTTCCTTGAAGTCATAGAGGGTGCATGGAGGGATCGTATAAAAATGCTGGATTTTGGCGGCAGGTAGCCTAGCGGTTAAGAGCGTTGGGCCAGTAACCAAAAGGTCGAATCCCAGAGGCGACTAGGTGAAAAATCTGTCTGTGCCCTTGAGCAAGGTACTTAACCCTAATTGCTCCTGTAAGTCGCTCTGGATAAGAGCGTCTGCTAAATGACTAAAATGTTTTTTTTTTTTTTATTGCACTTTGGTAAGTCTTTATTCACAATAAAAATCTGATTTATTGAATTCTCCATGTGGTCTATATTAAAGGGCACTTCATTTAATATAACAGGCTTTTAAAATTCAATATTGTTGCACAATATCTACTTAATATATCAAATGGATGCAAAACGTACTGATTTGGTGGAACAACCCTCCTTACTTCTCCTCCTCCTCCATTGACCCTGTGTACCATTTCTCTGTTCCCATGTTAGAAGTGGTGGAGACCGAGGAGGAGGAGTGTGACACTGACTTGGAGAGGCAGAATGTGGAGGAGCTGTATGATTACGTCAGACACCTCCACCAGAGAGAGAACCAGGACGTGAACATAGATGTACAGCACAAGGCTCTTATCCCGGTCCTCAGACCCTACCAGAGTCAGGCTGTTAACTGGATGCTGAGGAGAGAGAAGTACAGGAGCAGTAGCTCTTCTCAAGGTATACATTCTCCAAGCTGGCAAAATTGGTTGAAATGAATACATTTTGCCTGCCAGGTTGTATGTTATGGAACTAATTCCAAATGGGAAAGTGTGTTTTATTTTGATTATACTGGACAACAATAATAATATGTCATTTCGCCTTCCCAGAACAATCTCTAAATTTCCTATGGAGGGAGCTTGTCACGTTGTGTGGGAAGAAGCTATTCTACAACCCATATACAGGCTGGTAAGACCTTATCTACAAATATCTTCATTATCAGACACTGGCAGATAACATAAATCATAAACATAAAGAAATAGAATAAATCAGCATCTGAACTGTAGTTATTACATTGTTATTACATGGATATCACATTTTATTACATTATAATAATAATAATAATAATAATAATATGCCATTTAGCAGACGCTTTTATCCAAAGCGACTTACAGTCATGCGTGCATACATTTTTTGTGTATGGGTGGTCCCGGAGATCGAACCCACTACCTTGGCATTACAAGCGCCGTGCTCTACCAGCTGAGCTACAGAGGACCACATTATTACAGTTTATCTTGGCAATGTCATGACCCTATCTCCCTGCTGCAGCCTGGTAGTAGTTATTACAGTGTTATTACTGTTTTTACGTACCAATAACAGACCGTTTCTTGTCTATTGCTCTAATTACCCCATCTCCCTCCTCCCTGCAGCCTGATTCTGGAGTTCCCCCTGGCTGGGTTGGAGTGGCCTGGGGGGATCCTGGCTGATGAAATGGGGCTGGGGAAGACTGTGGAGGTCCTGGCTCTTATACTGAACAATAGCAGACAGGGCCTGAAGCAGGAGGCCCTCACCCTGCCTCTGGTGAGAACCATGGGACTCAGGGGCATCAAATGGCACTTTGACTTTCTCTCCTGTCTTTATCAGAGATGGGATGATTCTTTTTCTGTATTCTGTGGCAAAGATACTCCCATTGGTTGATGAACTCATAGGGTTGTCTCTCTTGTGATTTTCAGGGAAAGTCAGTGAATTATTTTGTCCCACCTCCACCACCAGAAGAAGAGGAAAATATAATTCACTGCAAGTCAGAGGCTCAACCGAAAGTGAAAATATCCTACCCAAGTAAGTCACTGTTGTTGGCTACATCCTTTCAAATGAGCATTTTGATGTTTTTTACAACTTGTTGTGTGTTATCTCTGTGCAGCTGTGCGTGTGATGCTGCTTACAGCAATAAAAGAGATGAGGGTTGGTAAAGGAGCGTCGGTCAACGCCATCTTTGCGTACATTCGCACCACATACCGGTACGACCTCTTGAAGAACCGTAACCACATCAAGAGGGCCCTGGGCAAGCTGCTGGATGAGGAACTAGTAGAGAGGGTCAAAGGTCGCGGTCTGGCCGGATCCTTTAAACTGGGGAAGAAATACAAGGAAACCAAGAAGAAGACCACCACGGCCAAGTCTGTACGTATTGGAGTCCTTGCAGAAATACATATAGTCTTCTCAGTTACGCTATCTTCCATAAGATATAGAGAGTTCGATAAAGTTATAATTGTGAAATACCCTCACTTTGTAAGCATCACAATTGTTTTTCTGTTCTTCTAATGGCATGCATTGCATTCAGATTACTGCTGTTAAACCCAGCTTTTCATTGATGGTCTTTGATTGTATTTGGTTTGGTTTTGCAGCAGAGTCCCTCCAGAGACAGTGGGCCCAGGAGAACTTCCCTAAGGCGAGCAGGGAAGAAGAGGAAGACCTCTTATAAAGACCCTGATACCCCAGACCTCTCTCCTTCAGAGGATATTAGCCAGAGCTGCCTGTCTCCTGACCGTCCTGCTACTGTAGAGGACAGTAAAGAGGAACCGCAGGAGGGACGTCTTGAGAAAGGAAAACGCAGCGACACGCTAAGCGCCTCACAGGATCTGTCAGCTGTTGCGAAGGCAGACCGCCCTGAGGAGGATGACAAAGAGACACTCCACAACTCCCAGGACAGGAGGGAGTCCGAGGAACAGGAGACGGTGAGAGGGGATAAAGGGGAAGATGTCCCTGAAGAGAGTAAGCAGCAACCAGGTCCACCTGCCACTCCTGAGATGCCGCCCGCCACCCGGGTGTCGTTCACCCCCTTCAACACCCCAGACTACCGCTTTGAGTGTATCTGTGGCGAACTGGGTCTCATCGACTACAAGGCCCGGGTGCAGTGTCTCAACTGCCAGCTGTGGCAGCATGCAGAGTGTGTGAACTACAAGGAGGAAAGCCTAGACACCACACCGTTCTACTGTCCTCACTGCCTGGTGGCCATGACACCTGTCCCTACAGGAGCAACTCTCATCATATCCCCCTCCTCCATCTGTCATCAGTGGGTTGAGGAGATCAACAAACACATCAGCTCCTCATCACTACGAGTACTGGTAAGGACCTTTATAAATCTGTGCTAAACAGTTATATTACAGTTGAACTTTTATAAATAGTTTGGAATCTTAATTGTTAGTTTATACTCGTTTATAAATCTGTAATAAACTGTTATATACCTAGATGTAAAGTGCTGCCAACACTGTTTGTAGTAGCTGACATTGACATGAGTTGGTCCACCCATCCATTCATCCTTCCATCCTCCCTCTATCCCTCCCACCATCCCCAGGTGTACCAGGGGGTGAAGAAGCATGGTTTCATCCAGCCTCACATGCTGGCTGAGCAGGACGTGGTCATCACCACCTATGACGTGCTGCGATCGGAGCTCAACTACGTAGACATCCCCCACAGCAACAGTAAGGACGGCCGGCGCTTTCGCAACCAGAAGCGCTACATGGCTGTTCCCAGTCCCCTAGTGGCCGTGGAGTGGTGGCGCATCTGTCTGGACGAGGCCCAGATGGTGGAATGCACCACTGCCAAGGTGAGATGCCTGGAAAGAGAAGAATAATTATGGGCGGGGTTAGCCTCGAGGTTAGAGAGAGGGGTCAGAAACTGGAGTGCTCTTGTAATTCAGATGCCATAAATGTAATAGCAACAAGCAAGATTGTAGCAACCCCCGAACTACCTCTGAACTCTCCTATTGCTGTTTACCGGACCTTATGATAACTCAGCTATACAGCTGATGCCTGCTGGACTGTTCCTTTATACGGTACCGCATCCTGTTTATGTTTATCCTCAGCCCAAACTTTGTCGCCATTACCAGCTGTTGTCTTAGTTCTCTCGAATAACACCTGTGATTGCTTTATGCCTATCTCCCATGTCAATATGCCTTGTTTTATTGCTTCGGTTATTTGTTATTGTACTATTTCACTGTAGATCCCCCAGCCCAGCTCAACCTGCCTTAGATAGCTCCTTTGTCCCACCCCCCATACACGCAGAGACCGACTCAATCGGTGCCTCCAGTGATGCTATCTCTTTCATCGTTACCCAACGCTTAGGTTTACCTCCACTGTACTCATATCCTTCCATATCCTTGTCTGTACATAATGCCCTGAATCTATTCTACAACGCATGGAAATCCGCCCCTTTTTCTCTCTGTACCCAACGCACTAGAAGACCAGTACTTAAAGCCTTTAGCCGTGTCCTTATTCTAGTCCTCCTCTGTTCCTCTGGTGATGTAGAGGTTAACCCAGGCCCTGTAGCCCCCAGTATCACTCCTACTCCCCAGGCGTTATCATTTGTTGACTTATGTAACCGTAAAAGCCTTGGCTTCTTGCGCGTTAACATCCGAAGCCTCCTCCCTAAGTTTGAGTTATTCACTGCGTTAGCACACTTCGCCAACCCTGATGTTCTAGCAGTGTCTGAATCCTGGCTTAGGAAGGCCACTAAAAATTCAGAAATGTCCATCCCCAACTACAACATTTTCCGTCTCGATAGAACTGCCAAAGGGGGTGGGATTGCAATCTACTGTAGAGATAGCCTGCAGAGCTCTATCGTACTATCCAGGTCTGTGCCCAAACAGTTTGATCTTCTACTTCTAAAAATCCACCTTTCCAGAAACAAGTCTCTCACTGTTGCCACTTGCTACAGACCCCCCTCAGCCCCGAGCTGTGCCCTGGACACCATATGTGAACTGAGCGCCCCCCATCTATCCTCAGAGTTCGTACTGCTTGGTGACCTGAACTGGGATATGCTTAACACCCGGGCCAACCTACAATCTAAACTAGATGCCCTCAATCTCACACAAATTATCAACAAACCTACCAGGTACAACCCTAAATCTGTAAACATGGGCACCCTCATAGATATCATCCTGACAAATTACCCTCTAAATACACTTCCGCTGTCTTCAACCAGGATCTCAGCGATCACTGCCTTATTGCCTGCGTCCGTAATGGGTCCGCCGTCAAACGACCACCCCTCATCACTATCAAACGCTCCCTAAAACACTTTAGCGAGCAGGCCTTTCTAATTGACCTGGCCCGGGTATCCTGGATGGATATTGACCTCATTCCGTCAGTAGAGGATGCCTGGTTGTTCTTTAAAAGTGCTTTCCTCTCAATCTTAAATAAGCATGCCCCATTCACTTTTTAGGGAAGTCAGGAACCAATAACACAACAGTTAGGAAAGCAAAGGCTAGCTTTTCCAAACGAAAATTTGCATCCTGTAAGCACTAACTCCAAAAAGTTTGGGACAACTGTAAACGTCCATGGTAAAATAAGAGCCACCTCCTCCCAACCTGCCCACTGGCACTTAGGCTAGGAAACACTGTCACCCACAGATAAATCTACAATAATCGAGAATTTCAACAAGCATTTTGCTACGGCTGGCATGCTTTCTACCTGGCTACCACCACCCTTGGCCACCAGCTCTGCACCTCCGCTGCAACTTTGCCCATGCCCCCCCGCTTCTCCTTCACAGCAAAAAATTCAGATAGCTGATGTTCTGAAAGAGCTTAAAAATCTGGACCCCTACAAACAGCTGGGCTAAACAATCTGGACCCCTTTCTTTCTAAAATTAGCCGCCGAAATTGTCCGCAACCCCTATTACTAGCCTGTTCAACCTCTCTTTCGTAACGTCTGAGATCCCCAGAGATTGGAAAGCTGCTGCGGTCATCCCCCTCTTCAAAGGGAGTGACACTCTAGATCCAAACTGTTACAGACCTACAGTGGGGAGAACAAGTATTTGATACACTGCCGATTTAGCAGATTTTCCTACTTACAAAGCATGTAGAGGTCTGTAATTGTTATCATAGGTACACTTCAACTGTGAGAGACGGAATCTAAAACAAAAATCCAGAAAATCACATTGTATGATTTTTAAGTAATTAATTTGCATTTTATTGCATGACATAAGTATTTGATACATCAGAAAAGCAGAATTTAATATTTGGTACAGAAACCTTTGTTTGCAATTACAGAGATCATACATTTCCTGTAGGTCTTGACCAGGTTTGCACACACTGCAGCAGGGATTTTGGCCCACTCCTCCATACAGACCTTCTCCAGATCCTTCAGGTTTCGGGGCTGTCGCTGGGCAATACAGACTTTCAGCTCCCTCCAAAGATTTTCTATTGGGTTCAGGTCTGGAGACTAGCTAGGCCACTCCAGGACCTTGAGATGCTTCTTACGGAGCCACTCCTTAGTTGCCCTGGCTGTGTGTTTCGGGTCGTTGTCATGCTGGAAGACCCAGCCACGACCCATCTTCAATGCTCTTACTGAGGGAAGGTTGTTGGCCAAGATTGCGCGATACACCTCCATGCTTCATGGTTGGGATGGTGTTCTTGGAGTTGTACTCATCCTTCTTCTTCCTCCAAACACGGCGAGTGGAGTTTAGACCAAAAAGCTCTATTTTTGTCTCATCAGACCACATGACCTTCTCCCATTCCTCCTCTGGATCATCCAGATGGTCATTGGCAAACTTCAGACGGGCCTGGACATGCGCTGGCTTGAGCAGGGGGACCTTGCGTGCGCTGCAGGATTTTAATCCATGACGGCGTAGTGTGTTACTAATGGTTTTCTTTGAGACTGTGGTCCCAGCTCTCTTCAGGTCATTGACCAGGTCCTGCCGTGTAGTTCTGGGCTGATCCCTCACCTTCCTCATGATCATTGATGCCCCACGAGGTGAGATCTTGCATGGAGCCCCCAGACCGAGGGTGATTGACCGTCATCTTGAACTTCTTCCATTTTCTAATAATTGCGCCAACAGTTGTTGCCTTCTCACCAAGCTGCTTGCCTATTGTCCTGTAGCCCATCCCAGCCTTGTGCAGGTCTACAATTGTATCCCTGATGTCCTTACACAGCTCTCTGGTCTTGGCCATTGTGGAGAGGTTGGAGTCTGTTTGATTGAGTGTGTGGACAGGTGTCTTTTATACAGGTAATGAGTGGAGAACAGGAGGGCTTCTTAAAGAAAAACTAACAGGTCTGTGAGAGCCGGAATTCTTACTGGTTGGTAGGTGATCAAATACTTATGTCATGCAATAAAATGCAAATTAATTACTTAAAAATCATACAATGTGATTTTCTGGATTTTTGTTTTAGATTCCGTCTCTCACAGTTGAAGTGTACCTATGATAAAAAATTACAGACCTCTACATGCTTTGTAAGTAGGAAAACCTGCAAAATCAGCAGTGTATCAAATACTTGTTCTCCCCACTGTATATCCATCCTGCCCTGCCTTTCGAAAGTATTTGAAAGCCAAGTTAACAAACAGATCACCGACCATTTCGAATCCCACCGTACCTTCTCCGCTATGCAATCCGGTTTCCGAGCTGGTCATGGGTGCACCTCAGCCACGCTCAAGGTCCTAAACGATATTATAACTGCGATCGATAAAAGACAGTACTGCGCATCGGTCTTCATCGACCTGGCCAAGGCTTTCGACTCTGTCAACCACTGCATTCTTATTAGAAGACTAAATAGCCTTGGTTTCTCTAATGACTGCCTCGCCTGGTTCACCAACTACCTCTCAGATAGAGTTCAATGTGTCAAATCGGAGGGCCTGTTGTCTGGACCTGTAGCCGTCTCTATGGGGGTGCCACAGGGTTCAAATCTTGGGCCGACTCTATTCTCTGTGTATATCAATGATGTCGCTCTTGCTGCTGGTGACGCTCGGATCCACCTCTATGCAGACAACACCATTTTGTATACATCTGGCCCTTCATTGGACACTGTGTTAACAAACCTCCAGACGAGCTTCAACGCCATACAACACTCCTTCCGTAGCCTCCAACTGCTCTTAAACACTAGTAAAACTAAATGCATGCTCTTCAACCGAACGCTGCTTGCACCCGCCCACCCGACTAGAATCACTACTCTCGGCGGGTCTGACCTAGAGTATGTGGACAACTACAAATACCTAGGTATCTGTTTAGACTGTAAACTCTCCTTCCAGACTCACATTAAGCATCTCCAATCCAAAGTTAGATCTAGAATCGGCTTCCTATTTCGCAACAAAGCCTCCTTCACTCATACTGCCAAACATGCCCTCGTAAAACGGACTATCCTACCGATCCTTGACTTCGGCGATGTCATTTACAAAATAGCCTCCAACACTCTACTCAGCAAATTGGATGTAGTCTATCACTGTGCCATCCGTTTTGTCACCAAAGCCCCATATACTACCCACCATTGTGACCTGTACGCTCTTGCTGGCTGGCCCTCACTACATTTTCGTCGCCAAACCCACTGGCTCCAGGTCATCTATAAATCACTGCTAGGCAAATCCCTGTCTTATCTTAGCTCACTGGTCACCATAGCAACACCCACCCGTAGTCTGCGCTCCAGCAGGTATATCTCACTGGTCCTCCCCAAAGCCAACACCTCCTTTGGTCGCCATTCCTTCCAGTTCTCTGCTGCCAATGACTGTAACGAACTGCAAAAATCTCTGAAGCTGGAGACTCTTATCTCCCTCACTAACTTTAAGCGTCAGTTGTCAGAGCACCTTACCGATCACTGCACCTGTACACAGCCATTCTGTAATTAGCCCCCCAACTACCTCATCCCCATATTGTTATTTATTTTGCTAATTTGCACCCCAGTATCTCTATTTGCAAATCATCTTTTGCACATCTATCATTCCAGTGTTAATACGAAATTGTAACTTACTACATTCACACACACTGTATATATATTTTCTGTTGTATTTTTGACTTTATGTTTTGTTTACCCCATATGTAACTCTGTGTTGTTGTCACACACACTGTATATATATTTTCTGTTGTATTTTTGACTTTATGTTTTGTTTACCCCATATGTAACTCTGTGTTGTTGTTTTTATCGCACTGCTTTGCTTTATCTTGGCCAGGTCACAGTTGTAAATGAGAACTTGTTCTCAACTGGCTTACCTGTTTAAATAAAGGTGAAATTAAAAAAAGATGGTATTCCTACCATCTCCCTCATCATCACCCTTGTGCTTTTTGCAGCTGTGCTATTGTTTCCATCGTTACAGACTGTTCAGTGTTGTTTTTCTTCATCAGGCTGCAGAAATGGCTCTGCGTCTCTCGTCAGTCAACCGTTGGTGTGTCAGTGGAACTCCTGTGCAGAGAGGCCTGGAAGGTAAATTCTAATTTATAATTCATTGATACCTACAGTAGTTTTCAATAGTTATCATACCATGCTTCTCCGGTCTTCACTTGACTGATCTGTCTCTGTTCTGTCCAGATCCGTCTTGCCTTGTCCTGTTCCGAACCCTAACCTGACAGAACTCTCTGTTCCTAACAGATCTGTATGGTCTGGTTCTGTTCTTGGGGGTCGACCCCTACTGGGTCAAGTACTGGTGGGACCAGCTGCTCTACCGACCCTATCGCCGCGGAAACACAGAGCCACTCTACAACCTGATTGGTCAGCTGCTGTGGCGATCGGCCAAGAAAGATGTCATTGATCAGGTAGTTTGGATAGTAACAAATGTTGTATGATACAAATATCATCGTAACATATCAAGTACCTAGTCTTTATTGTAAAAGACAATGTGTTTTCAGTAACTTACCTGGTTTAATGTGGTAAAGTAAGTGTTGCCCTTTTAGATTCACTAGTATCACTTTTCACTGTTTTCCAGATTCAGATTCCCCCTCAGACAGAAGAGGTCCACTGGCTGCAGTTCTCTCCAGTGGAGGGTCACTTCTACCACCGGCAGCACGAGGTGTGTTCCCAGGACGCCCTGGTTAAGCTGAGGAAGATCCAGGACTGGAGCCTGAAGCTGGGCAGCCTGGACAGACGCACGGTCAACACCATCCTGTACCCCCTGCTCAGACTCCGTCAAGCCTGCTGCCACCCACAGGCTGTCAGGGGAGAGTTCCTGCCCTTCCAGAAGAGGTAAAGGTTTAAAGAAATACAAAATCTTCCAGAAGATGTAGGTATGATGAGCTTGACAGATGAGCCTGACACTGTTGCTGTTCTAGTAGAAAAAGAGAAGAAGTGTAAATGTTTGGGCTCTGGACTTAATAGCGTAGTTTCTTTTTTTTGGACCTTACTTTACTGTGTTACAAGGCCCCATTCACTGTGTAAAGCAGGGTGGGTTGGGGGGGCACTAGAAAGGCTCTTGTCTGGTCATGCTGTCTTTGGCGACTGAATTGTTCTTTCTTATGTATCAGTTGATTTGTAAGGAGCCCAAATTACTAGCTGCTAATTGGATGGCCTCACACATAGAGATAAATGGTATCTATGGCCGCACGTTTGTTTGTTGGTTGATAGATAAAGCCCTACAGTTTGTTTGGGTCGCTGGTGCGGATTTGTTTTGTTTAGTTCTGTTTGTCAGATGGTGAGGTCTTACCTACTATGTGTTTCAGTGGCGCTGTTTGGTTTGTTGGTTAATAAAGGAAGCCTAAAGTGGGTTTCAGTCTCTGGTGCTGCGGTTTGGTTTTGTTTAGTTTGCGATGACGTTAGTGACTAATGAATCCTATGAACTAATGCCCCTAAAACAGCACCATGACAATGGAGGAGCTGCTCAAGTCCCTGCAGAAGAAATGTCGAGTGGAGTGTGAAGAGGTTCACAGGCAATTGGTGTGCGCCCTCAACGGCCTGGCAGGCATCCACATCATCAGAGGTAGACAACAAAAATCCTCCTCTCCTCTACCTCTCCAGGGGTTCTGTCTTCTCATCTCTTTCCCATGGGAAACTGACCTGGTAGACTGTGACATCATTGATCTGTGATTGTCCCTATAGTAATGAGCATCCTTTATCCTAGTGCTATGTGTAGTAGTATATAGCATGACGCATGAAACTGCTGGAAACACATAGAGCAGTGGAGCTTTAATGGGGGGTGTTGTTGTTGTCGTCGTCATTGCCACCTGTAGACGAGTTTGGTGAGGCAGTGGAAATGTACAGAGAAGTCCTGAGGTCTTCAGAGGAACACAAAGGACGACTGAAGACTGATTCATTGCAGGTATACGCTACAATCACTCAGCCAACATCTAAAGGCCTGTTTTAGACTATCAAAACCTATTCAATAGCCGATTTGCATCCTTTCGGCTCATATTAACTCTCTTTTGTATGTGTCTTCTGGTTTATGCTGATTAGCATGGAAGGAAACCCCTCTGAAGTCCTGAATGTTTCTATTTCATCTTTCTGTTTCTGTGTCTTTATAAACAGAGGCTTCATGCCACACACAATCTAATGGAGCTGCTCAATGCAAAGCACCCTGGGATACCGCCCACTCTGAGAGACGACCGGCTGAAAGAAGAGGTGAAACACCTGCTGATGATGGTGTCATGTGTTTGGTTCCTCCCTGACCCCGATCTCTGCTTTGTGTTGTTTCTGTGATGTGGCCAAAGAAATCTAAATTAAAATGTATTTCACTTTCCTAGGATTTGGCCTACCTGTGTACTATCATGTCTTTCCATTTGTACAGTGTGGGGAAAAAAGTATTTTTTGATCCCCTGCTGATTTTGTACCTTTGCCCACTGACAAATAAATGATCAGTCTATAATTTTAATGGTAGGTTTATTTGAACAGTGAGAGACAGAATAACAACAAAAAAATCAAGAAAAACGCATGTCAAAAATGTTATAAATTGATTTGCATTTTAATGAGGGAAATAAGTATTTGACCCCCTCTCAATCAGAAAGATTTCTGGCTCCCAGGTGTCTTTTATACAGGTAACAAGCTGAGATTAGGAGCACTCCCTTTAAGAGTGTGCTCCAAATCTCAGCTCGTTACCTGTATAAAAGACACCTGTCCACAGAATCAATCAATCAATCAGATTCCAAACTTTCCACAATGGCCAAGACCAAAGAGCTCTCCAAGGATGTCAGGGACAAGATTGTAGACCTACACAAGGCTGGAATGGTCTACAAGACCATCGCCAAGCAGCTTGGTGAGAAGGTGACAACAGTTGGTGCGATTATTCGCAAATGGAAGAAACACAAAAGAACTGTCAATCTCCCTCGGCCTGGGGCTCCATGCAAGATCTCACCTCGTGGAGTTGCAATGATCATGAGAACGGTGAGGAATCAGCCCAGAACTACACAGGAGGATCTTGTCAATGATCTCAAGGCAGCTGGGACCATAGTCACCAAGAAAACAATTGGTAACACACTACGCCGTGAAGGACTGAAATTCTGCAGCGCCCGCAAGGTCCCCCTGCTCAAGAAAACACATATACAGGCCCGTCTGAAGTTTGCCAATGAACATCTGAATGATTCAGAGGAGAACTGGGTGAAAGTGTTGTGGTCAGATGAGACCAAAATGGAGCTCTTTGGCATCAACTCAACTCGCCGTGTTTGGAGGAGGAGGAATGCTGCATATGATCCCAAGAACACCATCCCCACCGTCAAATATGGAGGTGGAAACATTATGCTTTGGGGGTGTTTTTCTGCTAAGGGGACATGACAACTTCACCGCATCAAAGGGACGATGGACGGGGCCATGTACCGTCAAATCTTGGGTGAGAACCTCCTTCCCTCAGCCAGGGCATTGAAAATGGGTCGTGGATGGGTATTCCAGCATGACAATGACCCAAAACACACGGCCAAGGCAACAAAGGAGTGGCTCAAGAAGAAGCACATTAAGGTCCTGGAGTTGGCCTAGCCAGTCTCCAGACCTTAATCCCATAGAAAATCTGTGGAGGGAGCTGAAGGTTCGAGTTGCCAAACGTCAGCCTCAAAACCTTAATGACTTGGAGAAGATCTGCAAAGAGATGTGTGACAAAATCCCTCCTGAGATGTGTGTAAACCTGGTGGCCAACTACAAGAAAGGTCTGACCTCTGTGATTGCCAACAAGGGTTTTGCCACCAAGTACTAAGTCATGTTTTGCAGAGGGGTCAAATACTTACTTCCCTCATTAAAATGCAAATATATTTATAACATTTTTGACATGCGTTTTTCTGGATTTTTGTTGTTGTTATTCTGTCTCTCACTGTTCAAATAAACCTACCATTAAAATTATAGACTGATCATGTCTTTGTCAGTGGGCAAACGTACAAAATCAGCAGGGGATCAAATACTTAATTCCCTCACTGTATATCTGTCCCTCTGTTATGTGTGTTATCTATACAGGCAGAGCAGCTGAGGCAGCACTACATGACCAAACACAACGCTGAGGTGTCTGAGGCCTACCAGTCTCTACAGCCTGTACTGCAGAACATCAAGGAGCTCAAACGCAAAGTAAGAGACCTACCCGTGCACAGTGCCACTGATTGTTTTGACAAATCAAGGTAGTGCTTGAAGTGGAGGTTGGGATTTTAACCAGAAGATTCTTAGTGGTTCTGTACTGGGGAGGGGTCGAATCTGCTCTTTCCATTTCCAGCTGTGTCGGTCTCCAGATTCAAATCAAATAGCTAGCTAGTGTACGCAAGATTTGGTTCTGGGTTCCAAGATGAATAGCCCGTTAACCTACACATTACCCAACTGTTGCATTATCCTATATGCACATGTGTCTGTGTCTGTATTTGCCCCCTGTATGACTGTCTCCTCCCATCGCTGTTCTCTATGCCAGGTCAATCTGCGATCACCCTGGTGGCTGGACGTGGTACAGCGGGCCATACAGCACAACGTCGATGATGACCTGGTTTCCCGGATCCAGAACGAACTGACCTGCAGCTACAAACAGCAGGCCAACAAGCTCTCCATGGCTGACAAGTAATAGCTGGTTTTGGATTTGAATTGACTATATTTATTTAAAAAATAATTGATATACAGTGTTAGTTTTGGCAGCTACAGTATTTTAGATGTAGTTTTAGTCTTAAAATACCTTTTAGTCTTAGTCACATTTTAGTCATTTCATCCTTCGTTAGTTTTAGTTATTATCAGTCGACTAAAACTCTGGACAATTTTTATCTAGTTTTAGTCACAGACATAGTCTCATAATAGTCAGTACATTTTATTGTATTAAATAATGAATATTTAGGCTACGTCTTAACTTTCATCATGGCACATTCAGATAGCCTTGTCCAGCTAGGATGACTATCCCCTCATATTCCTTAGCTGACAACATTGATATTGTGGCAGATTGTAACCAATGGAAGAAAGGAAAAACCAGCACTCACTGAAATATTCTTTAAGTTTTAATGTCTTATGTTTTAGCAGCAGAGGTTAAAACAAACAGGCGCGTTTCGGTGGCAGCCTTCGTCAGCGTTTGGAGAACAATAGACATCCACCTAGATTGTAGGACTGCTTCTTTCTTTTTTCACATTCATTATTTACATTCATTATTTACATTCATTATTTACATACATTTTCTACTGTTTTTCACAAGAGCTGTTAATCACAGGCAGCAACCTAACATGAGTTCTTCATTAAGGCCTCTAGGTCTCTCTGTTTGTAAAGCATGGATATAATATGCCTCTCTGTAACAGCAATATTTTCTCAATCACCACCTCTCTTAAGTATCTGTACAACTTCTAAGCCCTGGGACTTGGCACACATCATGTCCGACCGTATTAAAGTGTCTGGCTACAGGGGACTTCTCATCAACAATTCTGATGTTTCTCTTATGCTCTGTAATATGAACTTTACATTTTCTGTTAGATTTTACAACATAATAATAGCCACTTCAGTAAACAGACCACACATTTCATTTTCCAGGAAATTCTACCCCTGACATACATTTTCTTTCCCGTATGAGGATGAAGAAAGAAATTACCCTTGATCATCGCATTACAGTTCACACAATTATGACATGGAAAATTGCCTGAGGGGAGGGTAGAAAATACTGAAGGGGTACATATTCATCTGCTCATACCAGTCTGTCCCTTAGGTTTCTAGCACGTTTAAAAGCGAATCGAGGGATATTTTGAAAAGCCCGGTCTACAGAGGGGTCCGTAGACAGAACATGCCAATGCTTTTTAATGGAATATTTAACAGCCTGAGAGATGGAGGAGTAAGTAGACACATACAGCAGGAAATTGTTTCTATCTGTCTTCTTGCGAGACACAGTGGTTTGAAGTCCATTGTCTTTGTGAACCAGTACATCCAAAAAAGAAACAGTTTCCTCACTGGATTCGAGAGTGAATTTCATAGTAGGCAAAGTGGAATTAATGTACAGTCTGAACTCTTCCAATTGCTCATGCCACACTCCAAATGAAAAATAAACATCATCAATATAACTGAACCAATATTTCAAAAGGGGGAAAAACGAATTACCATTATAAACAAAATCTTCATCAAACTTCCCTATGAATACATTTGCGTAATTCGGTGCGAATGGGGACCCCATCGCAGTGCCCTGTGACTGGATGTAGAAATCATTCTCAAACTTAAAGTCGTTTTTGGTTAACACCACTTGAGCCAGTTCACATAAAAAGTTAGTGAGGGGCACCTGTTCTTTGTCTCTCTTGTACAAAAAATAACTAAAAGCATCAAACCCATGAGGGGGATATTAGTATATAAACTGGTCACATCCATTGATAAGATATGCTTTATTAGTCCATACAAGATGGAAAATTGTCTTCTGCTTGTTATCCAACCGCCCCAATATACACACATTTGGTTGGATAGGCTGGAGAAGAGGGCAGCCGCAGTGCAATGAGCAGATTAGGGGGTTAAGTCCCTCTCTCAAGGGGATATCGGCGGTAGGTGGCACCTGAGACATTGATGCCAGCAACCCTCTGGTTGCCGCCTCACTCCGGACAGATTTTTGCCCTCTTCAGTAGTGGGATTCAAACAGGCAACCGTCCGGATGCTGGCCCGCTCCTCTAACCTCGAAGCTACCACCGCCCATTGTCTGTCAGCAATACCAAGGCATTGTGCATATAACGTCTGAGTCAGCGATGCCTTGTATAGAGTTCAGTTTGTTAAGGAAGTCAGTTGTATCCCTTAAATATGAAGGTAACAGCAGGCTTAATGTGATATTCCACACATGGAGACAAGGCTTCAGTGCCAGCAACAATGTGACGTCTGGGAACAGGTTCTTGGCAAGGCTTGTGAATTTTTTGAATTGTTTAAAACGGAGGTTGGAGAACGTGTTCCTGTAACATAAAGTTATACTCATTTTTTGTTAAAGTGTGATTGCTGATAGCATTGTCCAAAATAACTTTGATTTCACCCATAAACTTGGCGGTAGGATCACAACTCAAGGGGGAACTCAAGTCTCTGTTGCTCAATTGATTCAGTATTTTTCTTCTATATGACTCCTTGTTTTGACGAACAATTGCGCCCCCTTTATTTGCAGGTTTGATAACCACACTGTCATCTTTGGATAGGGAGCGTAAAGCTTGCCTCTCACCAAATGACAGGTTCAAATGAAAATTCTGAAACTCATCAGGAACAAAAAGAGATGACACATCCTGGTCAACTAGACGGCAAAAAGTATCTACAGGAGCATTCAGAGCAGGGGGGATGAAAGTGCTCTTCGGTTTAAACCGAATCGTTGTCTTAGGACTAGTGACGAGAAGTCCCCTGTAGCCAGACACTTTAATGCAGTCGGACATGATGTGTGCCAACTGAGGTTCCAGGGCTTAGAAGTTCTACAGCCACTTAAGAGAGGAAGTAATAGAGACACATTGCTGTTACAGAGAGAGGCATATTATAGCCATGCCTTACGAACAGAGAGCCCTAGAGTCCTTAATGAAGAACTCCTGTTAGGCTGCTTCCTGTGAGCAAAGGGTGCGCTTTTTATTTGATTTATTTTGGGATTTTGAAGCTCTTGTGAAAAACAGTAGAAAATGTATAAAAATAATGAATGTGAAAAAAGGAGGCAGTACTACAATGTGACATCATCTATGCATATGTGTGTTTGTCTGTTGTTCTCCAAACTCTGACGAAGGCTCCCGCTGAAACGGGTCCGTTTGTTTTGACCTCTGCTGCTAAAGAATAAGACATTCAAATGTAAAGAATATTTCAGTGAGTGCAGGTTTTTTCCTTTCTTTCCGGTATATGCCTTTTGATCCCAGCACCCAAAGCTGAGCACACCATTTTCTCTTTTTAATATTGTAACCAATGCCAGACATAATTAACCATATAGGCTATAAAGCAGGGGTCGGCAACAGAGTGATTTTTTTGTGGGCCACCCAAAGTTTTTTGTAAAGAAAGGAATCCATCCCAAAAAATATTTAGGAAATCTGTTCCCAAGTATTCCCACAAATATAAAAAGAGAGATGATTGTGTCTCAATGTAATCAAGGTATGAAATGATTGTATTTTGAAAATAACAATCTCTTTTGGGGTAGTGGTCAATTTGCAGTGTACAAATTATTATTATTATTCAACAAAATAAAACCAATATTTAAAAATGCTAAATCTATTATTTAATTTAGAAACAAAACATTAAATGATTGTCTTCCTGGCTGCAGGTTAAACAATTTACAGCTGATTAACCGTCAAGGGGGTAAATAACAGTGGTTTCCTTGAAAAAGGGAGGATGTGAGCTTTACAACAATGCCAGAAGTATTACTGTACTCCTAATATTCACCAAATAGCTGGGGGGGTTTTTATTGTAAAAAAGCAACCGCAATTCGCATCTGCGGACCGTGGCGCGAGAGGGGCAAGACCGATAAATGAATAAAAGCGGGCATGGGGACAATAGAGCTTCTGATGTGCTCAGAGCAAAAATAGCCTACATGAAGGTAAGAGAGAGAGTAAACATAGTTTCTAGTTGAGGTTAGTTACAAGTCAAGTGTCCTGGCTTCGCATCAGTTAAAAAGATTAACGAGTGACTGAAGTGACCGCCTGGGAGCTGTGTGGGCGAGCCGGGCAGATCAGCTCAATCAGACCGCGCAACTCAAAGATGTCAATTCTGCCATGAGAGGATTGCATGAAATGGTCTTAATGCATGTTTAGGATTGGAAAAAACAGATGAAAATGAGCTTCATGTCAAAGTCTATGTCAATTAGTCTCACGTGGAATTCTTATATACTATATATTATTATTTAATTTTAATTGAAAACAAATTTTGGTTGAGGGAATCTCGCTATTGTTATAGTTTGTTGACAAGTATGTTTACGTCATAGTTAATGTTGACAAAATGAACACCGCGACTTACAGTACAGCTTTGGTATATGTAGGTGATCCCTGCAGGAATTGAACCCCCGACCATCAGGGTGAATGTGTGCACTCAACCATTATGACTCCTGTAGGTTCCGAGATGGGCGTGGCCTGCAGTTCCTGCTCAGCACTCAGATGGAGAATCTGACGAAGTCCCAGAAGTCTGTGCAGGACGCGGTGAAGAGGCTGGAAGGCACGCCCTCGGAGGCTGTCATAGAGGAGACTGTTCTCTGTCACCTCAGACCTGTCCGCCTGCCACTCAATAAGTAGGCCTTAGACCCTCTCTCATATGCAAAAAAAAAAGTTTACTTTTTTTGAATAATGCATGGTAATTTGACTCTTGTGACTCTTGTATCTTTCCAGCTGTGTGTTTTGCAAAGCGGATGAGCTCTTCACTGATTATGAGTCCAAGCTCTTTTCACACACGTAAGTAAAATAAACACAGATTTACAATAAATGTACAATAAATCAGCGAATCTGAATCAACCTCGTTGCTCTCCTATATCTCTATCTCTGATATCTCCCCCTGTCAGGGTAAAGGGTCAGACGGCCATCTTTGAGGAGATGATTGAGGATGAGGAGGGGCTGGTTGACGACCGTCTCCCCACCACCAGTAGAGGGTTGTGGGCTGCCAGCGAGACAGAGCGGGCCCTGAAGGCCATTCTCTCCTTCTCCAAGGCCCGGCGCATGGACCACGACCTGGTGGAAGAAGGAAATACCTTCATGGAGCTTTTCGAGAACTGGAAGAAAGAGTACAAGGTATCCTGACTGACTTACTGTATGTCTGTATACAGTGCATTCGGAAAGTATTCAGACCCCTTGACTTTTTCCACATTTTGTTACGTTCCAGCCTTATTCAAAAATAACTATCCTCATCAATCTACACACAATACCCCATAATGACAAAGCGAAAACAAGTTTTTAGAAATTTTTGCAAATGTATTAAAAAGAAAAAACAGAAATACCTTATTTACATAAGTATTGCTATGAGACTCGAAATTGAGCTGAGGTGCATCCTGTTTCCATTGATCATCCTTGAGATGTTTCTACAACTTGATTGGATTCCACCTGTGGTAAATTCAATTGATTAGACATGATTTGGAAAGGCACACACCTGTCTAGATAAGGTCCCACAGTTGACAGTGCATGTTAGAACAAAAACCAAGCCATGAGGTCGAAGGAATAGAGCTCCGAGACAGGATTGGGTCGAGGCACAAATCTGGGGAAGGGTACCAAAAAATTTCAGCAGCATTGAAGGTCCCCAAGAACACAGTGGCCTCCATCATTCTTAAATGGAAGAAGTTTGGAACCACCAAGACTCTTCCTAGAGCTGGCCACCCGGCCAAACTGAGTAATCGGGGGAGAAGGGCCTTGGTCAGGGAGGTGACCAAGAACCCGATGGTCTCTCTGACAGAGCTCCAGAGTTCCTCTGTGGAGATGGTAAAACCTTCCAGAAGGACAACCATCTCTGCAGCACTCCACCTATCAGGCCTTTATGGTAGAGTGGCCAGACAGAAGCCACTCCTCAGTAAAAGGCACATGACAGCCCGCTTGGAGTTTGCCAAAAGGCACCTAAAGGACTCTCAGACCATGAGAAACAAGATTATCTGGTCTGATGAAATCAAGATTGAACTCTTTGGCCTAAATGACAAGCGTCAAGTCTGGAGGAAACCTGGCACGGTACCTACGGTGAGGCATGATGGTGGCAGCATCATGCTGTGGGGATGTTTTTCAGCGGCAGGGACTGGGAGACTAGTCAGGATCGAGGGAAAGCTGAAAAGAGCAAAGTACAGAGAGATCCTTGATGAAAACCTGCTCCAGAGCGCTCAGGACTTCAGACTGGGGTGAAGGTTCACCTTCCAAAAGGACAACAACCCTAAGCACACAGCCAAGACAACACAGGAGTGGCTTCGGGACAAGTCTCTGAATGTCCTTGAGTGGCCCAGCCAGAGCCCGGACTTGAACCCAATCGAACATCTCTGGAGACATCTTGTAGCATCATACCCCAGAAGACTCGAGACTGTAATCGCTGCCAAAGGTGCTTCAACAAAGTACTGAGTAAAGGATCTGATTACTTATGTAAATGTGATATTTCCATTTTTTTTATTTGATACATTTCCCCCCCCAAAAAACTGTTTTTGCTTTGTCATTATGGGGTATTGTGTTTAGATTGATGAGGGGGGGGAAACAATTTCGTCCATTTTAGAATAAGGCTGTAATGTAACAAAATGTGGAAAAAGTCACAAAATGTGGAAAAGTCAAGGGGTCTGAATAGTTTCCGAATGCACTGTAGATTTAAGTCTAGATAGTACTTATGCTATTAAGAACAACTCAAGACTTTACTTCCACAATTAGTTTCCTATACTTCCACAAATGCGATTCAGGTTACCACATGTGAACTAAAATATATATATATACTATGAGTCTTGTATTTCATAAATGCGTAATCCAAATCATATTGCATATCCCCCCTTTGTTTGTCCTCAGGTGTTGCATGAGTACTGGATGGTACTTAGGAACAATGTGTCAGCCATTGATGAGCTGGGGATGGCCACAGAGAGGCTGCGTGTGAGGCTGCCTGATGAACCCAAACCCAAAGTACCAGTACTGCACATCATAGAGCCACACGAGGTGAGATAGCTACACCAGGGGACGAGGTGGGGACTGGGGCTGCAGGTTAAAGGACTGCTGGTTCAAGTTCTATTTGACATTCTTTTACCTTTTTTAGTTTTTATGCATGACATATGATGTAATTAAAGATTGAAAGACTGTGATTCAGTGTAATTTCATTTAATTAAAAATGTGCGATTTACTCTGTATAAGGACAAAGTTATTACTGCTGTTATCTCAGTGCCTATTTCACTAACTGCTGTTTTCTGGTCATTCTGGGTGTAGGTGGATCAGAACAGAGTGAAGCTGTTAAACGATAGAGCGGTGGCAAAGTCTCAGCTCCAGAAGAAGCTGGGCCAATTCCTTTATCTCTCAAATCTAGAGAAGGTAAGCCTGCCATTCGCCTGTGGCCATTTTAGGGTTTCTGGTCAATACCAGAGTTTCTCTTCCTATGCTTTAAAATGTAATAGCAGTGGTTTGTTTTTGTCGATTGGTTTTGTCTTGTCTTCTTTGATTTAGATGTCAAACTAATTTTGCCCCGGGGGCCGCATTCGGTCTTCAAGAGGTCTGGAGGGCCGCACTGAAAATGTGTTATATTTCCTCTCCATCAAAATGTGCAAAAGATAGTCCTCTATCCATCGTTTTTAGAATTTTCTGATACTCCCTGACTGTCTAGCTTTAATTTCGGTGATTATTAGCAAGCTGGACACAGTCAAGAAACGGTATAAATGTAGGACCATTATAATTTCTACACAGTTTCGATTTGGTTTTAGTAATTTTAAAGTACTGAGTTCGTTTCCCCCACAATTTCTGTTGTTTTGTTTTTATATTTTACTCAAACCACCCGCGGGCCGAATTGTTGCCCCTCACAGGCCGGATCCGGACCACAGGCCTTATGTTTGACACCCCTGATTTAGAAGAAGTGTGCTACATGCTGTAATGAAACAAAGCTAAAGGTAAATGTTTGTGTTCTTGTGTTGTTTCAGTCCCAGGACAAGGCGACAGGAGGACTAAACCCAGAACCATGTCCTATCTGTGCCCGTCCTCTAGGTCAGGAGGTGAGACGTTATAATCTGCCCGTTTACAACCCTGGTCTGTTCAATCTGATTCCCCTTTAGACAAGTGTTTCTATCTGTGTCTGTGTCCCCCATTCTACCTCTTCATCTTACCACTCTTTGAAATATAAAATGTTCTGAACTGTGATGCTTGGTAAGTATGCGTAATACATACTGTACCTTATCATGGTTGATTCATGCCGTGTGTGTGTCTCTCTCTGAATCCCTCTGCTCCAGTGGGCGGTGCTGACCTGCGGTCACTGTTTCTGTAACGAGTGCATCGCCATCATCGTAGAGCAGTACAGCGTGGGGTCGGGCACGCGGCGGAGGGCCATCAAGTGTGCCATCTGCAGACAGACCACGTCCCACGCAGAGATCTCCTATGTCTTCACCACCCAGACAGACAACCAGGGGACAGACATCCCTGTCAAGGTACACAGACAGACGCACACCTTTGCCAAGCATGTATATGAACAATAAGTTAACTTCCTGTATCTGTGTCTCTTAGGGAAGCCACTCTACCAAGGTGGAGGCGGTAGTCAGGACTCTGAAGAAGATCCAGCTAACTGACCCAGGAGCCAAGTGTCTCGTCTTCTCCACGGTAACGCATGTGTATTTTGTGAACAAAGTGTAAACAACAACAGAGTAAACAAACTGCCATCATTGCACTTATTGTGACGGTCATTTATTGTGATACAAATCATGACAATGCTGTTTAAAACATCACATTAGGATGATGTTGATGATGTGTGTGTTCCTTTTCTCCAGTGGCAGTGTGTGTTGGACATCATTGCCAAGGCTCTGTTTGACAACAACATGGAGTTCTCTCAAATCAACGGCATTCACAAATTCCAGGTTTATGTTGCATGTCACTCCAATCATAGTTTCCGTACAACTTCTCAATGGCACAATCGCAATGCTTTTCTCCTAAATTAAGTATATATTTTTTACTTGTAGAGCGAGAGCTGCCACTGAGAAGCTTTTTTCCCCTAACTGTCGCAGCATCTCTCATTTCCAAATTCAAATTTGCTCCAATTATTAAGTCCACCCTGCTTGCTTGCTGTTACTGTACGCCTTGTTCTCCGCGTCTTTAACCTGTGAATTGGTCGTTGGTGTTTCAGGAGAATCTGTGTTCGTTTAAATACGAGGAGAAGATCAACATCTTGCTCCTTCCTCTCCACACGGGCTCCAATGGGCTCAACATCATTGAGGCTACGCACGTCCTATTGGTGGAGCCCATCCTCAACCCCGCCCACGAGCTGCAGGCCATTGGCCGGGTGCACCGCATTGGACAGACCAAGTGAGAACACTGGGGTTGCTTTATTACTTGTTATAAGTGTGTATAGGCCATTATGTCTCATTATAAGGTTTATAACATGTTATTTCTCTGTTCTCTAGACCCACCTATGTCCATAGATTCCTCATCAAGTCCACTATTGAGGAGAGAATGCAGGCGATGTTGAAGACTGCAGAGAAATGGTGAGGGCCTTTTCTTGTACTGAAAACAGAGGCCAATGTTCTAAAAATGATTTTAAACATTGTTGTCCTAACACCACAGTCACAGTGTGACTAAGTTAGTTCTGAACATTGTAAATGTTGTCATACCACCACAGCAGCCACAGTGCGACTGCCATGAAGCACTCGGAGGCTGCAGTCCTGATGGTAGCTGATCTGGCTGATCTCTTCACCGAGGACAGCGAGGCTCTGGAGTAAACCATGCCACTACCGCACCAGGCCCTGGAGTGAAGCTGAACCTGTCCACCAAGCCACTACAATACTAATCCTAACCCCATCGGGCTACAGCCACAGACGAGGCTGTCGTACAGATAAACAGGCTCAAAGCTAAGCGCACTGCATCCAGCACACAGTTTTGATAGTAGACCAAGCAAGTCTTTCATTGATAGTAGACGAACAATGATATTACACTTAGACCCAATGGAATCGTTGTTTTGCATATTCCACTTTTTATGTAGCTGTTCCAATGGCGTCACATAGTTATATGGATTAAAAAGAAAACGTAGAAAAAGGAAGCTGTAAGTAAAGTACCAAATATCACTTTGTGTCTTTTAAACTATTTAAAGTGACAGTTTAATGGTCTTGTTAGATCTCTCTCTCTGGTACAGTATATTTAGTTCTCTTGTTGCCACAGATTGGAAAACTGTGAGGTTTTTAATGGGTGTATATATGTCTCCCATCAACACACTCAGATTCCACCTCATTCTGATGAGTAACTGCTTTTATGATTCCATTTGAGTAGATTTCACTGAAATGTTGTGATGTCGTACCTCTCTGTATTCCCTCTGCTCACAATGCATCTAACAGTAGGTCATATATTATGTTAATAGACATCAAACATGCTCCTTCTCCACATGTTGATATTCTGATGAGGGAAAAACATTCCAGATGATGTAATCACTGTGGTGATTGGTTGAGGTATTCCATCCCTTTTTAAAGAATAAAAGGCTGACATAGGACAGTTGTTTATTAATCTGTTTTGAACCTGCTTCTTTTGTATTGTAAGACATTCATGTCAAACTCAGACAAGGTTGTTAATGTCCATGTTGTAAAAGTTTGCAGGGAGGAAGGAAGCTGTTGTCATTTACAACATGAGTGGATTTTGTACGTTTTGGGGGAATCTCTTCCGTTGAGAGGATCAATTGAAGCTGGTTGTCTGTTGGGATAATGACAGACAATCACAGTCTAACTGTTCAGGTAGTCTTATTTGCAAGACAAAAAAGCACATGATTCCATGTCCGTAAAACTTTGACTGTAAAGTCAACTCGTAAAAATGCCAAATATATCTTTTTAGATTTTCATCAAATGTTCCTCATGTTCTAGCTACATGCTTTGCGGTGCTCCTTGTCTGTCACACACACACACACAACACACACACAACACACACACACACACAACATTAGACCATTGGCAGTGTCAGTGAACTGCCCTTGACTCATCGGCAGGCCTTATTTTCCTCTTATCCCAAATGGCACCCTATTCCCTATGCGGGCCCTGGTCAAAAGTGGTGCACTATAGGGAATAGGGTGCCATTTGGGATACAACCATTGACTGGGGTCCCCGCAGCAATAAATATTTCACCATGGTCTTTAAAAACGTATGGACAAAAGACAGCAGATAAAAGAAGCAGTACCACCCCTGTACTATTGTCTCTGTTAACATGTTAATGAGCCTGCTTGTTGATATGTGTAGTATGACGATGTAGTTGCGTAGTAAAATGTTTACTACGAGGGCATCGCCGGCAACGGCCCAGTTGTATGGCTACGTCCCCAATGGCACCCTATTCCCTACATAGTGCACTACTTTTGACAAGAGCCCATAGTAGTGCACTATATAGGGAATAGGGTGCCATTTGGGATGCAAACCTATGTGTGTTACCTCGGACTCCCCTCGGCTCCCCCTATTCATGTCTGGAATCTCATTGTTGGTGGGGACATCATTCAGGCTAGTGTTTTAAGGTCTGGAGAAAGGGAGGGAGGGAGGGAGGGACGCTGGTTCCCGGTCCTAGTTCATTAGAGCTGTGTTTGGAGGACTGCACTGAGAGTGGGCACTACGTCTGGACCTGACAGCTGCACTTTGGTGAATAGGTTAGAAGATTCACAGATCTGTGGGAAAGGGCCAAGAAGACAGTAGTCTGAGGTTTGGAGTGTCTGACCGTAGAGAAGCCAGAGCGAGAGAGAGTCCCTTTGAAGATGACACCTGCCAATTTGGTCTTAGCCTGGTTCCTGCTCGCTGTGAGGACAGTCACCTCTGCTGTCTATCTGGAGCCTGAGGGTGAGTTCAGTTCAGTTCAACTACTTCATGAGCAGGGTTGAAAACATCCCCCAAATTCACTGTTTTATTTCTTCAGAAATCCCAGTTGCAGGATTTCTGGAATCAGCAGGGAATACACTGAAAGAATCCTCCAAGCTAGAATCCCATCAACTAGAATTTTAGAAAAAACAGGGAATTTTGGCAACGTTTTATGTGTTTTGCAACCCTATTCGTAAGCAAATCTCAAGTTTAAATCTAGAATCCTTAATTGAAACAATAACAAAGGGACACCCCACTTCTGTTTTGGTAAAAAGCTGAGGGATGGGCCTGGAGAAATGTACCCACTCTCAAATTCATAGCCAGAGATATGGATACAAGAACTGATCATTCATGATTATAGTTTTAACCATGTTTTGAGGCTGTTCACTGTTTGTTTACATTTGCATTGTTTACAAACATTGGAGTAAAACAAGCTTGTATGTTGGGTTCTGATGTGGTATGACAATCAAACTAAGCTCATGAGTCATAAGTTATATTCTTCAAGAATCAATGGGTATATATCATTAATTTATAAGTCCATAAATTGATGTAATATGTTTTTTTGGATCTGTTTCTTGATGTGGTCTTAATGTTGATGGGTCTTTTTCAACAATAAGCACCTGTTAAAATCTAGAGACCACATATATTAGACCAGAATCATGTTTTCACTGGGGAAACTGTTTGGAGTCTGATGGAACATGTAGGAGAATGGAATCTATAGTTGTCCTTTTTTCTGTGACCATATTGATGTCACAACTGCCCTTCATAATAACTGGGCTAAATATATTTAGTAAATAACTCTTGAACTGTATACTTGCACAAATGGATTAACAATGGAATACATTTTAAAATGTGTGATATATTTCATATGATCTGATTTCATGTCAGGGGACAGGATTTTTTCAACGTTGTCCAGCTGACCCCTTCCTCTCTCCTAGAGCTCAATGAAACTGTCCTCTGCACCAATGACCAGATGGAGGTGGTCATTCCCAGTGCCTTCTTCTTCAACAAAGTGCCACCCATTTATGTAAGTTCAGTGTCAACCAGAATTAATATTACTTTATATTACAGCTTACTTACCATGAACTCACTGTTAAGTTTGATATAATAGATTACTCCCTGTGTGTTGCGCTGTGCTATGCCATATTGTGCTGTATTGTTCTCTAGTAATCTCAACACCCAGAACCAAATCAACATTTTAATATTAAGGCTGTCAGGAAGGTCTACTGTAGTTCTCTAGTGAAGTCCCTTCCTCTCTTTCTTAGGTCTGGGATTTGCACCTAAATGACCCAGAGTGCCGTGGTGTTGAGATTGAAGATGACTATGTCTTTAGCATCAAGACCAATCTCTCTGACTGTGGGACAATCGTGGTAAGACTTTGAGCTTTTCTCCCCTAGAAATGCCCTTTCATATTAGGGGCATTTCATTGCCATTCTCTGATGATTGCTTTGGGAGATTAAGATTTACTTGTCTACGCCAACTATGAAGGATTTAACCTCGTAAAGTAAACAAAGTAGTAACCTTTGTCGTTCAGAGCAACCCTGACAAAGAAGAAAAACATTAGCACCAGTAACATAGAGACAAACTACAGTTTGGATCCCTTTTACTAGCCACATAAAATCCCCATCACAGTAAATTATCTAATTTTACGATGCAGCTCTGTTATACTGAGCTCTGGCCTAACGTCTGGTGTAGTATTGTAGAACTTCCCTGCACTGGTTTGTGCCAGAAAAGAACTTAAAGGGACACTTCAGGATTTTGGCAATGCCCTTTTTCTACTTCCCCACAGTCAGATGAACTAGTAGAGACCATTTTTATGTCTGTGTGTCCAGTATGAAGGAAGTTCGAGGTAGTTTCGCAAGCCAATGCTACCCATAGACTTCCAAGTATCCTTTAATTGGGTGAGCTAACTGGGAGTTTGGATACACACTATGCTCAAAATAGCTAGCATGAATAACACCTCTTTTCATTTATACATTACATACATGGACCTCTGCTGTCAGTTTCCTGCAATGAAATTATCTCATAATCTGTAAAAAGCGTGAGGGACCCAGAGAGACAGAAAGAGAGAGGGGAGGAATAAGTAGCCTATATTTAAAAGAAAATGGGAGTGTTGTTCCTTTGCCCTCCCAAGAGCCACTGGACTTTATTCAAAGCAGCGAGGAGTGGGTGGGAGCTCTAAATTATCAGGACTTACATGGAAATGAGCATGTTTTCAGACCTGCTGAATAGCCAGGCTATAATTCAGTGGCCCACTTTGTGGTCGCCCCTTTTGGTGGCAGTAGCACAGCTCAGAGGACAATTTTAACTTTGGCGTGGTATAAATCTGTACTCAAGACCATGAGTGTCATTGAAACGCTTGCTTAGAATGCACAGAGGCATTTCTTGTAAAGCAAGCAAAAGGTTAACCACAGCTTTGTGTGGGGAGAAAATCTCCCTCTTTCTCTACCCTCTGAGGTTTTACAAGGCTTTAGCTTCAGCATACCAGACCTAGTGAAAGTAGTAAGCCTGCTTTGCTTTTGGGATTAGACACTGTTGGGAAAAGAAGGGAATGCCATAGTTACCAAACACTCCTCCTTTTCACCTTGAGAGGTAGAAGTAGACCCTCGTAAAGCTATTGAACCCCACAGACAGGACCGGAGCGACTAGCAAGTGGGAATGTAATGACTCTCCACACTTGAAAAGTGAAATGATCTAAACAACTAGAAATAAATTGGACTTGAAGATTTTGTCGCCCATTGCTATAATCATTGTGGTCTCTCTGTTTGTCAAATTGCATGAGTTTGTTAATTAACCATTCATAAGAACCCAAGGTCAGTGAGCAGAGCATTATTCCTACAGAGTAATGAAGACGTTAGTGCACTATAGAGGGAATAGGCTGCTATTTAAGACGCGTTCTCTGTGGGACAGACCGTGAGTGGTAGGCCCAGTGGGGGGCTGTGTATTTACCCTGGGGTAATAAAGCAGTACTAGACAGTAAGGGCAAGGGGCAATTCATCCTTCTCAATGGCCATGGGACCAGTCCTCCATTTGCTCTCAACAGGGATCCGGACACAACCCGGTCACAACCTTTTCATCCAACCCCTCTTTATGGTTTCTGCCTACGTCAGTAGTCTGCTACTAAACATTTGAACTGTATTACTCACACATTTTATTTATTTTATTATTTAACCTTTATTAACGCTGGGCCAATTGTGCGCCGCCCTATGGGACTCCCAATCACGGCCGGATTGTGATACAGACTGGAATCGAACCAGGGTCTGTAGTGAAACCTCTAGCACTGAGATGCAGTGCCTTAGACCGCTGCGCCACTCGGGAGCACATTCTATAATGACAGAAAATTACAGTGCTACTGTACGTAGGCGCTCTGGTTGGGGAAAGAGTCATCTTGGAACCCAGAACCAAATCTTGCATGGGCTAGCCAGCTACTCAATTTGATATTTATGTTAACAGTATGTCACATGAAATTAAGGAAAGCGTTTTGGTGAATGTAGCAGGGTTTGTGACATGTAGTTTGCGCTAGGTCACCCTTTCATGGTTATCAATCTGCAGTTACAGCACTTCCAAAGTGACTAATTTAGTTACTTCCAAAGTTGCACCATAATGGAATAACGATTCATACTTCTCTTTCTAGGCATCGGATGATACACATATTATGTTCATTAACACCATACGCAACAACGATTCGGATGTCGTCACAAGGAACTACATAAACATCACGTTTGTCTGCCGCTACCCAATAAACTACATGGTCCAGCAACCTAATGGGGAAAACATGATCAGGGTGGATGTCAAGTAAGATATCTAGTTATGGCTATTAAAAATGGTCATAGATTTTCATTACGAGTTCATTAATACCTGGTTTAAACTTTCATTAACATTATTCACACAGTCTTAATTGGCCAAAGAAGCTGATCTAAAAGAGGACATTTTATGTTCTATGTAGTGCTTGTAGTTTGTAGAATACATCAATCCAATCACTTCTAAGCTCTCTGTGGGGCGACCAGAACTGCCACTTAAATCGAATTTTGGACTTGTAACTGTAACTCAAGCACTGCATCTATACAATCTATACTATTCTCTCCAGGACAATCACTCTGAACACAGAAGATGGGAACTTCTCTGTGTCCATGTTGCTGTATAAAGACGAGGACTTTGAGGACAAGTGGACCACTGTGCCCTCACTGACACTGGATGACAACATCTACGTTAAAGTTTTCATGGTAAAGGTCATCATGTGATTTCATTCTGTTTGATATCTGTTGTATTTTTTTCCAACCTGGACTCAGGGGTAGACGTAACATAGTAAAATATGTATGATATGTTGTGTTTTGCGTAGTATGTATTAATTTGTGGATGTCTATCATCCATTTCGTATGATATGTTACAAATTACAATTCGTACAATATGTTACAAATTGCAATTCGTACAATATGTTACTAATTTGCCAAACGTATGATATGTTATGAATTCCAATTTGTTGTGCCTAATGTTAGCTAGGTGGCTAAAGTTAGCTAGTGTTAAGGTTAGGAGTTAGGGTAGGGGAAGGGTTAGCTAACATGCTAAGTAGTTGCAAAGTAGCCAAAAAATTGTAAGTAGTTGCAAAGCTGCTAAAATGTTAAAGTTGTCCGTGATGAGATTTGAACACGCAACCTTTGCGTCCAGCACTCCACCCCGACCAACCACCCTACTTTAGTTTTTGCCTTAAGTAACCTTCTGTCTTACGTAACCATACCAAACGTAACATATCATACTAATTTGAGTGCCCCAGATTTACATTTACTGTGTTACGTCTAGTCTGAGACCAGGCTGATTTATTTTTCTTATTGTCATTGCAACCACACTTGACACCATCAGTCTTCTAGGAGTTGTGTTGTTGAAATATGAAATCAGAGCTGATCATGTGATCATGACCAGCAGATATTTAGTTAGGCTAGTTAACTGAAGTACCAACCAATGTGGTGTAACTTACTGTGCAGCTTTTGAACGTTAGAATAGACCCAATTCTGTGTAAGCTTACCGTGGTTGAGCCGTTTCTCCCTCTTGCTAGATAAAGATGAGCACCTTTAGTGAGTGTTGAGCTGAAGACCAGTCTTTGGCCCTGGCCATAGACATACGGTAAATGTCAAGTATATTGGCTCTGATCCAATGTGATTGTCTGTTGCTCCATCTTTGGCTTCCAGGAAACCCTAGTTCCCACTGTTGTTTACTCTCTCTTTCATTGTACATCTGTTGACCTGCTGACTTGGTCAAAATATTTACTGAGTGCAGTGCAGGCCAGAGACACCTCTCTCTCTGTCTCGCTCTCTCTCTCTATCTGTGTGTGGGTGTGGGTCACTGACTGTAGTCCCGGTTTGTCTCTCTCTCTCTTAGATACCGGCTCATCTTTTGCTGCGTGTGGAGAGGTGCTGGGCTACCCCAACCAATGACCCGTACAGCAACATCCAGTACACCTTCATCAAGGACAGGTCTTTTCAAAGAAAGTTTAACATTATATCACTGTGTATTATAAGCCCTCTCATCACATATTGCTCTTCATTCTGTTTATTAGAATTCAAAAATGTGTTATGGAGGCCTATCTAAATGTACAGTGCATTCGGAAAGTATTCAGACCCCTTGACTTTTTCCACATTTTGTTACGTTACAGCCTTATTCTAAAATGGATTAAATAAATAAAAATCCTCATCAATCTACACACAATACCCCATAATGATTAAGTGAAAACAGGTTTTTAGAAAAAACAGAAATACCTTATTTACATAAGTATTCAGACCCTTTGCTATGAGACTCGAAATTGAGCTCAGGTGCATCCTGTTTCCATTGATCATCCTTGATGTTTCTACAACTTGATTGGAGTCCACCTGTGGTAAATTCAATTGATTGGATATAATTTGGAAAGGTCCCACAGTTGACAGTGCATGTCAGAGCAAAAACCAAGCCATGAGGTCGAAGGAATTGTCCGTAGAGCTCCGAGTCAGGATTTTATCGAGGCACAGATCTGGGGAAGGGCACCAAAACATTTCTGCAGCATTGAAGGTCCCCAAGAACACAATGACATCCATCATTCTTAAATGGAAGAAGTTTGGAGACCGATGGCCACTCTGATAGAGCTCCAGAGTTCCTCTATAGAGATGGGAGAACCTTCCAGAAGGACAAACATCTCTGCAGCACTCCACCAATCAGGCCTTTATGGTGGCGAGACGGAAGCCACTCCTCAGTAAAAGGCACATGACACCCGCTTGGAGTTTGCCAAAAGGCACCTTAAGGACTCTCAGACCATGAGGAACAAGATTCTCTGGTCTGATGAAACCAAGATTGAACTCTTTGGCTTGAATGCCAAGCATCACGTCTGGAGGAAACCTGGCACCATCCCTACGGTGAAGCATGGTGGTGGCAGCATCATACTGTGGGGATGTTTTCCAGCGGCAGGGACTGGGAGACTAGTCAGGATCGAGGGCAAGATGAACGGAGCAAAGTACAGAGAGATCCTTGATGAAAGCCTGCTCCAGAGCGCTCAGGACCTCAGACTGATGCGAAGGTTCACCATCCAACAGGACAACGACCCTAAGTACACAGCCAAGACAACGCAGGAGTGGCTTCGGGACAAGTCTCTGAATGTCCTTGAGTGGCCCAGCCAGAGCCTGGACTTGAACCTGATCTAACATCTCTGGAGAGACCTGAAAATAGTTGTGCAGCGATGCTCCCCAACCAACCTGACAGAGCTTGAGAGGATCTGCAGAGAAGAATGCGAGAAACTCCCCAAATACAGGTGTGCCAAGCTTGTAGCGTCATACCCAAGAAGACTCGATGCTGTAGTCGCTGCCAAAGGTGCTTCAACAAAGTACTGAGTGAAGGGTCTGAAAACTTTTGTAAATGTGATATTGAAGTTTTTTTTTTTAATAAATGTGCAAAAGTTTATAAAAAACGGTGTTTGCTTTGTCATTATGGGGTATTGTGTGTAGATTGAGGGGGGGGAAAAACAATTTCATCCATTTTAGAATAAGGCTGTAACGTAACAAAATGTGGAAAATGTCAAGGGGTCTGAATACTTTCCGAATGCACTGTATATTTTTGTAGTGTCACACTTTCAACCACACTTGACACCAGCACATATTCCTCTGGGAATGGCGTTGTTGAAATATGAAATAAGAGTTGTTGAATTGCTTAGACTTAAGAGTTGGGGGTAACACAACAACTTCAGACCCCTGTCACGTGACCCAGGACCCAGATCAACAGCTGTGCATGTCCTTGACAACCAGGACATATGTTGTACTGTTAGCAACAGCACAGCAATGACTTGCACAAGTACTTCTGTTTACTATGTCTGAGAAGAAAACACTTAAAAGGATCTGCCTTGTCATTCCCAGAATCCCATTATGAAAGATGGGAATATCACAATCACAAAGTGCTCTGCTCTTACATGGCATGTGTTCAGTGTAAACAAGTGAATGTAGATTATTTGTCTGGGTTTTGTATCAGGTGTTAGTATAGCATACCAGGAATGATTTCATTAACCAACACATTCTAAAATGTATGATATCTTATTCAACGGTTGCACATGCTGCCTCTGATACTGATGCGATCCACTGCCTGTTCTATCTCTCTCGCTCTCTCTCTTGCTCTTTCGCTCACTCTCTCTCTTACTCTCTCTCTATCTCTCGCTCTCTCGTGTGTGTTTCAGCTGCCCCGTGTTGTCAAACGAACAGACGTTGACAGTGCTGAAGAATGGACAGGGGCCAGAGGCTATGTTCAGGATACAAATGTTCAAGTTTGTGGGCAGCTCTTACAAGGATGTGTTTCTCCACTGCAATGTTCAGATCTGTCACAACACACCTGGGGTCTGTCAGCCTGTGAGTGATCCCTCCCCCTTTCTTCATTCTGATGATGCTCACTGGCTCATTCAAACCCTAGTTTATAACAAGGGCCTACTGCTGTCATAAATAAAGACAATGAAAAAACTTGATTTATTTGCAACTGGTGTTAATTAAAGAAATATGTGATCATTTTGGAAATGTAAAAGGAAAAGTAAATATGGTAATAATGCTGTGATAATACTTTAATGAAGCTATATAAATGCTTGTTGTACCTTAATATTAATATTTCCATGTAACAGAACTGTTCTGGTGAGGATAGCTCCAGGCGGATGAGAAGAGATGTTGCCATGTCCCATACAGTATCTTATGGACCAATCAGGCGACGTCTGCCTGAGAGTGACCAACCCAGCCTGAGTAAGTCTCACAATAAAGGCTCTTTATTTATTATCACCAACATACTGTACTGGGTTGTGTTCAGTAGAGATACAACTTTTGTATTAGAGTGAAACAGGGAGATACTACCTGAGCTTGTCCAATAAGAACATAGCCAAATTCAGTAGCCAAATATTGTCGAACATTGTAGATAGAAATGCCATGATAGAGCCAACATGATGCCATGATAGAGCCAACATGATTCCTTATTCTACATGGCAGAGACAGACCTGGGTTCAAATACATGTGTATTTGATTATTTGTTCTTTAAAAACGTATTTTCTGTGTATTTGAGTATTTGCACAAAATCAAAAATCAACTACTTCTATTGGAAGCATTTGAAAGTATTTCAAATTCATTTCCTATAAATAGTCCACTATTTGAAAGTATTTTCTAATACCTGGGTTAAATGCATGGAAGTGTATTTGAGTCAGTGTATTTCAAATGCATGCCAATACTTTCCAAGTATATTTCCAAATACATTTCAATATTCAACTACTTGTCTTAAAAATAAAAATAAATCGGAATACTTACTTCTAAATGTATGTGAACATAATTGAGAGACTTGAAATAGTATTTGAACCCAGGTCTTGTCAGAGAGGCATGTTTGTTCTACATAACATATACTGAACAAAAATATAAATGCAACATGCAACAATTTCAAAGATTTTACTGAGTTTACAGTTCGGAAATCAGTAAATTTAAATAAATGGATAGATTTCACATGACTGGGAATACAGATATGCATCTGTTGGTCACAGATACCCCCCCAAAAAAATGTAGGAGCAGAAAACCAGTCAGTATCTGGTGTGACCACCATTTGCCTCATGCAGGGTGACACATTTCCTTTGCATAGAGTTGATCAGGCTGTTGATTGTGGCCTGTGGAATGTTGTCCCACTCCTCTTCAATGGCTGTGCGAAGTTGCTGGATTATCTTGGCAAAGGAGAAATGATCACTAACAGGGATGTAAACACATTTGTGCACAAAATTAGAGAGAAATAAGCTTTTTGTGTGTATGAAACATGGGACCAACACTTTACATGTAGCGTTTATATTTTTGTTCAGTGTATTTCTATCTGAACGTTCCAAAATGTTGAACGCACCCCAGCTTATTTATGTTTTCCATTTCAAAATGTTTTCCTACTTCTGTGTTTTGCTAACGTTGTGCCCTACTGAACACGTCCCTGCATCTCTGACTTGCCAATCTCTTTCCCTGCAGACTCTGGAGGTGTGCTTTCGGTGGAGACGTTTGTCCTGGGAGGCCTGCTGGTGGTCCTGCTGCTGATCATTGGAGTGTTCGGGAGGCTGTGGCTGAGAACCAGACACTCCTACCCAGCACAGGAGGCCGCACAGCTCACTCTGTCCAATATACACCACATCTCAGAGGTGGCCTCCTAAAATAGCTGAGCAGACCAGAAGTCCAAGCTATGAGAACTGATGTCAAACGGTGCATGCATACATACATCTACAAAAGCAGACACACAAATGCAAGCATGCACAGGCAATGGTGTAGTGGAGGGAATACGCAGGTATACGCCGTATACACACTTATTTTTCAGAGGGCATTGCGTATGCTCACTTCTTAATCCCCTTGATGCGTATCAAAGTAGTGTAGTGGATGTATACGGCGGATCAATCAGTAAGGCTGATGGAACAGATCAGAATGTTTAGCTTAAAATGTTGATAAACTATTATTTCTTAATATTTTAGGCGCAGCAATGTGCACAAGGCTGTAAAATACGCACAAATGTTCCAAAATGGAATTTGCGGGAAAACTCTGTTCTAAAATGCGCACCCGGATTCGTGGAAATATCAGTTAGACATTTTTAAAGGGGCAAGATCTTATGATGCAACAACTATCATGGGTTGATAATATGACTAGGATAATGCCTTTGACTGCTAGACAATTAACCGAAAACCAATAGAACAGGAGAACACATATGAGGAAGTCTTTATAAAATAATTGCCTCCACATTTCTATGATTTCAAACAATTAAGGAACAGTAAAAATATAGTGATGGTAATGATAGGCCTAACCGTCTTCTGGTAGATGGAAAGGCTTTCCCAAAAAGCTTCCCAATGAAATGTTAACAAAGTAGCCTATGCCTACCTGGTAGAATGATATCATGATTATTTGCATCAATCCTGTGGCCATTTGTTTTGCAACGCCATCTCATGTGCTACAGAAACACTGCTAACAAAGCAACAGTGCTAGGTGCCTGTGCACTTGAATTAAAGGATAACTACACTCAAAAATAGAAATGTCTTAGATTTTTCCAAGATCTCAAAAAGTGGTCTCCTGGTGTGGTTTAAGCATTGTTATGGACTTGGGACATCCAATTCTATATCAAAATGTTTACTTTGAGAGCAAAAACCTTTATTTTTATTTTTTATGGAAGAATCTGAAACCTGTGTATTTCTGTGGTCCTCTGTAGCTCAGCTGGTAGAGCACGGCGCTTGTAACGCCAAGGTAGTGGGTTCGATCCCCGGGACCACCCATACACAAAAATGTATGCACGCATGACTGTAAGTCGCTTTGGATAAAAGCGTCTGCTAAATGGCATATTATTTATTATTTGACACCTACTATTAGCCTATTTGCACAGTACAGCTTGGGTTGGCCTGATTGTGAAAGACCAATATGGGATTTATCATATTAGGTCATTCAGAGTGTATGTCACTTGTTTCTCATATAATTTTTCACACAGGGCGCCTTTCCTTCACTGGGTGGGCCTTTTGGGAAATTTCTGGCAAAATTAAGAGTATACCCACTTCTCCAGGCACAACTACACTCACTGCATGCATGCACGTGCACCCACACACACAAATTAAAATGTTGCATAAGGAAAGAGGAAACCATGAATTTACTGTACTTTTGGGTGTATATAAAATATCAGTGTAGAAATGAGGGATTTTTAAGATGTGGTATGAAAATGAAAACATCTCTTGTAACATATGGGTTTTCAGTGTTTTTTTGTAAAGAAAAAAATACATGTATTTCAAAAAGCTGTTGTGTTTAATTGAACTATTTCTGACCTTTTCAATGTCTAAAACAACATATTTCTTTGAGGTGTAGCTAGCTAAGTATTCTCGGGGTATTCCCCATCTATTTCAGGCGCACATCTCTAGCAAAACTTGGCTGTGGTCCGGGTCCGCTGCGTGATGACGCAATCAACTTGCGCCATTTGTAGATATTAGCAGCTAGCCACAGATGAGCTAGCTAGCATTTTACAGCAGAAGTCACAATAGCGACTCGAGGCGAAAGAGACGACGTGAATATTTGTAGCTGACTAGCTAGCTGCTACAACATTACCTACATTTTAGTTAATTGTGTGTGGCTAGTGTCACTGCCGAATATAAGGACAAGACTCGGAAAACAACGATTTGCTGTATCGTTATTTAATACGGGTAAGCCGACTTTGCTAATTAGCTAAATGGAATTGTGACTGTTTTTTGTTAACTTGCTAACGTTAGCTAGCTACCAAGCTAACGTTAGCTAGCTCAGTGGCTGGCTAAAATGGGACATTTGGAGAGCCACCGTATCCAACCTCCATCTCCTTTTCACCCGTTATTCAATAAGGGTTTTGTTAGCCGCTAGCTAGCACAGCTACGGCTGAAGAAGGTGGTTGGTGTTGCTAGCTAGCTAACAATGTTAGAGAGTCTTGATAATTGTTTTTCCCTTTTGAAACCGCACTAAGTAAGCCGGACATTCCACTTGCCAATGGCAAACTTAACTAGCTAACGTTAGCTGGCTATCTTTTTAAACTGTATTCATATTGTGTTAATCTAAATAGCCAGTTAGCTTGTTAATACTATGTGTTGTGTTATATTTAAATATGTGTTCGTTAGTTACAAGTCATTTGTTTTTGTTTATCTTGCGCAATCTGGCACGAGGCCTGTGAAGCCAGACAACTCAGTCATGCACAGTCAAGACAGGCAGTACAACGTTTCCCCTTACAGCCACTATCATGGTTGGCTGACAGTTGTTTAGAAAAGTCTCAAGGTTTTGTTGTCATCACGCTATGAGCAGGCCAGTAAGTCCACTGAACTGTCCTCTGCTTCATCAAAGATTGTGGATATACTGACAAGATACACTGAGTGTACAAAACCTTAAGGACACCTGCTCTTTCCATGACAGACTGACCAGGTGAAAGCTATGATCCTTTGATGTCACTTGTTAAATCCACTTCAATCGGTGTAGATTTAGGGGAAGAGACTTTTAAGCCTTGAGACAATTTTGACATGGATTGTGTATGTGTGCCATTCAGAGTGTGGATGGACAAGACAAAATATTTAAGTGCCTTTCAACAGGGTATGGTAGTAAGTGCCAGGCGCACCGGTTTGTGTCAAGAACTGCAACGCTGCTGGGGTTTTCACATTCAACAGTTTCCCGTGTATATCAAGAATGGTCCAAAAACCTGAGGACATCTAGCCAACTTGACACAACTGTGGGAAGCATTGGCGTCAACATGGGCCAGCATCCATGTGGAAACGCTTTCGACACCTTGTGGAGTCCGTGCCACAACGAATTGAGGCTGTTCTGAGGGCAAAAGGGCCGGGGGTGCAACTCAATATTAGGAAGGTGTTCTTATTATTTTGTACACAGTGTAGCTGTCCGCCCTAACAATGGGAGTCGTAGTCCACAAAGCGGCATGGCAGGCTGTCTAGCTCCCGCCTATCCTTTCTTTGGATTGGTGGATAAATCTTATTATTGTAATCCTTTTTTGAATATTCGATGAGGGTTTGTGACATCAACTGCCTGTATTCAATGGAGAGAGATGCTATGCTACTAGCCTAATTTCATGAATATGCATAGCCATCTCGAGATGACTCCGATAGTGTTTTTTCTCAGTTGCCGGGATGTTACGTGTCCTACTTATATCCGTACACTCGTAACAACTTAAGTATTACGAAACTTCTCTTCGGTTTTTTTGTTGACCAAATTCGACACTCATTGACCGCCATACAAAAAACCCTTTGTTTGGTGGGTGAAAGAACGCCACCTGCTGGAGGGAGACATTTTCCGCTGAGTTGGGCCTCTCTCTTCCTCCCTGGCTTCATACAACCTCCGCAAGGGGTTAAAGGTCATGGTCCTTTAGGCTAGATTCTAGAACTGGCGTGTTGTGTGATCATGCACTGTAACCCAAGAAGAGTTGTGAAATGTCATGTGGCAGTTTAAGATTTAGTAAACAGAAACACTGAGATGGGAGCAGGTGCTAAGTTATAGAATGTGACGCTGGCCATTTAAAGGCACGAGACTCCATTGCCACATGCTTGGTAGCTAGAGAGCCGGCCCTAGAACTATGTCAGTGGGATAATTTAACACGACAGGATGTTTTTAGAAACTGGGACATGGCCTGGTTGCTTTTTCTATTCATTAACTGACTATGGTTCCACATCTAATTAGTTAAAAATCCTAATGTTTTTAGAAATGTTTTTTTCTCTCACATTAATTCAGGGCAGACCACTTCACCCCTTCCTCCTTGTAAATCCAGAATATCAACACAACAAAGATGGAGGCGCTCCATGCTCACTGCCTGAACTGTGTGAACAGGAGGTGTATGATCCGCCCAGAGACTGGTGTGTCCTGTGATCTCATTTGCTGCCCTCTCGTCTGTGGAGCTGTCTTCCACTCCTGCAAAGTGGAGGAGCATCATTTACTATGCCCGTTTGAAAGAGTGCCTTGCCTCAACACTGGATTCGGGTGCCCATTCACTATTGCTCGGATCAAGATGGCTGAACACCTAGAGACGTGCCCAGCCAGTGTGGTGTGTTGCACCATGGAGTGGAACCGTTGGCCTGTGAGCTATTCAGACAGGAAGTCCTATGAGCACCTGAGCAATGTTGAAGTGGTGGAGCAGCTAGACATGGCCCTGGCTCTGCAAGATCAGAGGATGCTACTGGAGTCCCTCCGAGTCACCACCAACACATCAAAGAATGGGTATAATAAACCAGCTGTGGAAACGAGTGAAAAGATGGCTGATGTAGTGTCAAGTGTTCCAGACACTGCAGTAAGTAATGGGATCGTTGAAATAGATGAGGCTGCTGCTTTGACTAATGGAGTGATTGAAATGGATGATGAGGATTCCTATATTGCAGTACACAAAAAAAACTTAGCCGCAACCTTGGACGTTCTCAGAAGTGCAAAGGACATTAACTTGATCAATGGAATTATAAATGGGGAAAAGACTGAGAGAAATGGGGTTCTCCATAATGGAGAGAACAGTGATGGTGGTAATCATGATGACTTGAAGAATGTAGAGATGAAGGAGAGTGACACAGAGTTGGACTGTGACCTCGGAGCAGTGGGCGGCGTGTCCGTGGACTGTGGAGTCGGAACCGACAGACGGGGAGACGATGAGAGCTACTGGATAGAGCTCAATGAACTAATCAAGTCTTCAGAGGAAACGGAGAAGGATGGCATGATGGGTCTAGCAGAGGTGGGTCCTCCTCCCCTCAGTAACGGTTTCCACCATACAGGAGACGGCCACGATCGCTTGAGACGACGTGAGCGGATGGATCTGAGCAGATCTCCACCCAGACGCTCTGAAGTCAACAGGTCTTCAGACTTCAGGCCGGTGATGCCTTATCTCTCCATGCCTAATATAGTAACACCACGGGAGCCCTCTGGCCCCCACCCTCCACCACTTCCCATCCACCTGCCTCTTCCCATGCCTCTCCCTAATCTGGAACCCTACAATGTGCTTCAGCACCTGCCCTTAGAGATCGAAGACAGGTGGCTGGAGAGGAAACTACAGAACCTCCAGGTGCTCAGAGGGATGAGTGTGTTTACGTTTAACGGGCGCAGGGCTATGATGTCTGACCCCTATCTGTTCAGAGCTAAAATGGAGGACAAGTCAGTGGACACCTCAGACCTGGAGGTAACTGACGATCCATTGGGGCTCCATGGGATCGACCTGATCACGGCAGCGCTGCTCTTCTGTCTGGGGGACTCCCCTGGGGGCCGCAGCATCTCAGACAGCAGATTTGTAGACGGTTACCGCGTCGACTTTGGTACCCAGACCTTCTCCTTCCCCTCGGCAATATTGGCCACTAACACCATGGTGGGGGACATCGCCTCAGCGTCGGCCTGTGATCACGCCAGCCCACAGCTCTCCAACCCCAGCCCCTTCCACACCCTCAGACTGGACCTGGTTCTGGAGTGCGTGGCCCGCTACCAAACAAAGCAGCGCACCATGTTCACCTTTGTGTGTGGACAGCTGTTCCGCAGAGACGAATTCTCCTCGCATTTCAAAAATGTTCACGGTGACATCCACGCCGGGTTGAACGGCTGGCTAGAGCACCGCTGTCCTCTGGCCTACTACGGCTGCACCTACTCCCAGAGACGCTTCTGTCCCTCCGTGCAGGGCTCCAGGATCATCCACGATAGACACCTGGGCTCGTTCGGGGTGCAGCCGGGTATGCCTCCCCAGTTCGGAGATAAAACTCTCCCCAGGAATGCCTGTCGGTTCGGCTCCACCTGCGACCACCTGAGCTCCTTGCCCTTCGAGGTGCAACAGTATGTGGCCAGTTTCCTGGATGGCTTCAGCCTGTGCCAGCTGTCCAGGGTCTCCCGGACCATGAGGGATGTGTGCGCCAGCTTACTGCAGTCCAGAGGCATGGTGGTGCTTCTCTGGGAGAACACAAGACGGGCAGATGGGTCCTCCTCATGGCAGATCCAAAACAAGGTTAGTCACTCACTGCATTTTAAACATGTGCATTAACATCTGTATTGAATTTAATTTTATTGCATTTTCCCATAAATCTATGATCAATAGGAAATGTCAGATTTGTATGACAGTTTGAGATGTGCATGGGGATCTCAAGTTAGAATTCATTTCCTGACCACTGAATGCATGCTGTCCTGTATTAACACAGTAATCAATTAGATTAAAGGCTTTGCATTGTAAAAGGACATACACAAGCAGGCATACCATATTACATATATAAACATCTTTATCATTAGAACTAATTCATTTATATGATTCTGTTTTGTGAACCAGGTGTGGCGATTCAGTACGGCCTTCGGTACGGTGAACGAGTGGAAGTTTGCCAACATCGCCAATATGGCCGAACATCTGAAGAAGTGCAAGTTTAACACCATCACCCGTCGGGACGAGGCTATCCCTCTGCCCTGCATGTGCTTCACCAGAGAGCTCACCAAAGAGGGACGCTCACTGCGCTCAGTCCTCAAGCCAGTATTATGAGTTACCCTATAACAGGGTTGGAGTCCATGGTTACGTCTGAATTGGCAGCCTATTCCCTATATAGTGCACTACTTTTGACCAGGGCCCATAGATATAGAGCGGCAGGTAGCCTAGCGGTTAAGAGTAACTGAAAGGTCGCTGGTTCGAATCCCTGAGCCAACTAGGTGGACAATCTGTCGATGTGCCCTTGAGCAAGGCACTTAACCCTAATTGCTCCTATAAGTCGCTCTGGATAAGATCGTCTGCTAAATTACTAAAATTGAGATGTAGGAATTAGGGTGCTATTTCGGACTATTTTCATTTAAATCAATTCAGGAAGTTCTTCTTACTGAATTGAAATGGACTCTAACCCTGCTCTATAATAAGCACATACAAAATGCTGCTTTCTTCCAGTCTTGACAGAAAGATGCTGAATTGTTTTCAATGGAACTTTGTAATTTCATATTGTTACCAATGTACTGAAGCGATTATTTAACTTTTACATACTCTGTCAATGTGTAAATAAAACAAATGTTACTTTATTTTTATATGAATAACTAGCAAAGTCAGTACTGTGCCACGTTGACAACGAAAGAAAGTGGAGCCTTAACTTATGATAAACACTTGATTTCTGGTCATAAGAGGGTTCTGACGAAGATCTTTAATAAAGCGATTTCTCATTGACACCCGGCTAGAGCGATTTACAATATCTTATTGTCGTGCACGGTTTTACATACTTAGGGTGATCATGGTTTCAGTTAGCGGATAATGTAATTTACCTTATCTGAATTTTAAGATTCAGACCAAACTTAAAATGTCCACACTACAGGCCATTATCAGAATGGAACATTTACTATGTAGCTATTTAACTCCACAACCAGTATCAGACCGGACAACAATGTTGGCTGGTTAAATGAAGGGTGATTTGGTTGTCTTTATCTACTTTCCTCATTTGAGAAAAATGGTACTTCTGTGAAAAACATTTGTGTGAATTCTAGTTATTGATCTGTTCAAGTCCAGTGAATCCTGCAGGTCAGGGAACGTGGGCATACCGTAGCTTCTGGGGATGAGGGTTGATATGTTGAAACTGATCATGTCAACTAATGATCAACCATGGTCCTGTCTATAAGTTGTCATATTAGTGTTTCTCTTTATTTTCCTCTTGGCACTACGTAGACACTGCTCATAAGTTGCCTGCTGTGTCTCAGGGTTTGTAAAACATTTCTGCCTCCAAAATAACACTCTATTCCCCTATATAGTGCACTACTTTTGACAAGGGCCCATTTAGGGCACTATAAAGGGAATAGGGTGCCATTTGGGATGCAGCGGTGAAGCTGAATCAGTAAGTGCTGGCCATTACTTGTACTGTATTTCCTGCTTTACAAACCATACTGTACAGCTCTGCTTGGTTTTTGGTTCGGCTCTATAGTGTGAATCAGGCTCATGTGTAAAAGATACACTAATCTACCAGTCGTCACTTTAAAGTTGTGGTTATAGAGTGTGGTTAGTCATAGGACTGATATACCGTTCAGTATTATTGATGTTCTATGGCAGTGTTGGTACTGACACATTAACTTCCATGTCCTCAATAGATCTTATAATTATCAATAACCTACCTATCGTTTGACTTGATTTTCTCTGATTTGAATATTAGTTGAAAATCTGTTTGGATTTGGAAGTGTGTAGAACAAGATTTAATTATTCGGTCTAAGATTGTGCTGTAGAACTTAAGGCTGGGGTTCAATCCGATCACAAGTTGTAGACAATGCGGCTTTTAAAGGCAATGTTTGGCGCTCGTATTCCTGGTAAACGCTGCATATGTCGGCTCAATTAAATGGCACATTGTGGACAAAGTGTAATCGGATTGGAGTCCAGCCTTAATTCATGGGTCTAAGATTCTGTTGTAGAAATTGAGGGCCAGACTTGGGTCTTAAGGGCACTGTTTGCATCTGTTATAAAATTAAAAAAAGTAAAAGACAAACCATTTCTTTATTTTACCTTAAGTTCTCTTCCTCTGAATCACTGTACAGTTTGTTCTACAGTTTTATTCCATTTTGGGGGGAAAGACCGGTGCAAACTTTGCATTATTGAAAACATGATTAGCACCCCGAATGAATAGTTTGAAACATTTTGATATGGTGAAATAATCCATGTGTGTGTTAGGTTTGATGCATATTTTGGAAGTTAACTGAGTGTGTTTTATGATCTTTTATTTGTATTGTCAGAACTCTCAACTTTCATCTGTTTTTTTGTATTCTTCCATGCAATCCTTTTTTTTATAGAATTGTTTTTCTATTATCTGGTGTAGTTTCTGATGTGATGAACATGCCACAAATATTACAGACTGCTCAGATTTAACCTATTGATCATCCCCACATTATAGCCTGGTCCCAGATAAGTTTGTGCTTTTTAGCCAAGTCTGATGGTTGTTAAATACCGATGACTGTAGGAGTTGGCAAAACAGCATAAACAGATCTGAGACCAGACTAGCCATGTTTCTGCTCGAGTCAGATTTATTTTCAAAAAATGTTTCCTGCATGTGAGTGAAGAGATTAACGGTCATTATTAAAAACCTAATTTATCCATAAAATGTAAGGTTATGTTTCCTCTACAATAACCTTTCTAAAGGTTGTGTGTGTATTGAGCCTGGATACACTGGGCCTATGTAGTTCCGTCACAACTCTTTATATTTGGTTTGTATTACTACATTTGTATGGTAGTATCTGCAACAATGAGATCACACCAAGTTATAGCTTTAAACAAGGTGTCTTACAACTGTTTTACAATGTTTTTGTTTCTTGTTTTAGCGGCCCAAGTGTATAAAGGTCCTTCACATACTGTGTATCATCTAGATCATTTTCATTACCAATAAACGTTTGTTTTCATTACTTGCTACAACATGGTTGACATTTTTCTACAAGAACAGCATCATTTCTACTGATGGTTGAGTCTCAGCTGCTGAAGGTGTGTGAGGAGACTGGAGGAGGCTGGGCCTCCATCAGTGAGGTTTGGTAGCAGGGCCTCAGTGGTGAGGATACGCAGGCGAGATGGGTCCTGACAACACACACACCACAAATGATACATTTCTATTAGAAAATGAAGCAACTCAAAGTTCACTGGTTACAAGGCTGTAATATGGCAAGAAGAGATACTCACTGTTTTGGGTCTCTCCAGCTGGGTGGTAGAATCCCTCTTGCTATCGTCCTGCTGTGGGCCAGCGTGTTCTGGATTTCTGATGCTGGATCTGTTGTGAAGGAAAGTGTAACAGGATGTCTTGCTTCGCCCTGTGAGAGAGCACAGGCAAAACAGGCTGAATCATAGTGAGTTATGAATTAAACTGTTACTTTTTGTACCCTACACCTGCAAGTTACTTGGCGCATACACTACTCCAGAACTGCATAGTGAGTTACTGCTGTGTGGAACAGAGTGAAGCTTAGCCATTACCTGGTGTGGAGGTACACCTGGAGAGAGCCGTCTCAACGTCCTCCACCTGGCTCTGCAGCTTGTCCACCCTCTGGAAAGCCTTCTGTTTGAGGCTGCGTTCCTGATGAAGCTGGCCCTTCACCTAAAACCACAGTGGGTGCCTGGGTTAATGTCCATTACTGTTACACCAAGGATCTAAACTTGCTCTGTCTGTAATATAGAGATACATGTGCACCCTTCATCAGAGAAGATGCACATTTAGATAAGTTATTCCCCGGGCCAGGAGTTTGTCCTGACCATATGATCTGACCAGGAAAGGCTGGGCCCTAAGTTTATACCTACTGGACACATACAATATAATTATTATCCAACTCTGTTTTATGGTCCTTCAAGCTGGATGATGTCCGTTTTAGTAATACTACATAATGTTATATGTTGTGTTGGTGTGTTTGTACTGCAGGGATGAGAATGAGTGCCACCTGTCTGATGTCTTTGGCACTGCGTTGTCTCAGTAGCTGTCTCTCCCTGCTGCTCCTGTCCAGCTGAATACTGAGATCTCGGAGCTGTCTGTCTCTGTCCCCCACACCCTCTTTCAGCTGCTCCAGTTTCTGCAGGCGGTAGCTGTCCAGCTCCTGTCTGCTCTGGGCCTCCTGAGCAGAGCGATGCCTCACCTCATGGAGCTCTGCGCTCTGTGGACATAATGTCATGGAATAAAAATCACTCTACTGTCAGACCAGACAGGCAAATATCTTTAGATGTGGTTATTAAATCAGATATGACAGAAAATATCACACTATTTACAATTACATAAAATGAGAAGAAAATGTAAAGATTAATTTACACTGATTTCTTTCTGTAACGTTGCAAAAAGAAATTGATATGAATGATTCAGGGTGAGGATATAGCTAGCTACCTGTTTGGTGAGCAGTCTCTTGGTGCGGTTGTAATCCATCTGACACTGTGTCATGGCCCTCTGAGTGACCTCCAGTTCCTGCTTCAGTACGATCACTTCATCCTCTGACATCATCTTCATTCTCAGGGCCTCCCTCTGACAGGACATCTCCCTCTAGACACAAGTCACAGTCGCACAAAACGTCAGCAAGAAACATGAAAAGCTACAGCCAATCTGGTGCAATCCATATGACTGTGTACATTTGTATTTATATTTGAGTAATTTAGATTAACATCTGTGCATTCAACTTAAGTAGGTAAACTAATAAAAGAACCGCATGTCACGGTCCTTGCAAGTCAATACACTTGTGTGATTTTGGGGACACTCCTTTCCGATCATCCTAACCGTACCTGCTGGCTGTGGAGCAATCTACGGTGCAGCTTGCCCTGTCCAACCACCTGTCTCCAGTGGCCCAGTGCCTTCACCTTAGACAGCAGGCCAGTCAGCTGACTGTTCTCCACGCTCAGGTCGTGGAGCTCCTGCTTCTGATGGAGGAAGGAGGAGGAGCAGAAGAAGAAGAAAGATTATGGAAGAGAATAACTGTTAGTCATGAATGCAATATGCAAACAGCTGAGTCACAATTCAGTCACTTGCTTTGAAAACAACTTTGGCCCAATCATCTCACCTCCGACTGTGTCGTAAGAAGAGCTTCATTGCCTTTAGTGGAGCCAAACTTCTTCAGCTTGATGATGTTATCCACTCCCTCTCTCCTCACTTTGCTCACCAGCTGAGTAACATCCTGGTCCATTCGCACATGGTACTCATCAATCCTGGCCTGTGATCCATACAAGTAAACAATCAAGTAAAAAGACAAGAGAGTTATGGTGCTTTTAGCATGGCAGTAATGTGGTCAAAAGTACTTCCACATTAACCAGTGTTGTTATTGTGGAACAAAGTTAGTCAGGATCATTATGAGATGATACTAAGACACTGTAAGTGGCTCATACATGCTTATGACAAGTCTTATAACGCATTCTAACCACATCATAATGCATTATACCTTCAGGCTTTAGATAGTTACCGTTATGTTAAAAAGAGAGGTTTTAAAAACGTTTCGTACCTTCAGTTGAATGCAGGTGGAGAAAAGATGTCGGACCAGGGAGTCATAGCATTGTCTGTATTTGAGGCTGATCTGCTGCTCCAGACCTCTCTGTTCCTCCTCCAGTTGGGTGATCCGGGTATGCAGGGCTGTGGTCTGCAACATCATCCCACGACAGAGCCCACTGACCTCGCTGTAAGGGTTGATGGTCTGGGACTCCTCAAGGTTCTTCACATCCTGCAGGACAAATATTGAAATGTCAAGAGCAAGAACTTAAAGATACGTTTGTGTGCTGTTTAGCAAATACATGGTATAAAGCCCCAGAATCAAATGGTTTGGAACCCTGCTCACGTGATAACTAACCTTGCCTGACACCGGAAGAATAGCGTTAGCTCCCAGAGGATTCTAATCCCAGTCATTCACACATATATTGTATTACCAATGAAAAAAGGTATTGCATATCTTGACACACATCTTATGCGCTTTGAAGAGGTGCTGAAGTACAGTAGAGTAGGATACCTGTTCTCTGCGGTAGAGCAGCTGGCTCTCCTGCTGTAGGATCTGTTCATAGAACTGGGAGTAGAGGAGGAAGCTACTGCGTTCTCTCTCCATCACAGAACAGCCCAGAGTGGACAGACACCGCTGGAGGTGGGCCGTGGGGAAGGTCAGCTGGCAGAAGATGTATAACATATATATTGTCATTAAACTGTTCTCATGTTCTTTGTGCTTGAAACCTACGCACCTGTGACTGACACTTTTTTATTACTGAGAAAAAGGACCAGACTGCTACCCACTGTTTTAGGGCTATTGTCTTGCCTGTCCATCCATTCTGTGTTGGGTTTCTCACCTGTCCCTCCTCTGTCTGCTCAGCACACTCCATTAGCTGCTGGGTGAAGTTCTCCACTATCTGAGGTCTCTCTGGGGACAGACTGTGCTTCATGGGGCCTTGCTTCCACAACTCTGGAGAACAGTCATAACAGTGATAAGTCAACCATTACAGCTAGAGTCTGTTGACTCATACTCGTAGGTGTTAAATCTGTTTATGATGTAACAGTAAAATGTTAGAAACGTCAAATGTAAACATATTCCAATTTTTAAATGAACAACAACAGAAACCCAGGTCCAACATTGGTTACTGTCTTTGTGAGAGGTGAGTAGTGTACCTGTGGGGAGGCCTGTGTCTTGGCGTGCCCGCTCTGAAATCACCAGGGTCAGCTCTCTGGTGATCCTCCTCTGTACCGCTCGGATCATATCACACTCTGTACTCTCCAGCAGCCTGAGCAACTGAGACACCATGCACAGATTCAAAGAGATGTTCCTCATCATCTTGTCCACCATATTACAGATAGAACCTATTGCTCAGTCTGTAGAAACGGATTGAGCCACTATGCATAGAGTCAACAGAGAAACCAATGTTCATGTTAATCCTCATCTTCATTACACAATTTATAACCTATTCCTCAGTCTGTTGCACTACTCGACTAGTCTGGGCTCCAACCTTTTATTTATATATTTTTTATTTAACCTTTATTTAACAAGGGAAGTTAAATAAGAACCAATACTTATTTACAATGACGGCCTACCAAGAGGCAAAAGGCCTCCTGTGGGGAAGGGGGCTGGGATTCCAAGTACAAATATAGGACCTAACACACATCCCGACAAGAGAGACACCACAACACGACATAAAGAGAGACCTAAGACAACAACACAACATGGCAGCAACACAACATGACAACAACATAGTAGTAACACAACATGACAACAACACAACATGGCAGCAACACAACATGACAACACAACATGGTAGCAACGCAACATGGCAGCAGCACAACATGGCAGCAGCACAAGCATGGTACAAACATGGTTAGGCACAGACAACATCACGAACGACAAAAAGGTAGAATCAACCTGAATCAAGGCTTTATTTCTTGAAGTGAAACGAAGCGTGGATTCAGTTTGGATCCCAGGCTACTACGGTATATGGGTTGTTTCACGAATACAGTGCCTTTTATGTCCCTCAGACATTATGTGTGTACATTTATAAAACACTCAAGTTAACAGTTGGATCACATACACTGAGTGTACAAAACATAAGGAACACCTGCTCTTTCTATGACAGACTGACCAGGTGAATCCAGGTGAAAGCTATGATCCCTTATTGATGTCACCTGTTAAATCCACTTCAATCAGTGTAGATGAAGGGAGGAGACAGGTTAAAGAAGGATTTGTAAGCCTTGAGACATGGATTGTTTATGTGTGCCATTCAGAAAGTGAATGGGCAAGACAAATGATTTAAGTGCCTTCGAACGGGGTATGATAGTAGGTGCCAGGCGCACCAGTTTGTGTCAAGAACTGCAATGCCGCTGGGTTCTTCACATTCAACAGTTTTCCCATATGTGTATCAAGAATGGACCACCACCTATTTTTACATTTTAGTCATTTAGCAGACGCTCTTATCCAGAGCGACTTACAGAAGTGAGTTCATACATTTTCATACTTCTTTCATACTGGTCCCCCGTGGGAATCGAACCCACAACCCTGGCTTTACAAGCGCCATGCTCTACCAACTGAGCCAGACGAGACCACCCAAAGGACATCCAGCCAACTTGACACAACTGTGGAGAGCATTGGAGTCAACATGGGCCAGCATCCCTGTGGAACGCTTTCGACACCTTGTAGAGTCCATGCCCTGACAAATTGAGGCTGTTCTGAGGCCAAAAGAGGGGGCCGCAACTCAATATTAGGAAGGTGTTCTTAATGTTTTGTACACTCAGTGTACATCTACGCTCTACCTAAACTAAACTGTGTTAAAAAATTCCAATAGAGGTCAGGTGTGTGAGTGAGCTATCATGGTGTGCTGCAGTAGTACAGTACTTGGCATGTCTTGATGTGAACTTCGGAGGCTCCTGCAGGAGGCAGTAGAGGCTGGTTGTCAGACAGCAGAGCCTCAAAGTCCTTCTGTTTACCCATCTGTTGAGCCAGGGCTCTCATACTGGGGTACTCGATGTCTGCTCTGAAATGTAGAAGCATGAGAACCACTGAGATATATATTAACGATGAGACCACATAATCTTACAGTCAGGATTAAAATGACTTGATTTTGATAAACAATCAAGGAACAATCAATTATATATGAAACCTTGTTAATGTCTCTGTTGTTTGCCCATCACTATTCACAAACCTTGATATCACCCCCCCCCCCCCCCCCCCCCCCGTATTCAAATCAAATCACATTTTACTGGTCACATACACATATTTAGCAGATGTTTTTGCGGGTGTAGCGAAATGCTTGTGTTCCTAGCTCCAACAGTGCAGTAGTATCTAACAATCCGCAACAATACACACAAATCTAAAAGTAAAATAATGGAATTAAGAAATATGCAAGAAATATGTATTGCATGGTATGTCAGAATATTACATAAAGTAAAAACTTGTTCATGGGCAATAAATACTAACTAACCTGTAGAGTCTTGAGAAGTGCCTGTGGATCTTCATGGTATTGATCTGTTCCACCCCTAGCTGTCTCCTTCCCCAGCTCTCCTTAAACACCTCCAGCTGTTTGGTTAGAAGCAGGAACCCCTTCAACACAGACAGCACCTGGAGAGGGTCCTGGAGGGGACCAGAGGAGAACCCCTTCTCTTCTTCATCACCTTCGTCATCAACACTGTCATCCATACTGCTACCATCCTCCTGGTATTAAGACACAATGCTGTAAGCCAGTGCAAAAAACGTGTTTTTCTGGTGGTAAATATATGTTTACATAAATCTTTAGGCCCTACATGTGTTTTGAATGCAATTATGTAAACCTAGTAACCCATATATTTTAACACACCCCAAGAAAATATATTACAACACGTATGTAAACATACTTCCTCAGGCTTTCCACGTGAGACCTCCACCTTGTTGTCATGGAGACGTAGCGGTGCTGCCCCCCTCCCTCCGCTGTTCAGGACATCCTCCATTAGTAGAGACATGCCCAGGATCGCTCCATTGGCCTCCATCCTGCTGTGGTCACCCAGCCCACTCAGACACAGCTGGATACAAGCAGCATAAGACCATTAACATCCTCAATATAGTAATTTAGCATCGTAGATACTCTTATCCACAGCAGCTTATAATGCATTCAACCAAAATAGATAAAACAATCACTATCATTTCTAGTAGCCTCTATCTGCAAAATCAGTTGCTGGTAAGAAAAGAAAAACAATAAATATCATAAAGGAGAGTAGAGGTCTACCTGCATGCAGTACTCAATGGGTGGGATGCCCCAAATGTCTACAGGGTGCAATCCATGACACGCCAGAAAACTTCTCCATGGGTACATCCTTTGAGCCTAGAGAGCACAAATACATGATGACCTCACAATTGTCTAAGAGTACAACCCTGCCTGAGCAGTGGAAAACTATTAAAAGTAGAATTAACTATACTGTGTTTCCCATTTACTCTGGATAGTAACACAAACACTGTCTGGGCTTTATAAATGTAAACTTTATTACCAACCCGGGGGCAGTGAGGCTCCATTGGTTCTGGCAAAGACAGTAGAGAACTGTGATTGGTTCTGACGCTGTCACTCAGCGCAGGGAGGGCGTGTCCCATGTTGTCACTCACGCTCTGATAGGCTACGATGTTACCAGAGGAGAGAAACGCCTCTCTGAGAGAGAGCGAGAGCGAGCGCGAGCGAGAGAGAGAGAGAGAGAGAGAGAGAGAGAGATGGGTCAAATCCATATCAAATCCTTTGTGTTTTCACTTTTGGTTTCCATTGGTCCCATTGAACTGATTAAGCTAAATCAAGCTCAAGCATTTGAAAGTTGTTGACACATAATGTATTTGACCAAGGTCTGGTTCTTATGCTAGGAACCCTCATACTCCATTACATTTATCTAAACCTACTCACTGATGGCATATATCAACCCCTTCTACCTCTCTCCACTCACCTGATGAGGTGCCTCACAGCGGTGTCATACTGCAAGAAGAGCACGTGTCTCCGTAGTTGCAGCAGCCGACCCACAGCCTCAGGGCTACCAGGGTCACACAGAGAGTCGACCTGTCTCTGGACCTCCCACAGCTCCGCACCTTAACAATAATAACATGGTCATTTAGCAGATGCTTTCATCCAACGGGACTTACAGAACTGTCAACATTGACAGTGACACAGATAGTATATGTGTTCCAATGCGGAAAACAAACTCACAATCCTGCACCATGATTTAACCCACTGAGCCATTGGAACCACAGGTCTCTTATAACTGATGCATACCGATGCCTTCAGTGCCGCCCCAGTCAGCTGTAAGCTCTCCTCCTCCTGCTCCTCCTCCTCCTGCTCCTCCTCCTCTCCTGGAGCTGAAGACTCCGGGGTTCCCAAGTCGAGCGAAACTGACCAGGTAATAGATGATGTCATGCAGGGCAGACACTATCTCCAGACTATGGTGAAGAGCCCGGCTACATGCCTGTAATACAACAAAAGTAAACAAAATCAAAATAAAGATAGCTATCAACATGCTCTATACAGGGATCATCAACTACATTCAGCCAAAGGCCGATTTCTTTTTTTGTCGATGGTAGGGGGGCCGGAACATAAGTACAAATAATTTGTAGACCGCAAATTGACCGCAAGAAGCCGCCCAAACAGATATAATATTTAACTAAAAGATAATAATTTCAAACCTTGCTTACATTTGTATTCGATCACGTCTCTCTATTATGAGTGGGAATACTTGGGAATAGATTTCCTAAATTAAAATCACTTGGAGTTGATTTCCTGGTGTTTTTACAGCCTTTTATGTCCAACAAAAAAAAGTCAAATAAGAAAATAAAAAATCCTCAGAAAACTTGGGGGGCCAAATAAAACTGCCAGTTAGGAAACCCTGCTCTAGAGTCCTAGAAACATTCTGTTGTTCTGGATTTAGTTTGCATTTGCATACAGGAAAGATAGACACAGACGTAGCAAGGCCATGGTTTTGTTTTTTACTGATATCACAAAATCAAATTTCAATCCACTACTCCATGCATGAGTCTGTGTCTGCGTCTGTGTCCATCTGTAGGGTGATATAATGTAAAACAGGTTAGAACCTCTCACCGAGTCCTCCAGGGTTCTGAACATGAGGAGAACCTCTGTGTAGTGGGGGATGAACCACAGGTTGAGGAACATTCTGCCGTCAGCTGACAGCAGGCGCCTGGGACGACGCTGGAACTTCCTGTCCAACCAAGTGGAACAAAAATAACCTTTGACCTCCAACAGCAGAGTCACTCAGCAAATACACTACCACAGGGTGTCTTTACACTCCTCAAATATTCTTTCTGTCAGCATATGCAAGGTTTTCTAAAGTAAGTATTCTTATATGATCATTGATGTAGTGGATGTTTACCCACCTATTTACCACTACATCCCCAAATGTGATGCTATTAAATGCTCTCTCACACTGGTCTTACCTGGGGTCAGGGCGAACGCCTAGTCCTGAGTCCATATCGCTTTTCAACTCATGGTCCTGGCCAATCAGGAAGTGGGACTGGCGGATGTCTGGCAGCTCGTCCAATAATGTGGTCAAGCTGTGGTACAGGCCTATAATCTGCCCTCTCACAAAACACTGGGACATACGCACACTGAATCTAGGAAAAGGTTGACAGACAGACACAGAAAACATGTTACAGGTACACCTGGAGGAAAGCTTGTTTGACTACAGGTAAATAAGTCCCCAAAATGTGATGAAACAATCGGGTCTCCTGTGAATAAACACTTCCAAATGTGTCATGCTAGGATGCTTCACTTTAGCATGTCTGAACATGGCGATCATGATCGTCAACTTCTACTAAAGATGATGTACATACTTTCGACAGAACTCAATAATCAGCCCCCTCTTGATTTTCGCTACTTCATCCTGCGGTGAAAGAGAAGTGTCATGAAGGTAAACAATCAAACAAGCAAACAGTAATATCTGAGATCCAACATAGCCCCTGCCCCCTCTGACCTCTATGACATTTCACTTACAGGGTTCATCATCACAACACCCATGATCTGTCTCCTCTTTATGAAAGAGTTCAACATCTCATCTCGTGGACCCACTTTCTCCAGCTGGATGGAGACAAACGCCTCAGTCAGCCTGAATAAACACAACAGTCAAATCAAATAACATAATAATTATATTTAACTGTAATAATATTGATATTTATAAAACATGGCCATCATTGACCCTCCAACTCACCTCTCCTTGGTTCCTGCACCAGTTCTCTTTGGTTCACTTGTATCTTTGTGAACTTTGTGACCCTGCTTAGCTAAGGAGTTTGCGTCGCCACTAGAACTAAGATCCTCCTAAATCAAAGAGAGAGAGAGCGAGAGAGGTCATTTGATCCCAGCAAACCGGCCACTGGATTAAAGTATGTGTATTGATGTATGGTACCTCTGGAGAGCCTGTGAAAGTCTCTGACCAATAACATAGACACGCCTGCTTCACTGCACCAATCAGAGCGTTCTTCTGAGTCACCTGACAGGCTAGTGTCACCTGTAGGTTTTCTATGGCTGACCTGTTCATGAGCTGGGGAGAGGTAGAGAGAAGACAGGGACTGAGGTGACACCTATAAGATCAAGTGTGAATCATAATGGGTAATAGCTATAATATCTCTTCATAAAGGGCAGGATTCTGTCTTGACATTGATTTACACAAAAGTTGTGCCCTCTTATCTCAAATCTGAATCAGGCCCAAAGTCTCAGTTGACCTTACATCCACTACTGCCTCTTCAGAGTAGAAGCTGAATTTTCCAATCTGGTTCTCATCAAGCTCCTGGATGCTCAGTGGAAACTTAGATGGAGTGTACCTACAGGAGTAGGGAATAACAAACATATGAATATAGCTGCGAGCAGCAATGAACGGGGTTCACAGGATGACAGAAAGGACACAAGATCAGTTGGATAACACAGCAAGCACTCTATCATGTAGAAACTCATGAGTCTAAATACAATATCTGGAGTGAATTTTAATACCTCAGCCATCTTTTGACCAATCCCTTAGCTTTTCTCTAACTAAGTTAAGACATGTACCATTGCCTACATTCAGAATGTGGTGTCATTTGGTCTATGGTTCATGAGAAGAAGAATTTTGAAGTATTAAGTATTTGACCACTATGCAAAACATGACTTAGTACTTGGTGGCAAAACCCTTGTTGGCAATCACAGAGGTCAGACATTTCTTGTAGTTGGCCACCAGGTTTGCACACATCCCAGGAGGGATTTTGTCCCACTCCTCTTTGCAGATCTTCTCCAAGTCATTAAGGTTTCGAGGCTGACGTTTGGCAACTCGAACCTTCAGCTCCCTCCACAGATTTTCTATGGGATTAAGGTCTGGAGACTGGCTAGGCCACTCCAGGACCTTAATGTGCTTCTTCTTGAGCCACTCCTTTGTTACCTTGGCCGTGTGTTTTGGGTCATTGTCATGCTGGAATACCCATCCACAACCCATTTTCAATGCCCTGGCTGAGGGAAGGAGGTTCTCACCCAAGATTTGACGGTACATGGCCCTGTCCATCGTCCCTTTGATGCAGTGAAGTTGTCCTGTCCCCTTAGCAGAAAAACACCCCCAAAGCATAATGTTTCCACCTCCATGTTTGACGGTGGGGATGGTGTTCTTGGGGTCATAGGCAGCATTCCTCCTCCTCCAAACACGGCGAGTTGAGTTGATGCCAAAGAACTCAATTTTGGTCTCATCTGACCACAACACTTTTACCCAGTTCTCCTCTGAATCATTCAGATGTTCATTGGCAAACTTCAGACGGGCATGTATATGTGCTTTCTTGAGCAGGGGGACCTTGCGGGCGCTTCAGGATTTCAGTCCTTCACGGCGTAGTGTGTTACCAATTGTTTTCTTGGTGACTTTGGTCCCAGCTGCCTTGAGATCATTGACAAGATCCTCCCGTGTAGTTCTGGGCTGATTCCTCACCGTTCTCATGATCATTACAACTCTACGAGGTGAGATCTTGCATGGAGCCCCAGTCCGAGGGAGATTGACAGTTATTTTCTGTTTCTTCCATTTGCGAATAATCACACCAACTGTTGTCACCGTCTCACCAAGCTGCTTGGCGATGGTCTGGTAGCCCATTCCAGCTTTGTGTAGGTCTACAATCTTGTCCCTGACATCCTTGGAGAGCTCTTTGATCTTGGCCATGGTGGAGAGTTTGGAATCTGATTGATTGATTGCTTCTGTGGACAGGTGTCTTTTATACAGGTAACAAGCTGAGCTTAGGAGCACTCCCTTTAAGAGTGTGCTCCTAATCTCAGCTCGTTACCTGTATAAAAAGACACCTGGGAGCCAGAAATCCTTCTGATTGAGAGGGGGTCAAATACTTATTTCCCTCATTAAAATGCAAATCAATTTATAACATTTTTGACATGTGTTTTTCTGGATTTTGTTGTTGTTATTCTGTCTCTCACTGTTCAAATAAACCTACCATTCAAATTATAGACTGATCATTTCTTTGTCAGTGGGCAAATGTACAAAATCAGCAGGGGATCAAATACTTTTTTCCCTCACTGTATCTGAATACATCAGCGTTATTTTCTCAAACTCTTTAGGGACTATTGTGATGAGTCCAAAGACCAAATTTGGAGTGAATATGACTTTTAGTCCATGAGAATAATATTTTTTATGATTATTTTAAGCATTAGCGTTACATTGTAAAAAAGAAAGTGAATTGTTAATAGTTTCCTTATTTTTTAAGATATCAATGGCAAACTTAACATGGTTCATCATGGTAATGTCTTTGATGACCCTAAAAAGTTTCAAGTTGATAGGCCATTGTCAAGTGGATTTACAAAGTATTTAAATGGACACGTAACTCAGCCATCTCTTAACCAATCCCTTAGCTTTTCTCAAACTAAGTTAATGTACCATGGGCCTTCATAGCGAATTTGGTGTTATTTGGACTTATTTGACCATGTCAAGGGAATAAAAAAATAAATAAGAATAGCAATAGATTTCACAGCTTTGCTTGAACCCCTAAATATGATTTACTGTAGATATCATACAATTTACTTAGAAAGAAAAATAATGTAGCTGCACATCTATCTATGTTAGTAGAGTAACAGGTGTCGTGGATAATTATCACTATACTTATTAAAAATCTAAGTTCTTCCAGAGTTTTTGTAGAATCAAGATAAACTTTATTACATAGAGCAACAAACGCCGAGCTGGTCTGCAGAGCAACTAACTCACAACACTTGGCCCTCAGTTTACATACAATGTCCATTCCTGCTCATTTTACATACTTTTAGCTTAAAACACACCCAGATCAGTTTCTCCACCATTGTCTCCAAACTTTCATATTTTGACCGCTCCGCCCACTAATTTATGATAGTGGCGAAATCTGACATCTCCTCCTATATTTATTTAGCTTGGATACAATGGTGGCCAAACCAAACTTTCTCATGTAAAAAATAACAGAGCCACCACCTGGCTATGCTCCGTTTATTCCAAAACATATCAATCGATACTTAAATATGGTTTAAACATAGCAGATCCATAACCCATTCTAAACCACATACATTTAAGACTTTCCTAATGCATTACCTCATACATAACAGTATAATCAATCAAGAGCCATCTCCTGACTCTGGCTTAGACTCCCTCCTTGTGTATCACTCGGTACCACACTCCACACCACTTAGTCCTATTGCCTCATCCTCCGTACCATTCCGTACCACACTCTGTCTTTATAATTAACTATATTTTAATCTTTATAGTCTAGAAAGATTTACCACGTCTTTATAATTGGCTATATTCTAATCTTTATAGTCTAGAAAGATTTACTATTTTAACCTATGGTCTGATCTTGGGGACCACTCGGTACCATAGCTCCGTATGGTCCACTGAAAAAATACCCACCCCTACTGAAAAAAGACCCAACACAGGGTAGGGAGGGTACCTGTCCATCAAGCTGTCGTCCTGCAGTAGCGCCGTAACAAACAGAGGTCTATGATCTGCCGTGTCTCTCTGGACAGCAAACTCAAACTGCACCGGACGCACATACAGGTGGAACTCATCAAAGCCCAGCTCCAGAGCTTGTGTTTTGTATAACCTAGGAGAGCCAGACCATAATATGAACACTACAGAAGGGACATTTAATGTTTTATATCATATAAACACATTTAGTAACACTTAACTCAAAGCCTGCAAATACAGTGATGGGGATCTCAGCGTAATGTAGTTTTAAAGCAAATTTCCTGCAATTCTTTGCATTTTGCCATGGCTAATGCAGTGTTTCTCTGCTCAAACGTTATAACAAAATCAATGGGCATGTTGCTTTAAATACCCTCTTTTTTTATGTTATTCTCCATGACTGTCTAGCTTTTCTTTGGTTGTTAGTTCTCAAAGATCGTATTATTTAAAATATATATATAGTTCAATATCTTTTCTGCATGCTTTCTGGTCATTTAAGTTGACACTGAAACAGTTTTTCCATCCCGAAAGTGACCACTTAGATGGCTCACCTAAGAATTTTAAATACAGAAAAAAAAACTTTAATTAGTTCTAATGACTAATTTCCTCCATATTAAAGGGATAGTTTCAGATTTGGGCAATGAAGCCCTTTATCTACTTCCCCAAAGTCAGATGAACAAGAATATCTAGCATGCTAACTGTTCCTGTAGTCTTCCAGTCATTGCACTAAAGCTAGTTAGCATTGGCTCATGAAACTACCTTTAACTTCCTTCATACTGGACGCAGATACATAAAAATGGTATCCACGATGGTATTCATAAAATAATAATAATAAAATACAAATCGCAGACCCCCTGAAGTACCTCCGCGGACCACTGGGGGGGGAGTGCTTTTTGGAGGTGCACCTGTATAAAAGACACAGACCCCAGTTTGAAAACCCCTGAAATAGGTAAACAACTACAATAAATATAGGAAGAATCAACTCAACTGTGCCAGATGTGCAGTCTCTGCTGCTGACTCCATGAGGCGATGGCGGATGGTGACTATCTCCAGCAGCTTGGAGAAAGTTTCCACAGCAAAGAACTGTTTCTCCTTTCCCTGCTTCATGCCATGCTCCTCAGCCGACCTGATCAGAGAAACCCCCACCGCTCGGACCAGGGATGGGTCCTCCATGAACACATCTGAAAACAACTGGAGCGAAAGAGATGAAGAGAAAAAAAAATAAGAGAAAAAAAATGAATGCTGATTGGTGCTTGTCATTGCACAGAACAATATTGATTGAGAGTAAAAAAAAATTGTTTAGCTTTATTTACACAGTTGAGTCAATTAAGAACAGATACTTTTTTACAATGACAGCTTCTCAAGTGGCAGGTGCAGCATATCAGCAGAATGTGAGGGAGATACTCAACTCACATCCTTTTGAATTTGAGAGCTATAGTAGGCCCCGGGAGGATCCAGGGAGTGCCAATGCTGCAGAGCCTGCTGTAGGAGCCTCTGTTCCAGGGTGACTCTCTCAGTCACCCCCCTGGCACGGTGGAGCTGGCAGAGCTCAGTGTGAGCCTTGGTCAGGACCTGGTACATTTCAGAGGCCAGGCTTAGGGAGTGGTGCACCTCCAAAAGGAACACATTCATCAGGGCAGGACTGGTAACAGAGGACAGACAGGCAGGGGTGTGAGCACACATATTTATATTAACTATTTATTTATACTGCTTAACATGTTAGTCTGTTTTGAGGTGATATCACATTACACTGTAATTAGTCTATAATTTATGGGTAGAACTAGGACTTGCCTGCCACCACCGAGGGACACCAGATGTTTGGCCGCATAGTTAGGAGGAAGACCATAGTCACAAGGAGTAGCTCCCTGTCCCTGACCTCCTCTCCACACCCGATGGAGGTACTCCCGCTGACGATCTATCTAATAGTCAACATAACACAGTTAGAGAGACCTTTAGAACGCATGGAATGAGAAAGTGAATACATCTTCGACTTCAAAACCTATAGCTTTTATTAGCTTTACTAACGGGCTAAACTATAGCCAATCGTTTTTTCATGGTCCGTCAAGCCAGATACACCTGTGGTGATTCAACTATCTACACTGGCATCAATAGCTCTCTAGGCTGTGCCCCAATTTTTCACAAACAATGACCTGGTTGTCCAGCACGGTTCTGACGAGTTGCTGGTGTGTCTGCATACAGACCATCTCTGCCCGGTAGGCCTGAACAAAGTACTCTGCTCCCATGTCCAGGTGTAGCCGAGGCCTTCTGTGCATGATGTCTGTGATGACCTGAGCCAAGGAGAACCTCTCCTCTGGTCCTGTCACATGCTGGTAGGCGTCAATGTAGCAGTTCAACAGCTGGAAATTAACAGAGGGGGCATGATTCAAGTAATGACACGCAATATACTGGACTTGAAAAGCAACTGATTATCACCTGGGTCGTGTTCATTAGGCATCAAGGAGAAGAAAACAGACTGAAACAGGGAGGGACTACATGTACTTGTCCAATGAGAAATGTGAATTTTTGTTTTCCGTTTCAGAACATTTTAATATGTTTTCTGTTTCGTGCCATAATGAACACGGCCCTGTTCAGCATATTTACTAACCTGCACTTTACTCTCCAAAAAAGCAGCTTCACACGTCCACAGGTCTAGGAGAACTGCAACTCTATCCACATCTGTCTGACTCCAGGAAGAGTGGAGGTCTGCTGTAGCAGAGCTGTGTGACCTCTCAGACTGACCCTTGACCCTGCTGCCATCAGACTGACCCTTGGCCCTACTACTACTCCTTTGGATGTAGTGTGAGCCCAGAAGAGTCAGTGTGTCTTCCAGCTCCTCCAGGTCCTTCAGAGCCACGTCGTACACCACGTAGAGCCCTCTCTGGTCCTGGGTGTGGACATATCTCTCCTCAGTGGTGTAGAAATCATGAAGATTCTCCACCTCTGGGTACTCCATGAACTCTGAACAGTGAACCTGTAGTCACAGTAACACAGATATCAATTCCCTCATGAACCTTTGACATAGCACAGATGCACTCACTCATGTACGCGCTGGCGCACACGCACACACACAAACACATTCATACTACACATTGGCGGCAGGTAGCCTAGCGGTTAAGAGCGTTGGGCCAGTAAATGAAAGGTTTCTGGTTCGAATCCCCAAGCTGACTAGGTAAAAAATCTGTCGATGTGCCCTTGAGCAAGGCCCTTAACCCTAATTGCTCCTGTAAGTCACTCTGGATGAGAGCGTCTGCTAAATGACTAAGATTTAAAATGTACATCTCTACCAGAATCTTATTATGATTGCACAATTAAACACTTGCCCCCCAAAACACGTGTAAATATTGGACGACACTCTTAGAAAAAGGGTTCTTCGGCTGTCCCCATGGATCTTTTTTTTGGTTCTGTGTAAAGGGAACTTTACATGAAACTCAAAAGGGTTATTCAAAGGGTTCTCCGATGGGGACAGCCGAATAACCCTTTTATGTTCTCGATAGCAAAAAAAATTCTACGAGTGTATACTGTGTGCCTTGCTGTATAATACTTACGCTAAAATGTTTATTCTATTCTACTGAGTATTCATCCCCCTTGGCATTTTTCCTATTTTGTTGCCTTACACCCTGGAATTAAAATTTATTTTTGGGGGGTTTGTATCATTTGATTTACACAACATGCCTACCACTTTGAAGATGCAAAATATTTTTTATTGTGAAACAAACAAGAAATAAGACAAAAAAACAGAACTTGAGCATGCATAACTATTCACCCCCCCCCAAAGTCAATACTTTGTAGAGCCACCTTTTGCAGCAATTACAGCTGCAAGTGTCTTGGGGTATGTCTCTATAAGCTTGGCACATCTAGCCCCTGGGAATTTTGCCCATTCTTCAAGGCAAAACTGCTCCAGCTTCTTCAAGTTGGATGGGTTCCGCTGGAGTACAGCAAACTTTATGTCATACCACAGATTCTCAATTGGATTGAGGTCTGGGCTTTGACTAGGCCATTCCAAGACATTTAAATGTTTCCCCTGAAACCACTTGAGTGTTGCTTTAGCAGTATGTTTAGGGTCATTGTCCTGCTGGAAGGTGAACCTCCGTCCCAGTCTCAAATCTCTGGAAGACTGAAACAGGTTTCCCTCAAGAATTTCCCTGTATGTAGCACCATCCATCATTCCTTCAATTCTGACCAGTTTCCCAGTTACTGCCGATGAAAATCATCCCCACAGCATGATGCTGCCACCACCATGCTTCACTGTGGGGATGGTGTTCTTGGGGTGATGAGAGGTGTTGGGTTTGCGCCAGACATAGCATTTTACTTGATGGCCAAAAAGCTCAATTTTAGTCTCATCTGACAAGAGTACCTTCTTCCATATGTTTGGGGAGTCTCCTACATGCCTTTTGGTGAACACCAAACATGTTTGCTTATTTTTTTCTTCAAGCAATGGCTTTTTTTCTGGCCACTCTTCCTTAAAGCCCAGCTCTGTGGAGTGTACGGCTTAAAGTGGTCCTATGGACAGGTACTCCAATCTCCGCTGTGGAGCTTTGCAGCTCCTTCAGGGTTATCTTTGGGCTCTTTGTTGCCTCTCTGATTAATGCCCTCCTTGCCTGGTCCGTGAGATTTGGTGGGCGGCCCTCTCTTGGCAGGTTTGTTGTGGTGCCATTTTCTTTCAATTTTTTAATAATGGATTTAATGGTGCTCCGTGGGATGTTCAAAGTTTCGGATATTTTTTTATAACCCAACCCTGATCTGTACTTCTCCACAACTTTGTCCCTGACCTGTTTGGAGAGTTCCTTGGTCTTCATGGTGCCGCTTGCTTGGTGGTGCCCCTTGCTTAGTGGTGTTGCAGACTCTGGGGCCTTTCAGAACAGTTGTATATATACTGAGATCATGTGACAGGTCATGTGACACTTAAATATAGTCCACCTGTGTGTAATCTAACTAATTATGTGACTTCTGAAGGTAATTGGTTGCACCAGATCTTATTCAGGGGCTTCGTAGCAAAAGGGGGGTGAATACATATGCACGCACCACTTTTCCGTTATTTATTTTTTAGAATTTGTTGAATCAAGTAATTTTTTTCATTTCACTTCACCAATTTGGACTATTTTGTGTATGTCCATTACATGAAATCCAAATAAAAATCCATTTAAATTACAGGTTGTAACGCAACAAAATAGGAAAAACGCCAAGGGGGATGAATACCTTTGCAAGGCACTGTACTTTATGTTCGTATTCTTATATTTTCTTATTTTCTATTGTTGTTGCATTGTTGAGAAGGAACCTGCAAGTAAACATTTCGTTGGACGGTGTATACCATCCGCATCCCGTACATACAACTAATAAAACTTGAAACTTGATAGTTCACAAGAAGTCTGGAAGTTGTGGGGAGTGGGTAGGGGGTGTTGTGTTTGTATAATACTATTGTGCTGTGTTTCAGTAATTGTTAAATGAAAGACATTTGGACACAAAACAACATCGACCAGTTAATATCAGGTCCCCACTGTCCATGTAATCTTCTTCATTATGATAATGATGATTACAATTGGTCCTAGATCAGCACTCTTGCTCAGAGACACTTTTTGAATATGTGGCAGAAAGAAGGGAACTTTGTGGAATGGAACTCAGTCCAGCCCAGGACTGGGTCACTTTCAGTTACATTTCCTGGACACTCTGGGCTCTTTGTGGTTAGTCCTGCCTCCTTATTACTAGGCAACAGCAAGGACACACACACACACACACACACACAAACACAAACACACACACACAAACACAAACAAACACACACACACACACACAAAGAAAGGAAATGGGTCTGGAAAATAACTGTATCACACCACACACTCATAAACACTGTGAGACAGATAAAATAGCTGTCATACAGGTCTTTTAAATGTGAGGAGAGGAAGAAGAGCAACACCACAACACCAGCATACCGTAAGTTACTGTAAATGTAAAATTGTTATGTGTTTGCTTGTGTGATCTTGTTTGTCTATACCAGGGATGTATACTTAAAGAGCCACTGAACAGTATGTTTTTCTGTTGCTCATTAGAAAAACAAGATTTCAGTCTTAGAGGTGTGTTTCCTGACCGATTCTGCATTTGGTTAATGATGTTTGTCCCTCATGAGACCCGGAAGCCTATTTCTGTGTCTCATACATATTTTATTTTATGTAAACAAAGTCGGAACTGCTGGGCAGGTCTGTCTCACTGTCTATGCTATTGGATAGAGAGCAATCGCCGCAGCTGTTCACCCCATGTTAGTGGGCAAATGGACATCGTCAAATAAAAACCCAACCTTCATTTACCCGTTGTGACGCACGGGTGTTCCAAACTCTGTTGTAGATGAGACTGACTTTATGGCCCAAATTATCCTAATTACACTTTGTCGTCAATTTTGACACTAGGATAACTGTTTCTGACTCAAATCGATGCCACATTCCAAGGGATTTGTTGCTTTTTAAAGTTGCTCTTTAACACTAATGCAGTCAGTTCTAGTTTTAATGTAAGCAGTCCCCCAAGGAGGAAAGATCATGGCTTACCGTTCCCTGGTATCTTCAAAGTTGAACGCTGTGATAGTACAATGTTAGTATTAGTTAAGAACAGCTGACATGTTGTAAGGGTTATGTGTCCATGCCCCACAGTGTGGACAGAGCCACTCAACATCTTTTTCACACCCATGCAACCTTTTCTACCATAAAAGCGTTGTAAGAGATTGCCCTCTATTTATTACACATCACGGTTTAATATTTTCTTTAAAGACGTTTTTTATCACAATGTCAAATCATTTCTGGGTAAGAATTAAGTAACTTACGTTAATAGTTTCCATTAAAATGGCCAAAAAGAAACAAATGTTTGTTTTTGCAAAAAACTATTTCTCAAACAAGAATTTTGCTAGGACTGTCTGGGAGTTGTCTGAGTGAGGGACCTAAGAGGAGGTGCCTAATGGGAGGGATATTTCACCTGAAAACGAGCTGTTATTGGCAGAGATTTGGAACTCTCTTTGTTATTGGTGTATTAACAAGCTAAAACTCCACCCATGCAAAACCTGCTGATTAGGTCCTGTGTAAATTGTATTTTCAACCAGCCACTATTCAGAAATAACACTGATCACATTTTTTTCCCACGTTTACAGAGTTAGTTTCATCAGCTGTTGTACAATATTGTACAAAACACAGGTAAAACACAATTTTGACTGCACTGGGCCTATAAGGTATGTCAGCATATTAAGGGATTTTATTTCACACAATCACACCTACTAAAGTTCTCTCTCTCTTTCTCTCTCTCTCTCGCTCTCTCTTAAGGGTACCACCATGGTTCGAGGTACGTTGAACACTTTGGCGAACCGAAGACATTCTGGGTTTGGTCGTCACTTGCCCAGGCATGGACTCAAGCTCCTGTTCTGGTTCGCCAAGAATTACATCAACTTTGACATCATGGGTGAAATGGTTGCAAGATACAACCCTAACAAGGGGGGCTTTGATTTCCATCCCTTCCAGAACAGACCGGAGTGGGACTGCTACAATGTGACCACAACTAGATATGCAAGTATATCTGTAATTTACAGCAATATTCTGCTCCCATACTATATAGTGGGCAACCTGAACCTGGAAGAATCTAATTGCCTTCCTCAGTATGTCAGAAAAGACTTTGCTGGTGACCAAGACCACAGCAACATGGACCACCTCATCATCAGTCTGCATCCAGACGGGACTGTGGATAAGGTCTATGTGACCCAGCATGACGATGACAGGCGGAGTTTTGACCCTGACAACACCTACCGCGTCACCAGGGGTCTGCTCAGGGCCATCCGTGGCCTAAAGCTGCGTAAGTTCCTGAAACAGGCAGGCATATACATATACATGAATGATTATGAGAGCATTCTGAGTGATTTTGAAGACTTCTGTAGACTGTAGTGTAGTACAGATCTCAGTAACCATGATTCGACTATTAATCTGATTCTGAAGTGAAAGTACAGGACAGGAAAACAGCAGTATAGTTTTGCTTACCCGTTTTCAATCTGTATTATGTAGGTAACTGATTGTATTTTAATTGTATGCTGTTGTAACCCCCTCCCGTCTTCTTCATTGTTTTGTCATTTAGCTTTTTCATGTTGAAATCGATTTTTTTATAAAAAAGTATCTATTTACCATTACTATGCTATTGGTAATACAAAAAATATAAATATTTTCTATACAACATTATTGTATGTGTGTGTATCTAGCTCATGCAAATCTATGTTATGAATAGTGCCTCGACTCTACCATAATACCTTTCTGTATAAAAATTCATTGCAGTCAAATTTATGTTTTTTCCGGTGTTTTGTATAATTTTGTACAACAGCTGATTAAACTAGCACTGTAAAAAATGTAAACAAATGTGATCAGTGTCATTTTCTGATAATTGCTATTTGAAAATACAATCTACACAGGACCTGGTTTTGCATGGGTGGAGCTTCGGCGTGCCTCGTGACATCACCAGGCAGTATAAGTTAATAGACCAATAACAATGGAGTTCCAAACCAGAAGAGGAACAACTTTGTGGAATGAAACTGCCCAGATCAGGCTGCAAGGGTCAACAGAACTGCCTGTGCTAGTGAACTCCATTGGCTTTAACTCACACACATGGGCCCGTATTCACAAAGTGTCTCAGAGTGGAGTGTAAACACACGAAAAACGGCATTTATGATCCTTTTTATTTTATGCGAGTGTTTACACTGCTTTTGAGGAAAAATGTGTTGAAAGTTTAAGGAGCATTATTTTATTCACCTCGACCGGTGATCAGCGTTTCCTCACCTATTTTCTCTACCCCTACATATCACTGATGTCATTACTGTCTCAGGCTGTACTGTACCTGCGATGCCTTACCTTGTAGTCAACCGGAGTGTTGTGGCTGTAGAGGTGAGAGCCCAGACCTCCTACTGTCCCACTGCACCCCTTGGCATTCATCCAGCTTGACTCCTCAGTGCTGCTGACCAAACCTCCTCCTCCTGCTTCCCCTCCTGCTTTCCTTCCACCTCCTCCTCCTGCTCTTCCTCCTTCTCCTGCTCCTCCTCCTCTTGGTCCTCCTGCTCCTCCTCCTCCTCCACATGCTCCTCCTCCCTCCACATGCATCCCAGCTGTGTCAAAGGTCAGGGTTCTCTCTATAGACCTCAGGTAGTTTAGAATGCCTAGGGAGATGCGCTATAAGGGAGAGAGGACGGGTAGGACAGCTCAGGCTCCAGAGGGAATGGCAGAGTAAATAAGATGATAGAGTAGATCATGGATAGCAGTTCAGCATCCCAAGAGAGACTCACTGGGGGAGAGAGGACAGCTCAGGGTTCAGTGGGAGCGACAAGAGTTTAGATAGCGGTCCCTAACAGTCTAAAAGTCTACCCTGAACTCCCTTGTGGACTTGTGTGGCGCCAGCTATGCCAAGGTCATCGGTTCAATTCCAGCAGCGATCACATGTAAGTCTCTTTGGATGAAGCTCACCTGCAGTTCCCTGATCTTGAGGTGTCGAAGGTAGAGGAGTGACAGGTAGGCTCCCCTGGCTGTGACGGGGTCTGAGGTACTCTCCTCCCCCTCCTGGCCCTCATCCAACCCCAACAGCTGCATGCTGCTCAGGTAGCTATAGCTGGGATGAATGAGAGAGAAGGGACGCCAAATAAGCAAAAGGCATTACATTTTAAGTCAATGAGACCCACATTCAAGTGATCCTATTCTGTCCTTCTTAATAATGTACCTTTCATTTATTTTCTCAACTGAAGGGGTTCTGCTCTTTGTGTTGCTTTTATCCTGTCCTCCACATCCATTGGATTCCTAACAGGGAAAAATGCTCATTGTGGTTATAATGAACCCAGACACAATCCATTTTACATGATGAAAAAGCATGTTGTCTTTGTAGCACACATAATCTCTGACTAGGTAATACATGCCTGAGAAAGATTGGCAGCGCTGTAAATGCTGGTCCAGATCTGCAAGGTGTTGTGTCTGTTGGTGTGTGATGATGTCAGTGATGATGAGGGCTGGATGGCCTGAGGGTCACAGACCTGGGAAGCATGCTCCCTCAGGGCCTCAGTCACTATGACAGGATCTGACAGCTGGGGAGGGAGAGAGGGAGAGAGTGTGTGTGGGGGGGGGGGAGAAGCGAGAGAGAGAGAGGTGTCACTGTGCGTATGAAAAAGAACACATGATTGAAAGTAATTGTAGGAAGCCCATACTTTGATGCATGATACAAGCTATAGAGATGAAAGCTAATAGGGAATTTAGATTTCAAAAGAGAAATCCCTTTTTAGGTGTTAGACTGATTACCTGGAGGAACCTGCAGTGAGTCCTCAGCAACTCATCATAAGACTGGAGTTCCTTCAGCTTGGTGACAAGTTTCTGTTGCCAGGGATCCCGTTTGGGCTTCACCTGTTTTATTAGTGTTTAGTCAGAAAATAAACATTAGGGATGGAACTTGAGGATTTTGGGCACTGGTCAGCTGGGCTAGTAGGCTGCAATTTTTATTAGGCTAGGTCCAAAATCTGTGCCATGCCATACTTGGAAAGTTTCACTAGCCCGGTCTGAAAAGTATGAGCCTCGGGATAGAGGGCTAGCTTAATTGCCATCCCTCATATATCAACATTCCTGACACCTTTTCTTCAATCATCTCTGAACGAACTGGTTAACACTTCAAGTGTTATACAATCAAGTACTATGCAGGACAAGGATGCACAGGAGAGAGATCACGACAGAGACAGGGACAAGCCCTCTCTCTCCAGACCTGAATGTATGGTATCCAGTTAGCGTTCTTCCTCAGAGCCATGCTGCTCCTCTTCCTCCCCCACTGTCCCTCTACAGCCTCTGTCCCATCATACTGGAGGAAGGTCTTCATCACCTCCTGCTGTCTGAAGATCACCCTGAACTCCTTCGAGACCTGACCAACAAACAAAGGACCAGATTCAGAGATGAGATAAGTGCGAACAGCTCAGACGTTCGCATAACTCATTCATTGATGTCAATGAGAAACTTCACATGAAAATGTGAGTTTAGTGTGCGGATCTCCAGTAAGAGAGTACACTACGAACCAAATAACTTGAAATTAAGGTTTCAATGGTACTACCATGCTGAAGAGCTCCATCTCGTCTGCAGTGTTCCTGATGTTTTGGGTGTCGTAGGGCAAACGGAAGTAGGAGACCAGGCTTTGTAGTTCTGGGAGGAACTCCTCCAGTTTCACAGTGTGCATCGGAACCTGGCTAGCCAGTCTAAAAATCCCTACGGAGAGGAATGGTCACGATCATGAGCATGAATGAATCTCTTTTGTACCCACATTTAGAGTTAAATCTAGTTCAAGTAAGACATTTCAATGTAGAGGTTCAATAAGGTAGCAGTCAATGTTACCCTCAAGCCCAGCCAAGACTTGGTCTTTATCTTCTGAAGATGTGTGGACAGATTCAACCAGCACTGGGGAACTTGATGGGAACTTCCTTAATAACTCAGAAGAATCTTTATCCCTCTTCTCAGAGGCTGGGATGTAGTGGATCACCTGTAACCCATCATATCGTGTGAGGTAAAAACCTGTAATCTCTAAAAAAATCTATTACAAGGTATTCATCCACCCATCCCAAAAGTCATCCAAGCTTTGGGGTGCATCTCAGTAGTCTAAAGTGACTTCCTCTCTAAACTAGCCTTTGATTTCAGCTACGTGGAGATGAAGGAGAGGAGACGAGGAGAGGAGGAGAGGAAGCCACTTTAGACCATTGTGATGCAGCCATAGGATGCACCCTAAATGGTGCCCTTTTCCCTATATGGTGCACTACTTTTGACCAGTCCTATGAGCCCTGGTCAAAAGTAGTGCACTATATAGGGAAGAAGGTTCAATTTGGGACATACTCATAGGGCAACATTTCTGTAGTGCAAAAGCAATGTGTTAAGTGAAATGTGTACCATAAACCTAATTGTAATCTGGCAACGTGATTTAATTGTATACTTTTTTTCAACAATGCGCGTTTCAACAAAGAGACGACTATTTATATATTGCTTAGTCTCCTCCTTATAATGCACATTGTTAAAATTAATTCACAGTGCCAAATTACAATGAGGTTTATGGTCAATTTTGCAATTAACACACTGCTTTTGCACTATCAAAACGTCGCCCATAGTCTCTCTGATTGCCTTACTCTCAGGAAGTGGTGGATGGTCTTGGAGGCATGCAGGTGACAGACCAGCCAGGTGAGGTAGATGGTCACATCTTCCTGGGTGACCGTGTTGATGGGGTTGCCCCGCCCTGTCAGGACTTTCTCCCTGGAAACAGCCAGTCTCCTGGCCCGCTGGACAGCATCCTCATACTCACTGACCAGGTGGGATACCTGGGCCTGGTGGAACAGCATGGTGAAAAGAACACACCCGACCTGGGTTCAAATAGTATTTGTTTTCTTTTAAATACTTTAATGCTTAATTGAGCTTTCCTGGTGGAACACCACAGAAATCAATTGGTGACAACTGTTGATGTAAAAAGGATGTATTGATTGATTAACTGATTGATTGATCGATTGTCCTCTAGTACTCATAATAAACGAATGTTATATATTAAATATCAAAGTGCCAGGTTACCTTGTAGAAGGGATACAGCTGCTCAATGATGTGGGAGTGACGACAGAACCTTCTCCATCTCAGCATCAGCAGGTACTTGATCTGGGCCAACTGGTAGCATCGGTCTGCATAAAACTACCATAAATACACTGAGTGTACAAAACATTAGGAATATAACTTCCTTATATTGAGTTGCACCCCCTTTTGCCCTCAGAACAGCCTCAATTTGTCTGGGCAGCTGACATTATCATCAGCCCAGCTTACCTGGTGCAGGAGAAGAGGCAGACTCTCAGGTGTGTACTCCAGACATAGACAGCTTTCCAGCTCTCTCTGTAGCACATCAGACGGAGACATCACTGGCAGTGCTTCTGCCACCTGAAGACCTCTCCTCAGGACCTGCTCTCTCTCCATACGAAAGTATGATACATCTTTAGGAACTGGAACTGAGCTATAATAAGATCCAAAAATAATATAATACAATTACAAAAAATTACAAATTACAAAAAAGACAGCAAGTATATCACAATATCACAATCACCTGGCATTTTAACTGGGCAACTTTATTTTGCTCACAGACCTCCCTCATATCCATGTGTCCATCTGTACCTATAAGACTTGGAGGGTGTTTCCAGGGGAGATCCATTCTCCTCTATCTCAGTTTTGAGAGCTGACAGCTGGGCAGACAACTCTGCTTCCATCTGCTCTACCTTGGCAGTGGAGGAAACTTTGTACACCACCTTGGACATGACAGGACGTCCTGGATACTATATAAGTAACAAATGCAAAAAGGTAATTTATGAACAGATGTCCCACTGCACAATCAAAGGGCATAACTCTATTGGTGGTGTTATCCAATCAAAACATTTGAGAGATATTGCTGTTTGGGTTTTTGTATAATAAATGTAGTAGTTAGATTTCTCAATAAGTCTTCCGAAACAGAAAATAAACTTGCCTTAATTTAAATGAATCATTGGCTCCTGAAAGCAACTCCAAACTGGTTCCCAAGCTTGTTGTCCAGAGTCACCATGGAGACAATGGGGCCATAAAAGTCTATACAGACTCCTAATTTACTTTGTAAAGCCAACCTATACATACTTTTGAACTCTAGAGGGCACCAGAACTTCAATAACGCCCCTTGATCCAACTGGATTGCTGACCTATGCAAATCTGAATTTTCTGATAGACAATGACCATATGCCAAAATGTGTTTTTCAAATGTATCAATTTGTGGTAATATTTGTCTGTGCTGTTTCTTTCATTGGTGAATACACTTAATTATCTTTGAATAATTTCAAGGGAATTTCAAGGGAGATAAATGCACTATGCTCTTGTAAAATATTTTCATTGATAATCTATTTAGCAGATCTTTGTTTAAAAAGAATAATGACATTGACATCACTCAATGAAATCACAATGATAAACTTCTGTTTTAAATTTCCACAACAATGATCAGCTATTTAGATAAGTCAGGTGTACCTTGCAGGAATACAGTGCAATGATCTCTTGGTGGTAGATATTTACCCTACTGTACCTTTCAAATATTTCATTATTCTATTATCAGCTCCCCTAGCTGGATTTAAATAGCTCAACATGCTCACTTCTCTTGGATACAGGAAAGCTGATTAGCGCCAACAGAGGATGGGCACATCCAATAAAAAATCGTCACAAGGTGCACTTCTACCAATAAGTACTCAAGGACAAGGGAGTTTCATAATTCCTTTGTCACCAGCAGAAGGAGAGGAGAGGCTATGATAGCCTGAAATTAACTGCATGGTGACTGTGACTGTGGATGGAGGATTAACAAGAATGCAATATGGCTTGTTGTTGAATTTATGAATCAAGTGTGCATCCACACACCATACTATTCCTATCCCAAAAAGGCAGTACAGTACTACAGAAATGCTCAGTTGAACAATCTGGTAGCTAGCAATCCCACATTTTAAGATGGCATGTTTCCCCAGCAACCATTTTCTATAGCATGATGTCTGAGGACAAAGGACACATAGGAATCTAATAATGTTCTTATAAGAAGGCTCCCTTTGTCTTAGAACATTTTGCTATATAAATCCAATCAATTTTTTCTAGGTTACATTTGCAGTAGCAGTGGAGTAATTTAAAAAAAATACATGTTGAGATTGATATAAATATTCAATACAATAAAATAATAAACATGCATTAACAAGACGATTATAGTGCTTCACAAAGCTTTTATTTACATGCACCATTTCTTATACCTACATTACATCATCCAAAGTGGAAATACATAAGGAAATGCCAACAAACATCAAGTAGGGTGACGCAATTTAGGACCAGCAAGGTTAATAAGATCATAGGTAGGCAGTGAGTGATCTACAGTACATGAAGTAATACTGCAATATTACTTTAATGATGATACTAAACTAAATGTATTTCAGCATAAAACCAGACAGACAAATGGTTAATATCTAACCATCCCAAAACCTATCCAAGTACTGTATTCAAAATCCATCTAACTTCATTTCATAGAACTCCTATGTTGGTAGCGTTATAGAGTTACATACAGTGCCTTGCAAAAGTATTCACCCCCCTTGGCGTTTTCCCTATTTTGTTGCATTACAACCTGTAATTTAAATGGAATTTTATTTGGATTTCATGTAACGGACATACACAAAATAGTCCAAATTGGTGAAGTAAAAAAAAAGAACAAAATAAAAAATCACTTTTTTTACTAAATAAATAACGGAAAAGTGGTGCATGCATATGTATTCACCCCCTTTGCTATGAAGTCCCTAAATAAGATCTGGTGCAACCAATTACCTTCAGAAGTCACATAATTAGGTAAATAAAGTCCACCTGTGTGCAATCTAAGTGTCACATGATCTCGGTATATATATACACACACACACACATACACCTGTTCTGAAAGGCCCCAGAGTCTGCAACACCAAGCAAGCAGCACCATGAAGACCAAAGAGCTCTCCAAACAGGTCAGGGACAAAGCTGTGGAGAAGTACAGATCTGGGTTGGGTTATAAAAAAATATCAGAAACTTTGAACATCCCACGGACCACCATTAAATCCATTATTAAAAAACGGAAAGAATATGTCACCACAAGAAACCTACCAAGAGAGGGCCACCCACCAAAACTCACGGACCAGGCAAGGAGGGCATTAATCAGAGAGGCAACAAAGAGACCAAAGATAAGATGGTCAGAATTGAAAGAATGATGGATGGCACTAAATACAGGGAAATTCTTGAGGGAAACCTGTTTCAGTCATCCAGAGATTTGAGACTGGGACGGAGGTTCACCTTCCAGCAGGACAATGACTCTAAGCATACTGCTAAAGCAACACTTGAGTGGTTTAAGTGGAAACATTTAAATGGTCTTGGAATGGCCTAGTCAAAGCCCAGACCTCAATCCAATTGAGAATCTGTGGTATGACTTAAAGATTGCTGTACACCAGCGGAACCTATCCAACTTGAAGGAACTGGAGCAGTTTTGCCTTGAAGAATGGGCAAAAATCCCAGTGGCTAGATGTGCCAAGCTTATAGAGACATACCCCAAGAGACTTGCAGCTGTAATTGCTGCAAAAGGTGGCTCTACAAAGTATTGACTTTGGGGGGGGTGAATAGTTATGCACGCTCAAGTTCTGTTTTTTTTGTCTTATTTCTTGTTTGTTTCACAATAAAATATATTTTGCATCTTCAAAGTGGTAGGCATGTTGTGTAAATCAAATGACACAAACCCCCCAGAAATCCATTTTAATTCCAGGTTGTAAGGCAACAAAATAGGAAAAATGCCAAGGGGGGTGAATACTTTCGCAAGCCACTGTAGCTGTCAAGAAAATAAGGAGTCATTAAAACTCCTAACATTTTCAACATAACAGCATAGGACAGCCGTAAAGCTTGTAGAATGTATGTTGATTCTAAATGTTGGTTATCGTCTCTTCACTTAATCCTATTCCATGTGAGAAATCGGCTCAAAATATTCACCTTATATTATTTTGGGGGCAATAATTCAAACAGAATGTTAAGAGTTTATTGCTTCTGATTCTGTATGGAATGGTCTTTTCAATAATCTGATATTTCAGGCTTTGCCTAAATATCAATACTTAGCATGAGTAAATGATTATCCAATGTAAAAAAATTTAAAAATAATTGTCAACTGTAATTCTTTCGGTGTTCAAAATAAATAAAAATACAAAGTAGATTCTTTGTCATTGGAGGAGATTGTAAACTTAACCTTCCCGTTGACCCTTTTTTGTTCTTACAAAGTATATTGGAAAACCATGATTTAATTCCATTGTTAATTTTTGTGACAGTCGTCGTTTTGCCTTTAGCATTGTACTTTATTATTTCTACTAAAGCACCTGCTGAACAAAGTACATTTTCAATGTTTCCTTTTATTGTATTTCTTGAATGTGGAAAGGATTTGACAATATTCAAGAAGATATTGTACTGTGATTGTTCCCTATTTAAAAGCCATCTAAATGGTGTGCTACCATGCAACTGCCACTCCTTTTTCTTTTCTTAAAGACTCTGCATGGTCACTCCGAAATCTGCAGTGGCCATACAGCATTTGCTGCGATGCGGCCTCCGCAGAAATCAGAGCATTTCAACTTCTTGCGCTTCGCGGAGCTGTTGGAAGTTGTCAAGGAAGTGAATGTGTTTATACAGCACCTTCCGCCTTCACGTACCGTCAACCAATCATGTCAATGCAGAGCTATACGGAGCCCTCCGCATTGTTACAAAATTTGGGAGGCACAAGGCAATGCGGTGCGGAGCTTAATTTGACCTCTGCAAGCCTCTGGAGGCTCTGCAATTGCGTCAAACCCTCCGTACGGAGCATCCGGATCGCATTTCCAGAGCAATCATAAATTGCTATAAGGACTCACAACAATCAAGCAACACCTGGGCCTGTATTCATAAAGCTTCTTAGAGTAGGAGTGCTGATCTAGGATCAGGTCCCCCCCGTTCATATAATGTTATTCATTATGATCTAAAAGGCTAAACTGATCCTGTATCAGCCCTCGTACTCAGAAATGCTTTATTGAATACAGGCCATGTTATAGTGCAGAGTCTGACATTGCAACATTACAAGCAGAAACTTCTCTCAGGAGTATTGAATACCAAAATCACTGAAGAAAATTAAAAGAAACCAAACATTACATACAGTACAATTAACACCATGTGGATAACCTTGCATTTGATGATATTAAACATTTATAAACAATATGTTTTATGATATAGGTGCATGGAATGGTTCATTGATGCAAGGCGTTTCAAAAATACACAATTGCTTTTTTCCTTATTTCTTTCGTCCTCTTTTCTGCTGAGAACATACCGGTAAATGCATAAAATGCTGAATCAAGTATATACAAAATATTGGTAACATTCTCTGGAGCTTGTTCGATGTAAACAGGCAGTCAACCACACTGGACTGACGGCTGGTTTGGCAAAAATATTGTGTTGGTTAATGTATGGTTAAGAAATATGACATGGGAAGCAGGGGGGGGAAAAAAACAACATTTGTATATCAGTGTTTACAATTCACCACATAAGGATAAATCCCTGAGACTTAAAATTAGTGTCCATTTCACATTTTAACTTCACATTTACTAAAATCCCACTGATAATACTGATGGTTACTGTCCCAACTCAGAGACTAAACAGCGCTCCACAGTCCCGGGCCTGTATTCACAAAGCATCAAGACAGTCAGCGTCCATCAGCTCATTACCTATGATAGTGTCCATGTCACAGTCCAGGCTGCCGTTGAACACGTCCAAATCCAGATCATCAGGGATGGGAGGGATTGGAAAGCAGTCCGGAGTGGTCAACTGCAACGGCTTTCTAGAAGTGCTGTTGTTGGTACCAGAGCCACCAAGCTGCATAGAATAGTTTCTACTGGGAGATGGTAGGTGCTGGAGAAGCTGCTTGGCCTGCTGGTCCAAGTCATTGCTTGAGCACAACACTTCATTGTTAGGCGTAGACAAGCCAGCCTGAGCCCGCCAACCAGGCATTAAGGAAGTCTGGGAATTTGGACCCGCAGCACCGTCCCAGTTTGATGACATCATAGGGTCCTTGCGGAGCAGCATGGCATTCCGCCGGGAATTCTGGGACAAAGTGACAGAGGCGCTGGCTTGTGACATCAGTGGGTCACAGTGCGTGAGCATGATGTCGCTGACATGGCTGCCATGTGTCTCCAGGCTCAGCAGGGTGTGGTGGTGGTTGAAACGAGAGGACAGGCAGGAGAAGGAAGCTTGGTGGTTCTCCTGGATGGTCTGCATGGGGGACTGGCGTAGGGAGGTCACTGAGGAGGACGGGGGGCTGAGCTGGAAGATGGAGATGGGAGGGACATAGCTGCCGGAGGATGGGACGCCCAGACTACTACTGCTTCCTGAACAGCTGAAGGTTAACACGGAGCTCCCTGTCTGATTGCTTCCTCTGCTCTCCACCTCCTGCCCCGGGGGCTGCTGGGACGCCGTCAAGCTGATGTTGTCCAGAAGGTCACCCATCAGGTCGTCAGGGAGCCCGTCATCGAGGTCCATAGTGAGGGCCAGGTCGGCCAGACCCAGGGGGCCGGTGGAGGGGGACAAACTGCTGGGACTGGAGTACAGCATGGGGGAGAGGGGAGAGATGGAGTCATCATCCAGAGCCTCGTCCAGCTCTGGGTTGGCCAGGATAGGGGAGAGGCGCCCACTGACCGTACTGGCGTTGGAGTTGGTACGAGACCTGAAGTCCGTCCAGGTGTCCAGTTCGTCGCTGCTGCGGGACGTGGGACTTCCTGTCCACTTGGACAAGCTAGAAGATAAGGATAAACTCTCGGAGCTGCCATCTTGGACGGCCTGTAGGCCTAGAGCTGCCTTCTTCTTGGCGGCGCGGCCTCGAGCACCTTTGATCAGCTTGTTGCTGTTGTCCATGGATACGGCCCGTCGTCGTGGAGCTTTCCCACCTTTCCCACCCTCAGGGTTGACCATCCACCAGGAACTCTTCCCCGTTCCTTCATTCTGCACCCGCATGAAACGACTGTGGAGAGACAGGTTGTGTCGGATGGAGTTCTGGAGATAGAGGAGAGGAAAGGGTTGGCTTTGTGTAACACTATAACAACAGGTTAATACAACGTTGTTACTTGTTTAATTACAGTGTTACTACACAGGTATAAGAGCAACAAAAAAACAAAAAAAGCCCAATGCATGCAAATTTTGCAGTATTGATTTCATTCCTGATGCAAATGTGTGGATTGTCTTTGATGTTAAAGATTCTTGGTGGTAAGTGGTAACAATTGCTCCAAAAAGTAGTTTTTATATGGAGACTTGTGAAAAATGTCTTAACCTCTGTAAGAAAGGTCTGTGCTCAATCATACACACATATGGGCATAAAGCTAAGAAGAAAAGTAAAAGGGAAAAAACAACACACACACATATATATATATATATATATATATATATATACTTATGCAATGTGTGGGTCTTATTCTGGGAGACACAGCATTCCAATGCAGCTGTGACCTATTTTCTGCCTGCTGCTGTAAAAGGTCTAACAGATTTCCCTGGAGATATTCTCAACCATGTAGCTCAGTTGATAGAGCATGGCAACGCTTGCAACGCCAGGGTTGTGGGTTTCGTTTCCCACGGGGGGCCAGTATGAAAATGTATGCACTCACTAACTGTAAGTTGCTCTGGATAAGAGCGTCTGCTAAATGACTAAAATGTAAAATGTAGCTTCTAAATTAAAAAAGGGCTGGAGTCTGTGCATTCAGGTTACGCTAACCGAGTACTGCCACAGAGCGAAGCAGGGGAGAGGAGGTTAACGCAGTAAGGCTCTGCAGCACCAGGGCTTGGAGAAGGGTGGGTTAATGAGATATGTATGGATAGGTGGGAGTGGTCAAGGGTAGAGGGTAGTCCTAAGCGCCTCTACCATTTTGCCTAGCAACATTTGATATGCACACATAAACAGTTTGTCTACTCTGCAAAGCTGGAAAGTTCTGTGATGTGAGAATGATCACTGACCAAACCGGTCTATGCTATCCTATGGGTCAGTGGGCTGGTCTGAGCAACCCTTCCCATGCTTTCCTATGGGTCAGTGGGCTGTTCTGTGTATATTTTAATATGGGTCAATGGTTTGGTCTGTTGACATCAAACTTCCAGAAAAGCCCTCGGTCACTGACTCGCTCCAAGCCAATTACAGGATTAAACCAACCAGTGAAACACTTTCATCATCCAGTCAGTCAGGAGTGAAACATGCTTCTCTTTTCTTGAACTCTTAAATGCACGACTCACCAGCCGTTCTTTTACTTATTGACTAGCCTGGCAAGGTTGATAGGACTTTGCAACATGCCAACCACTGTGGGTATGACTATGGTTAGCTGTAGGGCTGGGAATTGCCAGGGACCTCATGATACAATATTATCACGATACTTTGGTGCTGACACAATATGTATTGTGATTCCAACGATTCTAAATGTACTGCGATTCAATAATGCCATTTTATTGTGATTCGATCTTCCAAACATTTTGCTCACCATCTCTGCTGCAGAGGGACAAGAGAGAGCCATGAGAAAACGAGTTTTGATCAGTCATGGACATAAAAGTGCTGGAAACATGTTGGCTCACCATTTAAAAAATAAGATAGAGAACAAGCTAGAGAATGAGAAATACTGGAGTTTTGGCACAGGTACAGCTGACTAGCGCTAGCTAGAGTTAACTACTTATTATTATTTATTTTCGATACTTGGAGTCATAGCATCAAGATAATATTGTAAAAAATGTCACAATACTCTCCTGTGTCAATTTAGCTGATTAGGTTACACAAACCTACCTCAGATCTAAATGTATACATTGTTGTATTTCTTGCATTTTCCCATATATAATCCAATCAAACTGGCCCATTTTGAAATGCGAAGTTTGTGAACCCATGTTGCCCAATCCAGACCTTTTCCTTGTAGGCCAATTCATAACAAACAAACATTTGTGTTTTATTGTTGTGGTGCATACAAGAATACATGGCCTCTGGTTGCTTTTCAGCTCTCAGACTGTGAAATCAAAAGGAATTTCCTTCTTTGTGGCCGAGACAGTCAAAAGCCTAACCCCTCAGTCATATTCTATGGACTACATTTTTAGGCTTTCCCCTGATCTTGGAACTTTACATTGACTATTCAGTTAAAGTCATGCCTTTGTTGCCAAGCTATGTAGTTGAACTCAAGCCCTCTAGGGAAGAGTTGGAATAGCATTTATTAAGTCTAATCACATTTGAAAACCTCCTCAAAAACCTGTCTGAAAGTGTATCATGCAATGTGCAGACTTCATTTTTCTCTTCCAAGTCCTCTTTTGTGTGGAGCAAGAAACAGGGGCATGTACAAGACTTCAGACAATTTACAACAGTCTGTGGGTGAGTGTTCTTCTCAAACCTGTTCTTCTCAAAAGGAGGTTCAACAGTTTGAGTTGACCGAAATGGGAATCGATGTGTACCATTACCAGAGGCATGTGATCTGAATACCTTGAATTTTTTCTGCAAGTCTTCCATTGATGTGACATTGGACAATGCTACATGGCAGCAACCTCTTCCTGGTGTGCAAAATAGATCTAATGCATCATGCCTGACATCGAAACCAATAAACACTGACACTACTAAGCAAGATGCATAGTATATCTGAAGACCTCTGATTGAAATCCAAGGGGGCGTATACTAAAACCGGTGATGTTTGACCCATTTAATTTAATAGGTCTGTGCATTTTGCAGAGGGAAGAATATTGTAAAATGTGATCTCGATATGCAGTGCTTTCTGTAAAAAGACAGAGCTAAAAGCACCCACTGTAGTGCTCCCTTCCCCCACACGGTCATACAACAGCAGCGCTGATGCAGCAGCCGGTAGCAGCCTTTGACCAAAGCCTCATTGTGAACAGACCGACAAACCAACAGAAACAAACCGACACAGACACCAGAGCTCTGCCAGCCTACACAAAGCAACGTCAGATCCAGAGTAAAACAGCAGCACGCCTGTCCCCCTCTATTTCTCGGCCCCCCTCACATCATCTGTCTCTCCCTCACAGACACCCTCTATTTCTCCCTTGCCATCACTCTCCCTCCCCCCATCTCTCTCTCACTGCTACACATTGACCTACATAGTTTCCAGTCAGCTGATTGATTCTTGTGCTCAGGCCACCAGCCAATAAAAAAATGGAGGTATGGAGCACAGCAACCAATTGCACGACTCCCATTGATTAAAAACGAACCATAGTAGGTAGGCCCATAACACTGTACCAGAACAATAGCTACAGCAAAGGGTGCATTATCTAGCAACCAGACATAATGCATACATTCTGTAAAAAATAAGGACTTTCAAATATGTTTTAGGACAAATGTGCACTAAATGGGTAAGTTATGTATGGAACGAGTTGGGTTGACTGCAAGACTAAATACAAGCTATTGAAGCTATATTCAAGGTTGAACACAAGCACTAATGTATGACATTAAACATTGAGTTATTATCAAAGTGGGAGCTGGATTACCTACTGTATAGATTGCCAACGTCAACGATTAGCTCCAAATCACTCTTCATTAAAGGACATTATGTACAGTCCTTGCCCCAGCCCAGCCGATACAGATGGACAGCCTAGCCTAAATCTTATATTGCTTAATGCCACACTGTCTAATAACTGAGATAGTGCTATAGTCAGCAGTTTATAGGCTAAATCCCTTCCTAATATGCAGACTAAATCTCTTCCTATGTGTACAGAGTATCAGTACACTACTGTACCAGATATATAGTGGCAATAGAAGAATAGCACTAACCTATAGAAACTAAGACCTAAATGGTGATCTCTAAAGCAGTCAGCGTGCTATAGTCAGCAGTTTATAGGCTAAATCCCTTCCTAATATGCAGACTAAATCTATTCCTATGTGTACAGAGTATCAGTACATTACTGTACCAGATATATAGTGGCAATAGAAGAATAGCACTAACCTATAGAAACTAAGACCTAAATGGTGATCTCTAAAGCAGTCAGCGTGCTATAGTCAGCAGTTTATAGGCTAAATCCCTTCCTAATATGCAGACTAAATCTCTTCCTATGTGTACAGAGTTTCAGTACACTACTGTACCAGATATATAGTGGCAATAGAAGAATAGCACTAACCTATAGAAACTAAGACCTAAATGGTGATCTCTAAAGCAGTCAGCGTGCTATAGTCAGCAGTTTATAGGCTAAATCCCTTCCTAATATGCAGACTAAATCTCTTCCTATGTGTACAGAGTATCAGTACACTACTGTACCAGATATATATAGTGGCAATAGAATTCAAGGCACACTTAACCACCATGGCTACCACAGCATTCTACAGAGATATGCCATCCCATCTGGTTTGCGCTTAGTGGGACTATCATTTGTTTTTCAATAGGACAATGACCCAACACACCTCCAGGCTGTGTAAGGGCTATTTGACCAAGAAGGAGAGTGATGGAGTGCTGCATCAGATGACCTGGCCTCCACAATCACCCAACCTCAACCCAATTGAGAGGGTTTGAGATGAGTTGGACCGCAGAGTGAAGGAAAAGCAGCCAACAAGTGCTTAGCATATGTGGGAACTCCTTCAAGACTGTTGGAAAAGCATTCCAGGTGAAGCTGGTTGAGAGAATGCCAAGAGTGTGCAAAGCTGTAATCAAGGCAAAGGGTGGCTACTAATCTAAAATATATTTTGGTTTGTTAAACCCTTTTTTTAGTTACTACAGGATTCCATGTGTTATTTCATAGTTTTGATGTCTTCGCTATTATTCTACAATGTAGAAAACAGTAAAAATAAAGAAAAACCCTGGAATGAGTAGGTGTGTCCAAACTTTTGACTGGTACTGTATATAAATGAGATCAAATAGCCTAGTACATACACCCAAACTTTTCAAAATGTTCAAATCAAAAGGCTATTGCACAGAAAAACGGACAGTCGGGTGCATCGCAAATTCAGAACATTGCAAATTCAAAACCGCAACATAATAAACTAAAGCACTAATCATTGGGAACGAGATCAGAATGACTGCTATGGCTTGATCCATAAATTAAATAGGTAGCCTTGCCAACAAAACTAAAAAACAATCCATATGTTCAAATCAAAAGGCCTGATTAACAGGACATCAATAACGCAGCCACATTCCGAGTCCCCGTTGCCAACAGATTCAGAAATCAAAAGATGGTTTAGTATTTAGTTTAAAAGCTCTGACGAAGAAGAAACACTTCAGTGAGAAAATAGAAATCCACTTTGGGATTTGTCATTTTTTTTAAAGAACGTTTCCAAAGATGCAATACTTGTGATCATTTTAAGGAGAACAAAAACTACTACATTTGAACACCACCAAAGAAGCTTTGGGCATCTTCCCAATTAAGTAGCCTAGTTTTGTTGTTTGCCACCTGAAGAGAACTAGCAGCCCACCTCTTCTAACGCATTGTGGAAAAGTGTGCATCGAAATCTACTAGATGAAGAGCTGAAATGAGTATAACATCCTGGGATTTAAACCATACTTGATTTTCAAAATGTTGCATACAATAGTTGGACCGCTATTGAGGACGCAAGTATGGGTATTCGGACACGGCCCATGTCACCAGAATAAGACCCTCGATATTGATTTATTGTTATTATTATGATCATTATTCCTTTCCCACAAACCTCTATCCAACAGTTGCACAGGATTACAACCCAATTTCTATTTCCAGACCTCTTTTCCATTTAAATCCAGCAAAGCTGAAGCTTTCATTAGACTCGATTCCATGACGGACGGATTGGTTTTCCAGCCCAAACTAATCCCCAGAATCAAACGGAGGCAAGAGACCAGAGACCAGAGAGAGCCCTTTGCAGACCAGAATTATAGGCTAGCCCAGGCTTAAAGGGATATTTCAGGATTTTGGCAATGAAGCCCTTTATCTACTTCCCAAGAGTCAGATGAACTCATGGATACCATTTTTCTACATCCAGTATGAAGGAAGTTCGAGGTAGTTTCGTGAGCCAATGCTAACTAGCTTAGCGCAAAGACTGGAAGTCTTCGGGTACAGCTAGTGCTAATGCTAGTTAGCATTGGCTCATGAAAGTACATCTTATTATATTATTATTACATCTAACTTCCTTCATATTTGCTTCATAGCCAAAACCTGACCTATCCCTTTAACCACCAGGTTATAAGGGCAGTAGAAGAGAGGCCTCTGGTGTATTCACTAGGAACAAAAAGGGCAGAAATGGGGAGGGACTACCTGAACTAATGAATACTCCCCAGGAAAAACAATCCCTCTTCATCCACCTTTTCCCATTTTATTAGTATCTCCACTCGGGAGAAATGAAAGGAAAAGGACTACCTTCATTGGCAGTTGAGGACAGGTAGTGGGGCCTTTTGTTTTCATCCTCAGCTGTATGTATCCATTTTACATAATTAAAGCCTATCATTCACCATCTACCATCACAATGAATAGCCAACCATTAGTAAGTCCCAAATGGCAGCCTATTCCCTACATACTGTAGTGCATTCCATTTGACCAGACCCTATGGGCCCCTAGTAAAAAGTAATGCACGATAAAGGAAATAGGATGCCATTTGGGACACAATTGTGTTTAACTGCACCTTCGTTCTGATCGTGTTACTGAAAACTGCTCTAATAACTAAACTCAGATCAAAAAGGACACTAGCCTAAACTTCCACTAACATAACAACTAGTCACCCGAAATGTGTTTTAAAGTTTCAACTGCTGACAAATATTCCTTTACAAGAAGAGTGTTTATTATGATTCGTTGCATTGAGCCGAGATCCCCTGCAGGCCAGAGGGCCTCTTTTACATGCAAATAACCTGATAAGACGGTGGCAGTCAGAGGAACTCGCCACTCAGTGTTACAGTACGAATAGCATAAAGTGAAACTGAACAAGTCGGTTTGGACCCAGGCTGACAGTATATAGCCTACCTCTCCTTAACCAGAGCTATAGTGTAGGCCTATATGGTTCTGTCCTAAACTCGAGAGAGCATCTGATTGTCCAGCTTTCTCTGAATGGTTTTCATCAAGAGGGCTGAATGACAATGTAGGTATGCATCTTTTTCTATTACAGCACTGTCATAGGCCGGGTGACAGGAGATGTGTTGGCAGCGCTCAGGAGGAGCCCCATGCAACAGTGATATCTGCATGGGGCGTCCCTTGGCAGCAATGCATGGTTGGGCAGGCACACCCTTGGCTCACCCTGTGTCTATCAGGCAGCCACACACTTTCCAATCCCAGCTGGTTATCATTATTTTTAAATTTGCATTGTAATTCCAGAAAATGTCCATAATATATCTGCCACTAATAGTGGAATGATAGTGTTTCACAGTATTACTTACCCGCCATTGTTGTGATTGGCTGTTATATTCGCCTATTGATTTTAAACATTTTAGTGGCCAGCTTCAAACAGCAATTTAGATGGTACAATTATACACTAATTAGTGCTTGTTTTCTCAGATGAACTGAAATTGAGCGAACAGTGTAGACTTTTCGCAACCAGGAAATGACAGCTTTTTTCACTAGATAACACAGCCACAAAGTCAGAACAGCTTTCCCATTTTCACAACAGATTCCATTCTGGACAAATCAATAGGCGAATATCACAGCCAATCACAACACTAGCGGGTAAGTAATACTGTGACACACCATCATTCCACTATTAGTGCCAGATATATTATAGACATTTTCTGAAATTACAATGCAAAAATTCAACAACAAAATGCTATGTGAGCACCTTTAAGAACACTATGACCTCAGGCCTTAAAACCCCAAGAATTGCAGAAAATTTGCTTTAAAAACTAAAACATTTTCTCTACGTAAAATGTAATATACTCCGCTGTCAAGAGGGGGGGCCACTAAAATGTTTTACTCACAATAAAATTTCACGTGGGGCCCCCAAAAGGCTAGGGCCGGCTCTGACTGCATGTGTGGGTAAGCAGACCTGCGAGCATCTGCGGCCCCTAATGAGTTGAGCTTTTGTGGCCCCCACCCCTGACACACGCACTACAATATGTACAGTATGTAGCCTACCTAAAGCACGGGTTTACTCCAAGTGAAAGCATTGTATTCAGATGCCACCTGCAGATGACAGTGCACCCTAAGAATAATAATAATAAGCCATTTAGCAGACGCTTTTATCCAAAGCGACTTACAGTCATGTGCGCATACATTTTTACGTATGGGTGGTCCCTGGGATCGAACCCACTACCCTGGCGTTACAAGCGCCATGCTCTACCAATTGAGCTACAGAAGAACACATGGGCTCACTCACACAGCCTTTGTTACAGTGTTATGACTGAAAACATTGTCCATATCAGTGATGTCACCCCGCTGCTCACCTTCCAGCCTGCAGAGCTGTTGCTGTCTCCTTTGTCCTTGAAGTAAGGGACAGACCTCACCATCCACTCATAGATCTGGGATAACGTCAGCCTCTGGTCCGGGGAGCTCTCTATGGCCTGGGTGATGAGGTCCGCATAGGAGTAGTTCCCCCAGGCATTCCTCCTAGCTGAGGACTTCCTAGGTTGGGAGGTCAAGCCATTGAGAGCTGAGACAGCATGCGTCTGTGTGGACAAGGAGGACCCATCGACATTACTCCCCTCCTCTTTGGAAGTGGGGCTTAGTACTTCTTCCTTAGTGGTGGTGGTGAAGCTTGGGTGTTTAGAAGAGTTCTTTGTGTTCTGATGTATGGCTATTCCACCATTCACATTGTTGACAGTATAAGAGCTAGAGCTGCTGGGTGCTGTGACGTCATCATCCTCTTCCTCGGGGATGATGTCATCGTTTGATTCGGGCTTCCCTGCGTTGGACTCTGGTCGAGGCAGAGGCCAGGTGCAAGACCTTGGTCGTTTCTGGGGCTCGAAGTCTGGATCGATGTCAATATCCTGAGAGTGTGGTTCATTGTGTGATACTTCAGCCATATTCCTCTCCTTGGTTTCTCGCTTGTTTTCGGTATAAACTGACCAACTAAGTTGCATTCCATTAATAATAGGCTATTATTTGTTTGGTTATCATGCATAATATTATCAATCAATTACCAGTCAGACTCATTTAAAGCATGCATAATTAGTAAAATATGTGTCCAAGGTCCACATTCCACACCTCCAGCTGATGATAGGAACTCCACGTGCGTCCCATCGACTGTCTTCTCTATGCTGATCGCAGCAACTTGATGGCGCGATTCAAAAGGCCATTGTTTTATGTGAATTTAGTACTGCAGCGTCTGTCTGTAAACAAATTGATTTATTATACATACGACATTTTAAGTGATCCAATAGAATTCCATCACCTTCCTTGGGAATGGCGTGTAGCGCATCCTCTAGAATAACGTTAGCTAGCTACTGTATACAACCAACAATCAGCGTTCCGTGTTTGTTTACGATTTCCAATAAGCGGGTTAAATAAAAAAAAGCTACAACACTAACTCGCTAGCGATAAGAATCCACACCTTCAAATTCCGAATGGAGCTGCCATCTTGACCATTTCCTTTCCAAATCCTTTATTAACCGTGTAGCTACGAGGAGAGCACCGCCGCAAGCTTTCATTCCCTGCCTCCAGTGAACTACTGGTTACCATCAAGCGATTATTTTTTTTAGAGTTTAGCTACTTACACAATGTTACATGTCGAATTAATAAAACATTCGCTCTGCCTGTGATTCTGCTCTCCCTCTCCTCATCCCGAGCAGCCGTGCACACCACAAGCACAACCTCCAAGGCCATCTCTAGCTGGCTACTAGTACTGTGGTCCCAGATGACGGAAAAGACCTGCCCCTTAGATTGCGTTGAAGGAATCGGCTTTAAAGTGACACGCTCACTGTATTGCGTCACATTGACAGGTTGGGACATTTCAAGTAAAGGCAACATACCAAGACATTTAATACAATGATGGTGTCATCATAATTCTGCTGAATTACAGAGGTACTTACTTGGTATTTAAAATAATAATTATAATACTATTATGATCATGGAGGGCAAAATTACACAAGGTACTGCACAGTAAAGATATACTATATTTACAAAGGTATGTGGACACCCCTTCAAATTAGTGGATACGGCTATTTCAGCCACACCCGTTGCTGACAGGTGTTTAAAATCGAGCACACATCCATGCAATCTCCATAGACAAACAGTGACTTTCAACGTGGTCCCGTCATGGGATGCCACATTTCCAACAAGTCAGCTCGTCAAACGTCTGCCCTGCTAGAACTGCCCCGGTCAACTAAGTGCTGTTTGTATTTTTATTTATTAAGGATCCCCATTAGCTGCTGCCAAGGCAGCAGCTACTCTTCATGGGGTCCAGCAACATTAAGGCAGTTATACGCAATTTAAAATATTACATTTCATAACACTTTACACATTACATTGTGTTCCCTCAGGCCACTACTCTACTATCACATATCTACAATACCTATTATTGTGAAGTGGAAACGTCTAGGAGCAACAACGGCTGAGCCGCGAAGTGGTAGGCCACAAAAGCTCACAGAACGGGACCGCCGAGTGCTGAAGTGCGTAAAAATCACCTGTCCTCGGTTGCAACACTAACGAGTTCCAAACTGCCTCTGGAAGCAACATCAGCACAATAACTGTTCGTCAGGGGCTTCATGAAATGGCCCACACACAAAGCAGCCGCACACAAGCCTAAGATCACCATGCGCAATGCCTAGCGTTGGCTGGAGTGGTGTAAAGCTCACCGCCATTGGACTCTGGAGCAGTGGAAATGTGTTCTCTGGAGTGATGAATCACGCTTCACAATTTGGCAGTCCGATGAACGAACCTGGGTTTGGAGGATGCCAGGACAACGCTACCTGCCCGAATGCATAGTGCCAACTGTGAAGTTTGATGGAGGAGGAATAATGGTCTGCGGCTGTTTTTCATGGTTCGGGCTAGGTCCCTTAGTTCCAGTTAAGGGAAATCTTAACGCCACAGCATACAATGACATTCTAGACGATTCTGTGCTTCCAACTTTGTGGCAATAGTTTGGGGAAGGCCCTTTCCTGTTTCAGCATGACAATGCCCCCGTGCACAAAGCGAGGTCCATACAGAAATGGTTTGTCGAGATCGGTGTGGAAGAACTTGACTGGCCTGCACAGAGACCTCAACCCCATCGAACACCCTTGGGATGAATTGGAACACCAACTGCGAGCCAGGCCTAATTGCCCAACATCAGTGCCCGACCTCACGAATGCTCGTGGCTGAATGGAAGCAAGTCCCCGCAGCAATGTTCCAACATCTAGTGGAAAGCCTTCCCAGAAGAGTGGAGGCTGTTATAGCATCAAAGGGGGGGGGGGGGGACCAACTCCATATTAATGCCCATGATTTTGAAATGAGATGTACGACGTGCAGGTGTCCACATACTTTTGGTCATATACTGTATGTCATCATGTCAAACTACACAATTGTGCCCAGTAATATGTGTTTCCTAGCCTGATCCTAGATGTTTGTGCTCTTCCCAACTCCAATTATTTGACATGACAAAGAGGTGGCATGATAGCACATCCCAAGCTGGCACTCAGGCTACAGTACTTTCTGTTTGCTAAATAAAACATAAAACCATGAAGAAGGCAGGTGGCAGGATGTTGCTTTCAACATCAGAGACAAGCAGCCTTAAATACATCCATGATATGAACCATACTGTAGTAGTCATCTCTCTCGATGCTCTTTTCAATAGACAATTATTTTCATCATAAGATATCAATAAAATAACAATGCACCTTGAACCAGTAGTTCCATTTGTATAAGTGGATTCCATTGATCTTTTTTGCAAACGCCATTCACACAATTTACCCTCTATCTACTGTATGTGTACAGTATAGAAAGAAATCCACAGATAAAGGTTTAACTTAAAATATTATGTACAATATGGTCAGTTTGTAAAGTGCAATGGCAAATTAAAATCATAAAGGCTTGAAGTCATACTTTGTATAATAAATATCTTCCATTGTTTTGAGTCCCTCGTGGTAGTGTATGTGCATGGTTTGAGATTTACTACTTTGCAGTCAGACGGCGTAGAATCACTGATCTACAAATCACCATACCACATGATTAGTGATTCTGCGCCTCGCCTTGCTCAAATTGATCCTGTCAAATTAACTCATAGTCTGTACTGGTGAGGTGGTTTTCACTGTCCTTGCAGGTAGTGAAGGGTTTAGAGGGTTGATGGGGGTACTGTACAGCTACGTGGTGATGGTGCTCCTGTCCCCTTCCAGCCAGTACTCTTCAGTCTGCATCTCAGTGAGGCGAGACACTGTCCTCTGGAAGGCAAAGATCTCCTCTGCTCCACTGAAGATAGACAACTCACTGGCTGCATCCTGATCCAGGAACAACACAGGAGGGTGTAAATGCATTCAATAGAAAAACACCATTAGTAAGAGTGTTTGGTATTTTGGGGTGTTTTCCTAAAGTCTGAGAACAAAACATTTGTAAACAATCATCTCTGTGAAAATCGGCAGTATTGGAGAGAAGCCGAGAAGTCAAACAGAAGGTCATAGAGTGTACAAAACATTAGGAACATCTGCTCTTTGCATGACAGACTGACCAGTTGAATCCAGGTGACAGCTATGATCCCTTATTGATGTCCCTTGTTAAATCCACTTCAATCAGTGTAGATCAGGGGTCTACAACCATTTCTAGCATGAGAACTACTTTTAAAAAATAAAACATGTTGAAAGCTACTTTTCTAGCTTTAAAATAGACATTCTTCTCTTCTCCTCTCCCCTGGGTCTTTAGTGTACAAGAGAAAGTGGTGCACTATGCACTGTCAATATACCTGGTAAAATAATGGTTAATAACTCTAAGGGGGCCCTATAAAATCTGTGATTTCTTTCCCCAAATTCTGTTTTATATTTTCCCAAATTATGTTCTCAGTTGTATTTTTTCTGGTTTTAGATTTTTTTTGTCTTTCACTCTCAAAATTACAATTGTTCATAGAGAAACAACAAAATGGGATGTTCTGAGTCCATGTCAATGCTTAAATCACATCAGAAGACAACGTTTTCTTCTTTCTGGAAGGCTGGAAGGAATTCCCCTTTAATTGCGCATCTGGCCCTTTAATTGTGCATCTAGTGAGTAAAGAATGTCCCTTCTAATGTGCCGGTCTAGTGATGGTTCTGTACTGCTGCTGCTCATTTCATGGGAAAGTTTGCAAATAACAAATAATAGATACAAATGATATACGTAATCGTGACATATTACTGCCAGGTAAGCCTACTTTGCAGTTAACATTTAATCGAGAAGGTTTTGGGGAAAGTATTTCTGTCAACCTACAAGACAGTTATCAAATCAACTGGCTACACACGGAGTGATAGACCAACGCACGCACCACACAGACAGGCGCAATATTGTTGGAAATTAATTGACAGATAGTGTTAGGTTTGGCTTTTCAAGCCAATTGTGGCTAACCAGGGGTGGGACAATGTCAATGTTGCGTTGATTAGATAGTAGCTGGGCGCTTGCGGTGTCTGATACTTGTGAGATTTGTTAATGACAGTTTGCGGTGGAGCACTTGAAAATCGCATGTACTTTCAGAATTACTTGGCGAGCTACTCAAAGGTGGGTTGCGATCAACCTGTTGGGAGACCCCTGGTGTATATGAAGGGGAGAAGACTGGTTAAAGAAGGATTATTAAGCCTTGGGACAATCGTGACATGGACTGTCTATGTGTGCCATTCAGAGGGTGAATGGGCAAGACAAAATATTTAAGTGCCTTTGAACGGGGTATGGTAGTAGGTGCCCGGCGCACTGGTTTGAGTGTGTCAAGAATTGCAACGCTGCTGGGTTTTTCACGCTCAACAGTTTCCTGTGTGTATCAAGAATGGTCCACCACCCAAAGGACCTCCAGCCAACTTGACAACTGTGGGATGCATTGGAATCAACATGGGCCAGCATCCCTGTCGAAGGCTTTCGACAACTTGCCCCAATGAATTGAGGCTGTTCTGAGGGCAAAAGGGGGTGCAACTCAATATTAGGAAAGTGTTCCTAATATTTTGTACACTCGGTATATTGTAGGTCATACACTCTCTACCTAAGTTAGAGATCAAGAAAAAAAAGTGTCTGGTTGCAATTCGTACCTTTTTTAGGTTGAGGTCATCCATGAGTTCATGATGGTGGTGTTCGTGATCTCCGTTGTGTACAAAGATGTCATCCAGAGGGTGATCGGCCAGAATCACCACTCGTACCTGGGGGACCAAGGATGTGACGTTTACTGACACTGGTAGTTCTCATCAAGCCTGGTCTGGGACCAGGCTAGTTCTTAGCAACTCACCAAAAACAAGTGCATACAACAAAGCTAATCAAACAACCTCAGTGGTACATACACTGCTCAAAAAAATTAAGGGAACACTAAAATAACACATCCTAGATCTGAATGAATGAAATAATCTTATTAAATACTTTTTCATTACATAGTTGATGTGCTGAACAACAAAATCACACAAAAATTATAATGGAAAATCAAATGTATACACCCATGGAGGTCTGGATTTGGAGTCACCCTCAAAATGTAAGTGGAAAAACCACACTACAGGCTGATCCAACTTGATGTAATGTCCTTAAAACAAGTCAAAATGAGGCTCAGTAGTGTGTGTGGCCTCCACGTGCCTGTATGACCTCCCTACAACGCCTGGGCATGCTCCTGATGAGGTGGCGGATGGTCTCCTGAGGGATCTCCTCCCAGACCTAGACTAAAGCATCCGCCAACTCCTGAACAGTCTGTGGTGCAACGTGGCGTTGGTGGATGGAGCGAGACATGATGTCCCAGATGTGCTCAATTGGATTCAGGTCTGGGGAACGGGCGGGCCAGTCCATAGCATCAATGCCTTCCTCTTGCAGAAACCGCTGATACACTCCAGCCACATGAGGTCTAGCATTGTCTTGCATTAGGAGGAACCCAGGGCCAACCGCACCAGCATATGGTCTCACAAAGGGTCTGAGGATCTCATCTCGGTACCTAATGGCAGTCAGACTACCTCTGGCGAGCACATGGAGGGCTGTGCGGCCCCCCAAAGAAATGCCACCCCACACCATGACTGACCCCACCGCCAAACCGGTCATGCTGGAGGATGTTGCAGGCAGCAGAACGTTCTCCACGGCATCTCCAGACTCTGTCACGTCTGTCACGTGCTCAGTGTGAACCTGCTTTCATCTGTGAAGAGCACAGGGCGCCAGTGGCGAATTTGCCAATCTTGGTGTTCTTCTCAAATGCCAAACGTCCTGCATGGTGTTGGGCTGTAAGCACAACCCCCACCTGTGGACGTCGGGCCCTCATACCACCCTCATGGAGTCTGTTTCTGACCGTTTGAGCAGACAAATGCACATTTGTGGCCTGCTGGAGGTCATTTTGCAGGGCTCTGGCAGTGCTCCTCCTACTCCTCCTTGCACAAAGGTGGAGGTAGCAGTCCTGCTGCTGGGTTGTTGCCCTCCTACGGCCTCCTCCACGTCTCCTGATGTACTGGCCTGTCTCCTGGTAGCGCCTCCATGCTCTGAACACTACGCTGACAGACACAGCAAACCTTCTTGCCACAGCTCGCATTGATGTGCCATCCTGGATGAGCTGCACTACCTGAGCCACTTGGGGGTTTAGACTCCGTCTAGTAATTAGAGTGAACACGCCAGATTCAAAGTGACCAAAACATCAGCAGGAACATAGAACTGAAATGGCGTGTAAAACTGCAAAACCAGTCCTTATGGGTGCTGTAATTGATAATTTCACTGTTACAATTGCAAACGCATGTGAATGATGTCAATCGTGTTGCTTCCTAAGTGACGTTTGTTTCAAGAAGGTGATGACTGAGTATTTGTTGTTTAAGTGTTCCTTATTGTTTGAGCAGGTAATAAAGCACACTAATATCAAGGCATCGTCTCAAAAAACAATCAGGAAGTAGGTACAATAATAGAAGATGTGAGGTAAGAATTTATGGGGCAAAGACAAAGTTTCCTTACAAACTATACTATATTAAAATGATCCAGCCTCAAGCTTAGAAAGAAAGCCCTCCGTTTTTTCCCTCCCTGTACGATTATACTGGTTGATTCTGTTTCTTTGAGGTGCAAATAAATAATACATAAATTAAAACTAAGAGGTTTGTAATGTTACCTTGTGATCATAGAAGGCATCTATAAGCGTGATCAAGCGTCTCGCTTGAGTCTTCTTGTTCATAGTGAGCAGGGGAATGTTCCTGATGAATACAGTATCAAACTGCCTGGAGATCTCCAAGTAGTCACTGGCACCCAATGGCTAGAACACAAAATACATCATGTATGCACCTTACAGGACAGGGAGTGCATACATACAGTGAGCTCCGAAGGTATTTGGACAGTGACATTTTTTATTGTTGTTTTGGCTCTGTACTCCAGCACTTTGGATTTGAAATTATACAATGACTATGGAGGTTAAAGTGCAGACTGACAGCTTTAAATGTCGGGGTATTTTCATCCCTATCGGGTGAACCGTTTAGAAATTACAGCACTTTTTTTACTCCCCCCATTTTAGGGGACCATAAGTATTTTGGAGACACTTTTATTGTAAATAACAATAGAATATGCTTCTAAACACTTCTACATTAATGTGGATGCTACCATGATTACAGATAGTCCTGAATTAATTGTGAATAATGATGAGTGAGAAAGTTAGACGCACAAATATCATACCCCCAAGACATGCTACCCTCTCACCATTACAATAACAGGGGAGGTTAGCATTTTTGGGGGGTATGATCTGTAACTTTCTCACTCATCATTATTCACAATTAATTCAGGACTATCCGTAATCATGGTAGCATCCACATTAATGTAGAAGTGTTTAGAAACATATTCTATTCTTATTCACAATAAAAGTCTCTCCAAAATGACAATACATTATTTACCATTAATTTATATTGGGCACAAAATAATCTGGGGGGAAAAGTGCTGTAATTTCTAAACGGTTCACCTGATATGGATAAAAATACCCTCAAATTAAAGCTGACAGTCTGCACTTTAACCTCATAGTAGTACAGAGCAAAAACAACAACAAATGTGTCACTGTCCCAATACTGTTGGAGCTCACTGTATTTAGTATGTCTGTGTGATCCCTGTGGGAATTGAACCCACAACTCTCTTACCAACTGAGCAACACAGGACATACAGTCTGCTGTGGCCACTTACTCTATCACACAGCTCCTCGAAGGTACAGTCTGCTATGGTCCCACAGGTTTTCATAAGACTGACCTCCCTGGCCAGCAGTTTCAGAGTCCTTGGCCGTGTAACTATAAAAAGAAAATCTGGTTTAGCTCAATTACAAGTAATAAACTCAACATGATGAACACAATGAGGCTCAATATATTTTTAAGTATACCATTAATACAGAATGTTATGTTCATATCATAAACCTATAATTATAGATAGCTCCATCGATCCCTCTTTATCTACACTCAAGGACAACATGAGCATCTTACTGTCGTTCTGTTTGAAGGCCAGCTCGTCAAACATCTTGTCCAGTATCGCCTCAACACCAGGTTCACTTGAGCTGTGTCGAAAAAGGGTAACATCCCAAAATATGATGAACCACATCATTTAAAACATGAAACTATACTGATCAAACACAATAGGCTTGAGAGAAAGAGTTCCATGTTAAAATAAATACTACCCAAATATAACCTAGTGATTTAAGTATTGAAATGCCTCATGGCTATATCCATGGTTTGCACCATGCAGTTCTTACAGGAAGTACAGTTTCCCAGCTGAGGGTCTGTTTCTTCTGCGGTAGTCTATCCCAGAGTCCAGGCGGAGCTCGTGGCAATAGTTCTGCATGAGAGAAGAGAGGCAGACTACTGTAAGACAAACGTTGTCTGTATGTTTTCAAATCAAATTTTATTGGTCACATACAGATATTTAGCAGATGTTATTGCGGGTGTAGCGAAACGCTTGTGTTCCTAGCTCTAACAGTGCAGTAGTATCTAACAATACACACAAATCTAAAAGTAAAATAACGGAATTAAGAAATATAAATATTAGGATGAGCAATGTCGGAGAAGCATTGACTAAAATACAGTAGAATACAGTTTTGTAGAATACAGTTTTGTCTAATATACGAAATAAACAAATCAGAAATGTAGTTCTTATTTACCTTCAACACAGCAATAAATGGCACAAAGTTGACCCTCTGTAGTCCGTTCTTGTACAAATCTAGAAGAGAGGAATAGGTCTGGTTAGATCAGTATAGATTGTCCTTTATGGATTGTGCTGAACCCAGCTCAACAAGGTATTTGTTTTGTGATGTGATATTCTACTTACCCTGTGGGGGCCGGTTGGACGTGGCCACTACAACAACCCCATTCTTAAAGAGGTTTTCAAAGAGCTGTTTCAGAATCATGGCATCTGCGATGTCTGTCACCTGTGGAATACATTTACATCCAATTCACTCAGATATTGTTCTATCCTGTTATATTTTTATGCTTCCAAAACTGGGAACCGTGTATAGAATATAACTTTATTAGTCCAGCTCTAAACAGGTTTTGCTAAACAGGATTCCACATTATCACATCCACACATTAGCTAATGCTATTCAGGTGATTTTGTACAATTATAACATGAAGGTATAACAGTGGTTACAAGTGATCAGTAACAGGAATATCCCCCAGCCCTCACCTGAAACTCATCAAAGCACAACAGACAGGCCTCTTCACTGATCTCCTCTGCTACTGGTGCAATTGGGTCGTAGACTTTAGCCATTCTCCCTGCTTTCCTTTTCGGCAGGCTCTTTTTAAGGCGATGTATCCCTAAATACAATAAGTAAAAGAACAAAGATTGAGTTGACTCTGGACCTACTCAAAGATTTAAGTTCAATTAATCAATCAATCTGAATCTACAGTTGAAGTCGGACGTTTACATACACCTTAGCCAAATACATTTTAAACTCAGTTTTTCACAATTCCTGACATTTAATCCTTGTAAAAAATTCCCTGTCTTAGGTCAGTTAGGATCACCACTTTATTTTAAGAATGTGAAATGTCAGAATAATAGTAGAGAGAATTATTTATTTCAGCTTTTATTTCTTTCATCACATTCCCAGTGGGTCAGAAGTTTACATACACTCAATTAGTATTTGGTAGCATTGCCTTTAAATAGTTTAACTTGGGTCAAACGTTTCGGGTAGCCTTCCACAAGCTTCCCACAATAAGTTGGGTGACTTTTGGCCCATTCCTCCTGACAGAGCTGGTGTAACAGTCAGGTTTCTAGGCCTCCTTGCTCGCATACGCTTTTTCAGTTCTGCCCACAAATGTTGTATAGGATTGAGGTCAGGGCTTTGTGATGGCCACTCCAATACCTTGACTTTGTTGTCCTTAAACCATTTTGGCACAACTTTGGAAGTACGCTTGGGGTCATTGTCCATTTGGAAGACCCATTTGCGACCAAGCTTTAACTTCCTGGCTGATGTCTTGAGATGTTGCTTCAATATATCCACATAATTTTGTGTAAACCTGTGTCTCCTGAGTGGCGCAGTGGTCTAAGGCACTGCTTCGCAGTGCTAACTGTGCCACTAGAGATCCTGGTTCGAATCCAGGCTCTGTCGCAGCCGGCCGCGACCGGGAGACTCATGGGCGGCGCACAATTGGCCCAGGGTAGGGGAGGGAATGGCAGGCAGGGATGTAGCTCAGTTGATAGAGCATGGCGTTTGCAACGCCAGGGTTGTGGGTTCGATTCCCACGGGGGGCCAGTATAAAAAAATAAAATGTATTCACTAACTGTAAGTCGCTCTGGATAAGAGCGTCTGCTAAAATGTAAATGTAATAATTTTCCTTCATGATGCCATCTATTTTGTGAAGTGCACCAGTCCCTCCTGCAGCAAAGCACCGCCACAGCATGATGCTGCCACCCCGTGCTTCATGGTTGGGATGGTGTTCTTCGGCTTGCAAGCTCCCTCTTTTTCCTCCAAACATAACGATGGTCATTATGGCCAAACAGTTATATTTTTGTTTCGTCAGACCAGAGGACATTTCTCCAAAAAGTACGATCTTTGTCCCCATGTACAGATGCAAACCGTAGTCTGGCTTTTTATATGGCGGTTTTGGAGCAGTGGCTTCTTCCTTGCTGAGCTGCCTTTCAGGTTATGTCGATATAGGACTTGTTTTACTGTGGATATAGATACTTTTGTACCTGTTTCCTCCAGCATCTCCACAAGGTCCTTTGCTGTTGTTCTGGGATTGATTTGCACTTTTCGCACCAAAGTATGTTCATCTCTAGGAGACAGAACGCGTCTCCTTCCTGAGCGGTATGACGGCTGCGTGGTCCCATGGTGTTTATACTTGCGTACTATTGTTTGTACAGATGAACGTGGTACCTTCAGGCGTTTGGAAATTGCTCCCAAGGATGAACCAGACTTGTTGAGGTCTACAATTTTTTTTCTGAGGTCTTGGCTGATTTCTTTTGATTTCCCCATGATGTCAAGCAAAGAGGCACGGAGTTTGACGTTAGGCCTTGAAATACAGGTACACCTCCAATTGACTCAAATGATGTCAATTAGCCTATCAGAAACTTCTAAAGCCATGACATCATGGAATTTTCCAAGCTGTTTAAAAGGCACAGTGAACTTAGTGTATGTAAACTTCTGACCCACTGGAATTGTGATACAGTGAATTATAACTGAAATAATCTGTCTGTAAACAATTGTTGGAAAAATTACTTGTGTCATGCACAAAGTAGATGTCCAAACCGACTTGCCAAAACTATAGTTTGTTAACAAGAAATTTGTGGAGTGGTTGAAAAACGAGTTTTAATGACTCCAACCCAAGTGTATGTAAACTTCCGACTTCAACTGTATTTCTCAACTCATTATTGACATTAAGTATGATCAACCGTCAAGTCAATCGTCATTTAGCGACACATAACTTAACCTACTATTATGTACATCTAACATGAAGCCGTGGAAATGGACCCTCTTTTTCTTCTCTGTCTCCACGTGTGAGTAGAACATGTCCATAACCATTGTTTTCCCTGTACCTAGAAATAAAACAGAGAAAGACTGAATGATAATGAATTGTTCCAAATGTGCAATGTAGTCAAAAAGGGAAATATCATAAATGTAATACTAAAGTGGCAGCACAAAGATAGATATTATACAGCTACTACTTACCAACATCTCCATAGATGTAGTACCCTTTTGGGGGCTTTGGCTTCGAGAAAAACTGTAAAATAAAAGAGTCAGTGTTCAATGTATTGTGAGTCTGTGTGAATATAGGGTTAACTATAGGTTAGAGTCTATACCTTATTTAATGTGTTTTGACACCAGTGTCTAAAATCAAATAATGTATTATTGACATCAGTAAGAGCATGCATAGAAATCAGATTACCGTCGAGAAGAGGGACGTAGGCTGGTTGTTGTAACCTCGTATGGTTTTGTGCATTTTATCCAAGGTCTGAACCACGGATTTTTGATGCGGGTCCTCTCGCAGCGACCCGTCCCTGACCAGACTGTTGTAGTGCTCCAGTGGGCCGCTGTACGCTGCGGCAGCATTGCTGTCTTCTGCAGCCGGCTGGGGGAGAGCATCCGTCGAGAAGCCTGAGCAGTAGAAAAGATAACGGAATCGGAATTATCGTTACATCCTGAAGCTGTGGTAGCTAGTAACATAGTTAGCTAGACCCCCTGTGGCGGTTATCGGTTAACGTGCTAAGAAGAGCAGAAACGTAACGTTATCCATTTAGCGAGCAAACTGTCCAAAGCAAAGGTTCAGTCAGCGATTCGATATTCCCTCGTCTCTAAAGGTAAGTTGTGTCAGCACCGTAACAATGTAAGTAGTTAGCTAAAAATATCGTTATAATAATGGCTGATTGATGCCTAGGTTGCTAGTTAATTAGCCATCTAGTCTGACTAGACAGGTCAGGAATGAAATTAAGTTTGACAGCTGACACTAGGGTTTAGAGAAGCTAACGTTAGCTAGCTATGCTAACTAACTGTCAGTACTCATTTTGAACAACACACAGCAGTCAATGTAGTTCTTCCCTCACCAAAATAATATTCTCACCTCGTCTGGAAATGTTAGTCACACCGTTACATATCGTTGTCGAGGAATGGTACTGCTCTTTCAGTAGAAATCTAATGATGGGTGAAACCAAGGGCGACATCTTTGACGACAACATGCACGTCGCCATTTTGGCTTTAATTCCAACTTTATTGAACCTGGCGGCAATACACAAAACGATTCTTAAGTGCGTCAGGAGAGGGCAGTATAGGAAGAGGAAGAGAGAGGCCAACTCGGCGGAAAATATGTCTCCCTCCAGCAGGTGGCGTTTTTCGTTGTTTCGCCCACCAAGCAAAGTGTATGAGAGAGATACATTTGTGTCGAGTGTCGAATTTGGTCAACAACAAAAAATGTATGAGCTATTTTGCCACAATATATTTATTTGATCGAATAGAAGTTTCGTAATGCTTAAGTTGTTACGAGTGTACTGATATAAGTAGGACACGTGATATCCCGGCAACTTTGAAAAAAAAAACACTTTATATCTGAGATGTCTCAAGATGGCTATGCATATTCATAGTATGAGGCTAGTAGCATAGCATCCAGTGGCTTGTATTCATGGATGCCAAGGTAAGTCAGGCTTCCCCAAAAAATTTAACAATTTAAAAAAGATTTTTTTTTTTTTTATCTTTCTTCTCTCTATGTTTCATGATTTTCCTTCAATTGGCAAGAGGCTGAATGTATATGGAGCCAGATAGCTGACAAAAGGTTGTACGTACGTATCGTAAGGATAGTAAGAAAATCCATATGTAAACTGAGGAGAGGCTTCCGTCTGGCCCCAGTCAGAGCTTCAGAGTTCCTCTGTGGAGATGGGAGAACCTTCCAGAAGGACAACCATCTCTGCAGCACTCCACCAAATAGGCCTTTATGGTAGAGTGGCCAAATGGAAGCCTCTCCTCAGTAATAGGCACATGACAGCCTGCTTGGAGTTTGCCAAAAGGCACCTAAAGGACTCTCAGACCCTGATGAACAGAGCAAAGTACAGAGAGATCCTTGATGAAAACCTGCTCCAGAGTGCTCAGGACCTCAGACTGGGGGCAAGTTTCACCTTCCAACAGGACAACGACCCTAAGCACACAGCCAAGACAACGCAGGAGTGGCTTTGGGACAAGTCTCTGAATGTCCTTGAGTGGCCCAGCCAGAGCCTGGACTTGAACTCCCCAAATACAGGTGTGCCAAGCTTGTAGCGTCATACCCAAGAAGACTCAAGGCTGCAATCGCTGCCAAAGGTGCTTCAACAAAGTACAGAGTAAAGGGTCTGAATACTTATGTAAATGTGATATTTACGTTTTGTTTTAATTGTATCATTGTATCATTGTAAAGCCCTAGTTATTTCATGCTTTGACAAAGTTATTTCTGAAGATTATTATTTATTTCATGTGATTAGTGATTAATTTACGTCTGTCTATCATTTTAAGGTCAACCTTGTTACGTGAACTGAACTCTTATTTTAATATGGTACATTTCAAAAGAAACATTGAACATCTAATAGTAAAATCATAGTGTAAAAGTAGGTGAGCTGGTTCTACTCTTTTTGGCCATATTCTGGTGTTTTGTGGTGAAAACGAGCACAACACATCAACCCTTTTACCCATAGATAGATAGACAGGCTAGAAATATTTTAACAATTTTATTTGTTTTTGTGAATCTTGCATTCAATTGCCCCTCCCTGTTGCACACAACAAGCTTCCATTCCCCGTGTCACAAGGGGATTAATGGCTGATTTAACTAGTAATTACCAGTAGGAGGGCTGTCCAAATGGAATTTTTCCCAGATGTGGTAAATTCCCACTTGTTTACAAACAAACGTAACACCACTAACCATCCACTGTAGAGCCATATAATATCACGCATTGGAATCACAAGATCTAGACCTACACTTTGAACTACATTTTGACATACGATGTATAGTTTTTGATTACATCGATATAAAATAAGATAATACAAATAAAAAAAATTCATTATTTAATTTAGCTGGAGAGGCACTTACTATAGTATTTTTTTTTACCTCTTGAGATGGGAAAACATGTTTGTTTTTTTATGAAGTTGAACATGTGCTCTATATGACAGAATGTTAAAATTAGGTGATATCAAAAGTTTGCCCCCAGAAATATCTCCATTGATCAATATGTAAAGAGTAATTTAAGAAGGCAAATTAGGCACCACATTAGCCACCCTGTAGACTTTTATTTATTTTAACTTTTTTATTTAATTTCACCTTTATTTAACCAGGTAAGCCAGTTGAGAACAAGTTCTCATTTACAACTGCGACCTGGCCAAGATAAAGCAAAGCAGTGCGATTAAAAACAACAACACAGAGTTACATATGGGGTAAACAAAACATAAAGTCAAAAATACAACAGAAAAAATATATACAGTGTGTGCAAATGTAGCAAGTTATGGAGGTAAGGCAATAAATAGGCCATAGTGCAAAATAATTACAATTTAGTATTAACACTGGAATGATAGATGTGCAAGAGATGATGTGCAAATAGAGATACTGGGGTGCAAATGAGCAAAATAAATAACAATATGGGGATGAGGTAGTTGGGTGGGCTAATTTTAGATGGGCTGTGTACAGGTGCAGTGATCGGTAAGGTGCTCTGACAACTGATGCTTAAAGTTTGTGAGGGAGATAAGAGTCTCCAGCTTCAGAGATTTTTGCAGTTTGTTCCAGTCATTGGCAGCAGATAACTGGAAGGAATGGTGGCCAAAGGAGGTGTTGGCTTTGGGGATGACCAGTGAGATATACCTGCTGGAGCGCATACTATGGGTGGGTGTTGCTATGGTGACCAATGAGCTAAGATAAGGCAGGGATTTGCCTAGCAGTGATTTATAGATGACCTGGAGCCAGTGGGTTTGGCGACGAATATGTAGTGAGGACCAGCCAACAAGAGCGTACAGGTCACAGTGGTGGGTAGTATATGGGGCTTTGGTGACAAAACGGATGGCACTGTGATAGACTACATCCAATTTGCTGAGTAGAGTGTTGGAGGCTATTTTGTAAATGACATCGCCGAAGTCAAGGATCGGTAGGATAGTCAGTTTTACGAGGGCATGTTTGGCAGCATGAGTGAAGGAGGCTTTGTTGCAAAATAGGAAGCCGATTCTAGATTTAACTTTGGATTTAAGAGCAGTTGGAGGCTACGGAATGAGTGTTGTATGGCACTGAAGCTCGTTTGGAGGTTTGTTAACAGTGTCCAATGAAGGGCCAGATGTATACAAAATGGTGTTGTCTGCATAGAGATGGATCTGAGAGTCACCAGCAGCAAGAGCGACATCATTGATATACACAGAGAAAAGAGTCGGCCCGAGAATTGAACCCTGTGGCCCCCATAGAGACTGCCATAGGTCCAGACAACAGGCCCTCCGATTTGACACATTGAACTCTATCTGAGAGGTAGTTGGTGAACCAGGCGAGGCAGTCATTTGAGAAACCAAGGCTATTTAGTCTGCCAATAAGAATGCGGTGGTTGACAGAGTCTAAAGCCTTGGCCAGGTCGATGAAGACGGCTGCACAGTACTGTCTATTATCGATCGCGGTTATAATATCGTTTAGGACCTTGAGCGTGGCTGAGGTGCACCCATGACCAGCTCGGAAACCGGATTGCATAGCGGAGAAGGTACGGTGGGATTCGAAGTGGTCGTTGATCTGTTTGTTAACTTGGCTTTCAAAAACTTTCGAAAGGCAGGGCAGGATGGATATAGGTTTGTAACAGTTTGGATCTAGAGTGTCACTCCCTTTGAAGAGGGGGATGACCGCGGCAGCTTTCCAATCTCTGGGGATCTCAGACGTTACGAAAGAGAGGTTGAACAGGCTAGTAATAGGGTTGCGACAATTTCAGCTGCTAATTTTAGAAAGAAAGGGTCCAGATTGTCTAGCCCAGATGATTTGTAGGGGTCCAGATTTTGCAGCTCTTTCAGAACATCAGCTGTCTGAATTTGTGTGAAGGAGAAGCGGGGGGGGCATGGGCAAGTTGCAGCGGAGGGTGCAGAGCTGGTGGCCGGGGTAGTGGTAGGCAGGTGGAAAGCATGGCCAGCCGTAGCAAAATGCTTGTTGAAATTCTCATTATTGTAGATTTATCGGTGGTGATAGTGTTTCCTAGCCTCAGTGCAGTGGGCAGCTGGGAGGAGGTGCTCTTATTCTCCATGGATTTTAGTGTCCCAAAACTTTTTGGAGTTAGCGCTACAGGATGCACATTTCTGTTTGAAAAAGCTAGCCTTTGCTTTCCTAACTGCTTGTGTATATTGGTTCCTAACTTCCCTGAAAAGTTGCATATCGCGGGGGCTATTCGATGCTAATGCAGTACGCCACAGGATGTTTTTGTGCTGGTCAAGGGCAGTCAAGTCTGAGGAGAACCAAGGGCTATATCTGTTCTTAGTTCTGAATTGTTTTTTAATGGGGCATGCTTATTTAAGATTGAGAGGAAAGCACTTTTAAAGAACAACCAGGCATCCTCTACTGACGGAATGAGATCGATATCCATCCAGGATACCTGGGCCAGGTCAATTAGGAAGGCCTGCTCGCTAAGGTGTTTTAGGGAGCGTTTAACAGTGATGAGGGGTGGTTGTTGACCGCGGACCCGTTACGGACGCAGGCAATAAGGCAGTGATCGCTGAGATCCTGGTTGAAGACAGCGGAGGTGTATTTAGAGGGTAAGTTAGTCAGGATGATATCTATGAGGGTGCCCATGTTTACGGATTTAGGGTTGTACCTGGTAGGTTCCTTGATAATTTGTGTGAGATTGAGGGCATCTAGTTTGGATTGTAGGATAGCCGGGGTGTTAAGCATATCCCAGTTTAGGTCACCAAGCAGTACGAACTCTGAGGATAGATGGGGGGCAATCAATTCACATATGGTGTCCAGGGCACAGCTGGGGGCTGAGGGGGGTCTGTAGCAAGCGGCAACAGTGAGAGACTTATTTCTGGAAAGGTGGATTTTTAGAAGTAGGAGCTCAAACTGTTTGGGCAAAGACCTGGATAGTATGATAGAGCTCTGCAGGCTATCTCTACAGTAGATTGCAACTCCAGCCCCTTTGGCAGTTCTATCTAGACGGAAAATGTTGTAGTTGGGGATGGACATTTCTGAATTTTTGGTGGCCTTTCTAAGCCAGGATTCAGACACTGCTAGAACATCAGGGTTGGCGGAGTGTGCTAACGCAGTGAATAACTCAAACTTAGGGAGGAGGCTTCTGATGTTAACATGCAAAAAGCCAAGGCTTTTACGGTTACAGAAGTGAACAAATGATAGCGCCTGGGGAGTAGGAGTGATACTGGGGGCTGCAGGGCCTGGGTTAACTTCTACATCACCAGAGGAATAGAGGAGGACTAGAATGAGGATACGGCTAAAGGCTTTAAGAACTGGTCTTCTAGTGAGTTGGGTACAAATAATAAAAGGGGCGTTGTAGAATAGATTCAGGGCATTATGTAAAGACAAGAATATGGAAGGATATGAGTACAGTGGAGGTAAACCTAAGCATTGGGTAACAATGAAAGAGAGAGCATCACTGGAGGCACCGATTGAGCTGGTCTCCGCGTGTATGGGGGGTGGAACAAAGGAGCTATTTGAGGCAGTTTGAGAGAGACTTAGGGCTCTACAGTGAAATTGTATAATAAGAACTAACTGGAACAGCAATAGGCAAGGCATATTGACATGGGATAGAGGCATAAAGCAATCACAGGTGTTATTCGAGAGAGCTGACAACAACTGGTAATGGCGATGAAAGTTTGGGCTGAGGCTAAACAGATAAACAGGACAGGGTACCGTGTAGAGGAACAGTCCAGCAGGCATCAGCTGTGCAGCTGAGTGATCATAAGGTCCAGTGAACGGCAATATGTGAGTCCGATAGCAGTTCGAATTGGTGCTACAGCACAGGCGAGCAGGAAGCATGGCTGTTGAAATGCGTGTGCTAGCAGGCCGGGACTAGCAGATGGATCTTCGTGGTCGTCGCAACGGGAAGCCTGTTGAAACCACAGACGATTACGTCAGCAGACCAGTTGTGATGGATCGGCAGGGCTCCGTGTCGACACTAGGAGGTCCCGTCCGGTTGACATAGAGTTAGATAGCCGGGAGATGGGCCTGACTCGAGGCTAGCTCAAGGCTGATTAGCCAACCACAACATCCATTCGGTTGCAGCTAGCTAGTTGCGATGATCCGGTGTTAAAGGTCCAGTGATTCAGTGATTCCGGCAGAAAATCCGATATGTTCTGGGTCGATAACGCGCTGTGCAGACTGGCCGATAATAGTCCAGGCTAGAGCTGGCTGGTAGGTAGTGCAGGCCACGGACAATGGTGAAAAACCCGCTAACGGTGGCTAATAGCAGGTAGCTAGTTAGCTGGCTACTCCCGTCTGGTAGACAGAGAGGTAGATAGCCGGGATATGGGCCTGGCTCGAGGCTAGCTCAAGGCTAATTGGTGCTTGCCTCGGGGGCAGTGGTGATTAGCCAACAGCAACATCCATTCGGTTGCGGCTAGCTGGTTGCGATCCAGTGTTAATGTCCAGTGATTCAGTTATTCCGGCAGAAAATCCGATGTTCTGGGTGAAAACCGCTAACGGTGGCTAATAGCAAGTAGCTAGTTAGCTGGCTAGCTAGTTTCAACTGGAGATTCTAGATAAAAGGTAAGTAAATAATAGAATCCGTTCCACATTGAGTGAGGCGGGTTGCAGGAAAGTATATTTAGTAGAAGGATGAAACGTGTGATAGGGAAATATTTACGAAAAAGACAAAAAAAATAAAAAAAACATGCTATTTACACGGACACACTACAGAGTACACGAATGCACTGCTACGCCATCTTGGAACCATGGTTACGACTAACTGTCATAGCCATGCATTTCTGGAATAATGTCAGGCCTTACATGCATTTGAGCAAGGATCCAATGTCTGTACAAGCATCTCTGTAATACATGTTAAGTCATTACATGCATTTTAGCAAAGATGCAAATCTATCTACATGCATTTCAAATACATCTCACTTGACATTTTTTCCCCATATGGGACACACACACACAAACACACACACACACATCTATGGACACTCTCAATACTTTCAAATTCATTTCCTATTGTAATTAGAGGTTGGTTTGAGGATGTCTTCTGTACTAATTATACATCCTCACAGTTTTGAGGGAGCCTGAGTATCAAGCGGCAAAACATGGAAGATACAGCCACCAGGGTGATACAGGCTTGTTGCCATGACAACAGTAGAACGTTTATCAGCACTGGCAGATACACACACACACACACACACACACACACACCATTACAGTGGAATCTGCCTTGCTTGGAGATTCCGCTCTGCGGTGCGGTTCAAGAAATTTAGAAGCAGGCAAATACACTCAAAGACAGACAGGACAGAGGGGGATTCAATAGGAGAGCAACTGAAAAGGGATATACTCTCCAATCCTCATTCATTCTGATGGTGTGTGCACATTGGCTATGTCTTCTGTTCCTATTTTCCATTGTCTTTGTCTGCATGAAGGAAGGATGAAGCCTGCTGCATGCTACTGCTATATTCTGACCACTATAATAATTCAGCATTGCCTGTGTGTATAGCCTTCTGTGCTGTATATATGAGACGTACGTTGTTGTTTTTTCATCAGTCGGCTTGCACTTTGCTTTTTTAAGATTAGGGCGAGCACTGTCATCGTAATGGTAATTCATAGCTGTGTAGCCATGGTGAAGTCAATTCCCCCCTCCCTCCCTCCGCCACTGCTGAATGCATTAGTGTAATGAGATGTCTGCAGCCAGCCAGCCAGCCAGCCTGTGTGCCGTGCAGCAGTAGAGACGAGAGGAGCAGAGAGAAACACGTACAGTAGCTAGAGGCAAGTTGGCTTTCACAGCCTGCTGAGGGAGTGTGCTGTGCTTAGAACCTTCTGCTATTCTGGACTCTTAACAGGGATCTAAGAAGGGAAGAGCTTGGTTCTCAAGCGTTCTTAGATCAGAGGAGATAAGGTAACGGAAGCACTGGTAGACAAGCAGCCAGGATGTTGGGGCTCACTATGAGGATAGGATGGACTGGATGGTGGAAGTGTTCCATGAGGAGGAGCTTGCTTTATACATGGTTGCCTTTGTGTTGTCTGTTTTTTAGTGTTCAACTAAATTTTCTGTAGCTGGCTGCATTAGTGCCCTGCAGCAGAATGTCTTGCAGGCTCTTCTGTTTATTGTTGTTGTGGTTAATGTTCTGTGACAGCATCTTTTTCCACAGCAGCCTCAGTAGCTGGAATATGGAGGCACAATTGAAATAGATTCTTATGTAGCATGTGTATGTTTGTTATATGTAAAGAGATGATTGATTCTATGAAAGAACAATGTTGATGTATGACGTGTGCACTAACAGTGGTTTAGATTACAAGCCATGCAGTCTTAAATTATTATTATTTTATCTCCCTTTGTGTTTCCCTCCTTTCTGTATGTCTCCCTCCAGATCCAATGAGTGTACTTGCAGCAGCACAGAAAGCAGACAGCAACAGTGAAATGCAGTCGCCTGCAGTGTCTCCTTCCTTCCTCCCCAGCCAGCCAGGAAAGATTCCCGGCAGGAAGAGAGGGAGACCCCCACTACATCGCAAGATGGATTTTCCAACCCACTACCCTGAGTCCCTTCCTCCTCTCAAAGTGCCTAAGAAGAGGGGGAGAAAGCCTGGCTTCAAGGTTAGTGTCAGGGATGGGATGGGAAGGGAGAGGAAGAGGAGGGTATCGGATGGGGGGAAAGAGAGTGGAAGGGGAGGCGGCAGTGGGGATGCAGGATGTTTAAAAATGCATATGGTGATGTAGCTAGACAGACCCCATTTCATTTATATTTAGTGGGAGTCATATTTTTGGAAAAAGGCTTAACATGAGTTAGCCTATGTTTGTTTAATCGAAACCAGTTTAAATAATATTCTGATTGGCCGCTGTATATGCTAAATGTCTGCATTGTTAAAATGATTGGTCAATGCTGCAATAAGAATAGGGAATATTATGAATTATTTCGTAAAAAGTGATTTCATTTTATTTATACTGAACAAAAATATAAACGAAACATGCAACAATTTGAAAGATTTTACTGAGTTACAGTTCATATGAGGAAATCAGTCAATTGAAATAAATTAATTAGGCCCTAATCTATGGATTTCACATGACTGGGAATACAGATATGTCTCTGTTGGTCACAGATGCCTTAAAATAAATGGGACTCACAATGGGCCTCAGGATCTCGTCACGGTATTTTTGTGCATTCAAATTGCCATCGATAAAATGCAATTGTGTTTGTTGTCTGTAGCTTATCCCTGCCCATACCATAACCCCACCGCCACCATGGGGCACTCTGTTCACAGCGTTGACATCAGCAAACCGCTCGCCCACACATGGTTGGACATAGTGCCAAATTCTCTAAAACGACGTTGGAGGCGGCTTATGATAGAGAAATTAACATTTAATTATCTGGCAACAGCTCTGGTGGACATTCCTACAGTCAGCATGCCAATTGCACACTCCCTAAAAACTAGAGACATCTGTGGCATTGTGTTGTGTGACAAAACTGCACATTTTAGAGTGGCCTTTTATTGTTCCCAGCACAAGGTGCACCTGTGTAATGATAATGCTGTTTAATCATCTTCTTGGTATGCCACACCTGTCAGGTGGATGGATTATCTTGGCAAAGGAGAAGTGCTCACTAACAGGGATGTAAACAAATTTGTGCACAAAACTTGAGAGAAATAAGCTTTTTGTGTGTATGGAACATTTCTGGGATCATTTATTTCTGCTCATGAAACATGTTGCATCTATATTTTTGTTTTGTGTACAAATTGCTGTGCAAATATATTAATGTGGAGATTGCTGTTGAGGATTTACTAATGCAAATTGAGAACCATAGTATTTTAATAATAATATATACCATTTAGAAGACACTTTTATCCAAAGCGACTTAGTCATATATTTTACGTATGGGTGGCCCCGGGAATCAAACAACCAACCCATGCTCTACCAACTGAATCCATAGAGGACCATTTTAGTCTATTGTTGCTACCTAAGACTGTAATGAAATGCCATTATTTACAAGTGATCCATTTAAACTGTGTGCAAATAACCCAATAGATACTGAGATCCAACCCTCGTGTCTCCCTGCAGCTGAAGCCCAGGATGGTGATGACTCCCCTGGCCATCTCTCCTCCCAGCAGCACCCCAGAACCAGACATGAGCTCCATCCCCCAGGACGCTGCTACCATCCCCCACTCTGCCACGCCCCAGGTGCTCACAGGTAGGCCATGCCCTCAGGTGCTTACAGGTAACTCCCACTCTGCCACGCCCACACTGCCACGCCCCAGGTGCTCACAGGTAGGAGGAGTTTGCCTCACTTCTCCGACGTCTCCCCCCATAATGCTTTGTCCAGTGAGAAATCTTGGGTGTTATGAAAAGTTTAATCGGTGATCACATTTAAAATGTAATTTGTATCCCGTTCATTATAAGCATACTGTATTCATTCATTTAATAGTGATTGAAAGCAACGTCACCAAAATAGCCAACCTAAATATCTTTGCCTTCTCGGTCCCTCCTATTGTGTTCCCTGCAGTGTGTATCTACATCAACAAGCAGGCCAACATGGGTCCTAACCTGGACAGGAAGAAGCTGCAGCAGCTCCCAGATCATTTTGGGCCTGACAGGCCCTCCGTGGTGCTGCAGCAGGCCGTCCAGGGGTGCATCGACAGCGCCTTCCAGCAGAAAGCTGTGTTCACTCTCCTCACGCAGGGCTACGGAGGGGAGAAAATATCAGGTATAACATAAACCCACAGATTGTATGTAGTGTCACTGAGATTTTTAGTTTTATATTCATTTATATGATTAGTAGAAATTGCCCAGAGGGAAATAGCAGAAATTGGCATACACTCATTTGATCATCTAATAACCATAAGGTATCCTTCCTTTCTCTTGCCCATTCACCCTCTGAATGGCACACATACACAATCCATGTCTCAATTGTCTCAAGGCTTAAAAATCCTTCTTTAAACTGTCTCCTCCCCTTCATCTACACTGATTGAAGTGACATCAATAAGGGATCAAACCTTTCACCAGGATTCACCTGGTCAGTCTATGTCATGGAAAGAGCAGGTGTCCTTAATGTTTTGTACACTCAGTGTAGAGCAATACTTTCGACCAGGGCCCATAGGGCTATGGAATAGGGTGAGATTTGTTGCTTTGAGATTGTTGCTTTGAGACATGGCTGTAGAGATGTGTCGCCTAGGGCAAGGTTAACTGCAACAAGCTTTACTGCAATAGGAAATGAACAATGTTTCCAAGTTAATCAAGTGTTCCTTTGATTCCCAGCCACCTTCGATGGAAAGCAGCACCTTCTGAGTCTGCCTGTGGTCAACAGCATTGGCTACGTGCTACGCTTCCTCAAGAAGCTCTGTCGCAGCTTGCACTGTGAAAACCTCTTCAGCGACCAACCAATCACCCAGCATAATGCCTCCTACCAATCAGAGGGTATTGTACTGTCCTTTATTCAATTAAATTCAAAATACTTTATTTATCCTACAAGGGGAAATTATGTAGGCAGGAGTGCAGATATAATGCATTGTGCATTACTTCTTAGAAAACACACTCCTGTACCTTAACAAGAGCCTCTGAAAAAATGTCCCTCAGAAATATTGTGGGCTCAGTTCCCCAAATATTGTGCTATATTGCTTCAGATTGCACATGGAAGCACAGAAAGACAATTTGTGAAATACACATCATTTGGTGTTTTACTTGTGTAATCCATTATCCAAATCCCTGTATTCCTACCCAAACAGCTGAGACCTCCATGCCAGAAGACTACCTAGAACACTCCCATATCCCCCAGAAATATCCTAGGCTCAATTCCCCAAACATGTGCGTTTGTTGCTTCGGATTGAAAAATTAAAGCACAGAACGGCATTTCAAATACATATTTCAAAGACTTCAGCTTCTGTCCAAAGTGATTCAAAGTATTGCAAATATGTTTTACTTATGTAATCTTTTTCCATTCATTTCACAGCTGAAACCTCCATGCCAGAGGAGTACCTTCTGGACCCGTCAGACAAACGCTACTCAATGGACCCAGGTGACTCCGCCTTTAGTGCCATAAGCTCCTCCTACTCATCCAAACCGTCCTATGGGTTTCGCTCCTCGCAGCAATTCCCCAACGGCTCCTCCCCCTTGGGCATGTGTAGACAGACGTCTAGTCCAAATACTTTCCTGGAAGGTAACAGGATAGGTAAGAGACTGGAGAGTGGAGACTAGGGTTGCAGAACTCCGTTAACTTTCCCAAAATGACCAGGTTTCTTATTCCCTTCTGATTCCGGTGATCTTCCAACCGGGATTTCTGGAAAACCTGGGGATTTTGGGAAAGTTTGTTTCTTGCTATACTCACAACCCCCTAAACAGGTCAAATTGACCAGTAGTGAAATATTTATTCTGTACCTGTCTTTCTCTTTTCTCATCCAGCGTACAATCCATCTCAGGACTCCCAGGAGTCCAAGGTGCCCCCCAGAAAGGACCCTTCCACCTGGAGTGTAGAGGACGTGGTGTGGTTCATCAGAGACGCTGACCCCCAGTCCCTGGGCCCTCATGTGGACATATTCAGGAAGCATGTAGGCTACCCTTGGGCTCACTCTTAATTAATGATTATTTTGATACCTTGCATCCTCTCTCCTCACCTACTCAAAACGCCTTAGATGAGAAGGTCAGAGGGGAGGAACAGAGGAACCTTGGACCTTCTCCTCCAATATAGTTGAGAAGGAGGTGAGGAGACAGGGTGTGAGGAATCACAGAAAAACTAATTGAGATTGAGGCCTGCCCACTGGGCAAAAACTGGTTGAATAAACATTGTTTCCACGTCATTTCAACAACTGAAAATAAATGTGATGACATTGAATCAATGTGGAAAAATGTTTGGATATGCAAAAAGTCATCCAAAAATTTTTATAAAAATGCAACCAACTTGCAACCTAAATCCAATGACATAGTGACTTTTTTTGTTGATTTCACATTGAATTCACATTAGTTGACAACTTAATCAAATGTAAATCAAAACTAGATGTTGAACTGACGTCTGTGTCCAGTGGATGGATCTGCTACAGTGATCGGATTATATCTGGAAGTTATGTTTTGTGAAATACTAACCAGGATTTGGGGCACTTCCATTTCAATTCAGTAAACAACCCTGATACATGTGTTTGATTAGTTTACTTTACTTGTGGAGATATAACCTGACTTTCTTTCCCACAGGAGATAGATGGCAACGCGTTGTTACTTCTAAAGAGTGACATGATCATGAAGTACCTAGGACTGAAGCTGGGGCCAGCCCTGAAGCTCTGCTATCACATCGACAAACTAAAACAAAACAAGTTCTGAATCTGAACACTTTTTCACTACATCAATCTGTGGGACCCAACTTTGTGGATGCTTCCCAAATGGCACCTTTATATAGTGCACTACTTTTGACCAGAGCACTAAGGGTCCTGGTCAAAAGTAGTACACTATATAGGAAATAGGGTGCCATTTGGGATGCTATATTTTACTGATTATTTTTGCATTTTCAGATGTCATGTAGTTAAAGAAAAAAAATATTGTGACAGAATACAACGTTTTGGGAAATTCTCGTTTTTATGTTGAAACAACTTTTTGGTTTATACAGATGACACAATATGCACATTCTGGAATGCATAACTGATACACTGGCAGACAATATCAGGAAAAGTAGACTATACTACTTTGAGGATTCAGTTGTCCCATAAATGAGTTTATTCATGTATCTATGTGCCCAAAGCATATAGCAACTCACATTTATGATCTGTTGAGAAGTGTGAATTATTTTAGATAAACTGTTATTTATACTTGGTCTTATAAAAACGTAGTTAAGGCCCCACAAATGTGTGACAAACACATAAAAATACTCCCATATTGTTTTGATTCTATACCCTCACAAAAGTGTTTTGAATGCGTCATAGGGTTGAAGCTACAGATACAGTTCCACATATGGTTTTGCAAGTTCTATACACATCAATGTAAACTCATATTGTGAAGCATGTGATTAGAAACAGGAATTTAAGCCCATGTTAAACATTATTACTGTTTTGTTTTTTACACAAAATAATGTAAACTCAACTCAACGCAGAAATGAAATACAAAAACTTTGCACATTGTTTTACATATTATTTTGATAAAATTGTCAAAAAAAACATGTTTGTGCTGAAATACATAACAATGAGACATTTATAGTTGAATATACCAGATTGCCAAATAATGATCATCTCCAGCCTCCTCACAACTTCATTGAAACTTGATTGTGTGGGTATTTACTATATACATTTTTTTACTACATTATCATTCTTGAAACCGAGTTGAAGAGCATAAGGGATGACAACACTCACTGCGAAAATGTCTAATGACCTACAGTATTGGGTTATGAGGCCATATAGCATTGCTTGTGTATGCCAGTTTGGCAGTATGTGTACTTTTTAGTAACCAGTGTATGTGAATGCTGCTGTATATGATTACATGTAAGCCATGCCAAGTCAAACCAAGCTGGTCTTTTATTTTGAAAATCATATTGGAAAGATATACTGTAAGTCAGAGAATAACCAATGTATGGATGAGTTTATTTGTACGGGTGCTAAAGAAGTTCTCAATGTATTGAATATCTCATGTTTGCTTTTGTGTTGTGAGTTTTAAATGGAAAACACTCAATGTGTGTATTTAACCTGGCTGTGTATCCTATCTGAGTATTAAATTAAGAAAATATTAAGGAAACAAGGTGTGGTTTGAGGAGCATCTTTCTTTGTGATATCAATCAATTTACAGAATGAAATCAAGCTTGGGATTCATGGAAAAATAATTATTAAATGTTACCAAATGTGTCCACATGGTGACACAATCATATGTTAATTCAGATAGTTCTGCTTCCTCCTGATGCGGAATTATTTATTACAGGCTATTTCAGTATATTTGAATTAGTCAAACAGTATATATAGCCTATCCCTTGTTTGGCTCATGGTATATCTTTACAGCCATGTTTGCATTGGAAGTTAGGCTACATAGGCTACATGCAGAAACCGGTGCAAATGTAGAATAGGGCTTCATGCCTTACTGCAGTAGGCTTTGCAGGGGGCATGTAAATGGTATAATCTGACTGAATATAACTGTTAAAATGTAAGTATTTATTGAATATTCCATTATGAAGCATAGCCTTTCAACAACAACAAAAAAAATCCCCCAGGTAAAATACATATTTAATTATGCTGGATGTGCTTATTGACTGGTTTTGGTCACCTCAATCATAATTTATCCATACACCTACCTATCCAATAAATGTCATTATTTGTGCTAAAAGGGAACAGGACTTATAAGTCATAGATAGGCCTATACTTCTTTTATCAACGCAAATATAAAATCAAGCAGTTGGAGCAATGCACAGAGACAACAGTCAACATAAGATCAATTTGTGATGCACACGGGTGACGCCGTATGTCTAGAGTCGCATTACCAAAGACTAGCGTGGGATCGGTCCCTACTGCCGCTGCTGCCTGCCTGCGCCTGTCTCATCTGGAATAGCACGGGAACCCGTTATTTTTCACTCTGCGTCTTGAAGAGGCCAATTTTAGGGGATATTCCCATTTAGGCATTCTTGATCATCGGGAGGTTTTTTACTGTCTCAAAATACACGACAGTGCAGACGACCATTAGTAATAGCATCTCCAAAAATTGTATAATAAGGTAAGAAGCATTTTGTCTGCAGAATGTCGTTTTTATGTTGGCATGGCATGTATTTAAATTGTTTGAGATGATTGTCTAGAGATATAATAATTTCCATTCACTATGTATCACATAATTGGGGGTTTTCCTGCCCTTATAGACAAATTTCAATGAATGATATTTGGGGAGAGGTTTGGCGTTTTATTTTGGGGATCTGCGCATCCATCATGAACATTTGCATAACGTTTAGAAAACTAAAAACATGCTAAATGAATTACTTCTATTTCGAAAATAATATTCAAATCATGCTTTTCCGTTGGTTTAGTCACATTTCACGAGAATGACCAGACGACTATGTCATTTGATTGGTTGATTCTCCATTTTTGTCATTTTTAGATGTTGCGCATGGTGAAAAATGACATGAGAAATAGAGTGATGTGATTTCGAGCGGGTTATCACTTACAAGGTTTAATTCCCACACCACTGCGTCGTTTCTATCGGAATGCACTTGTATACCCCCCTCTATGTCCGAGCAGGCTTATACCATGAACTGGATATCTGAAACGACATGTTCTATCTGCAATTAAATAGCATATTTTCCCCCCACATCACGTTAGTGTTGCGCGTACATGTGATGTGGACAACCATACATTGTTATATGTGTAACGACATTAATCTAAGGTGAAGAATATTAAGCCTTCAGACCGTAGGTGCCAAACCCATTTTCACCTTCCCTCTGATCTCTTTACTCATCTTCAAGCAAAAATGTTTCTCCTCAAGGTCATTCCATGCCTTGGGCTCATTTGATGTTATGTAAGATCCAAATCATTTCAACACAAGCCTTTTGGTTGCATCATCTAAATATATGTCATTTTTTAATGAAAAATATCCTTTGCGCCAAATGTTGGATATGCAACACACATTGCAAATAGGCCAAGCCTATGTCAATGTGTAATGTGCCTGTATGGGGCATACATGGCCTCTGCAAAGAGGTCTGCACCTTTTTGGCATAGGCAGTGCACTACCACATGGTTGTTGGTTCAAGCACGGTGCTTGCTGTCCATGACTCCATCACAATGTATGCCTACTGCATAGCCTACACCTAAGGCCATCGACAGCTTTTATCATATTATGGTTGTTCCAGTTATCTCCCACAACTGTCAATTTAACAATTAGTCTTTGAGTTAATTTAATTTTGATTATGTTTTCTAGGACAGGATAACATTTTAGCATATAGGCAACTGAATGGCCCATGTATAGTTTCCATAGTCAACAAACATATTGGCAGAGCAGATGTAAGCAGTAGCCACTGCCAATCCAGGCTGTCAGATTTGTGACTTTTTATTATTTAAGATGATGATCCACTGTGAAAGAGAGCAGCTCGCCAGTTGGGTTGATTCCCTTGTTGATTCATTATCTAGTCAATGGCTTTAAAGGATTAATGAAGTACTGCACCATCGATGCTCCCTCCCTCCGCCCAAAACATGCTGCCTGTCTGAAGAGAGCTGCATCAACTCCTATCTAACTACAGACTCCCTCACATCTGAAGTTGCGGAAGGCATCGCCCAAGAATTTGTGAGATCAACATGAATTCGATTTTTTCTGTTTTGTTTTTACAGCAACTTTGAGATTCCTTGTGTAATGAAAAGCACTATATAAAATAAATATATTATTATAATTACTGCCCATGCACCCTATGGGCTACACACTGCTGGCTTCATATGATTACTCCATTATGTTATGATGACATATCCTTATCACTCATTCATTAATGAATAGATTCCTCTAGAGGTTTATACTTTGACGTTATTAAATGTGAACTGCAGTTAAAAATATACGTCCCAAATGGCATCCTATTCCCTATATAATAAACTACCAACCAGTGCCCTATGGGCACTATAAATTTGGGACAATCCCCAAATATCAGGCTACAGGTAATTTTGGAACCCAGAACCAAAACTCGCGTGCGAAAGTCTGTCACAAGAGACTATAGGCTACAGGTAAAACGTAGACAGGTACGTTGGATGATAGGTAATGATCGAACGCTTGATGTGATAGTCAGTCTTGCTGACTGCAGTGGTCCTACCCAGCACTGTGTGATGTCAGGCCAGAGACTGTGGTGCCAACAGATTTAGAGAACACAAATAGAACACTGGCATCAGGCAGGGAAAGCAATTCATTATTGATATATAGTCTTTTCTTTTTTTTCCTTCTTTTTTTTACTAATTTCATTCCTTACAAAGGGACTGTTTGAAACAAAGCAGGTTTGAGAGCAAACTTGTTGGTTACATTTCCTATGAAAACCCTCTCTTTATAATGCGTTATAAGCACGTTTATAACACCTTATGCGTTATACATAATGCATTATAATGCACAACATACATTTGAATGTGTGGTAGGCTATTTCTATCACCACGTTGGTAGAAAAATACCCTGATGAAGGTCTATTGAGACCGAAATGTTGGTCTATGATCCATTAAATGTCGCGAAGCATCAAGATCACCTATGTGCTGGAGTTTCCTTTCTATTCAGTATAAATCCTTCCCAGTCATCATTTTCAGAGATGTTTTATGTTATTGAGTCTCTTTGGTCATGTGCTTCCTGCACAACAGGCACCATGGGAAAACAGAACAGCAAGCTGACCCCTGAGGTGATGGAGGACCTGGTGAAGAGCACAGAGTTTAACGAACACGAGCTCAAGCAATGGTACAAAGGCTTCCTCAAAGACTGCCCCAGCGGCAGACTGAACCTGGACGAATTCCAACAGCTCTATGTAAAGGTGTGTTGTGATTGGCTACATTCTCTTATTGCAGATCAGGTATGGTACATCTGCTTTACATGCTGGAGACGTTATTGATATGGTGTTATAACTTCTAGCTAGGGAAATGATTGATACCATGATTATATAATGTGATTATAAGAAACCTTTGTAAAGCTAGAACAGAGCGGAATCAGGGTTTGATTTCTCTGTTCGTATTGAAACTGCACTGTTGTTCATTATGTTTTCTAACTGATCATAATGCTTGAACAGTTGTCACTCTGAGCTATGTATTATGGAATCCTTGTAAATGGTTCAAAGGAAGCCAGTAGAGGTGCGTGGGTAAAATCACTGGAGAAGCCACGGCAGGAAAGAAATGGCATATTACAACCTGTGTTGTGATAATTGCGTTGTTTGCTCTATAACCTGTTAGTTCACATGCCTTGCCACCATGATATATAGGCCTAAGGCCAAGACAATAAGAAGACACAGTGGCAGAATAAATTCAACCACACCTTTGTTTCATCACAAAACCGGAGAGCAACATCTGTCCGGTGGAGTCCACAAAGCATATTGCAGTTGCATGACCTACAGCATGGACAAGCAAGTTAATGTTTTCAACATTTTCGGACTACTAAACAAACACCAGAGAGTTACCGCAAGTCACAAAGAAAACAGGAGCTGCCTCCACTATTCCAGCACCATTTCAACTTTAACATTTCAACATCATCAAATCACCTATACTTAGTCTAATACAGTGACAACTAAAAGATTCCCAAAACAATTTAGTCCAATCAACGTAAGCAAAATATAATGTGGCTGTCCATGGTTCTGATTTCTGTGTGTGTGTGCATAAGTAGAAAAAACATGTTGACTCACCCTACTCCAATGCCATCCTCCTCTCTTTCATGCTGCCGAAACGGTCTATGACTCTGTCATACAATACACGCTTTTATTTTTTGTTGTCCTAGGCTACCTGGCTAAAATGCTTGCTCGCTAGCCTAACTTCCTTTCATGGGCAACGATTAGCCAGCTAGTTAACATTAGCCTACTACATCTAGCTACATATTGAACTTCCATCCTCTCAGGCCAGAGGCACAATGTATGAATTTATGGTTGGATTAGAATTGTCGTTATAATCATTGGTCAGTACGGAGAATTAACTAAAACCAAGTCCAAATCCCTATCTCCATCCATTTATAATTTAGGAAAGGGCCAATTTTAGCTAGCCACCGGATGACAACAACACAACAAGATGCAACAATTCAAAAAAAATTCTGTCAATGACGTTTAGTTTTTGATGTGATGTGATTGGTGTGATGCCAAATCCAAACTGGCTTCCCTTGACACTTTTTTTGGTGCGTCAGGACCATTCACAGTTGAGTTCACTCAGTTTATCTCAACGCTGATTGCCTATCATTGTATAAAAAAAATATTAAGGGAGGCCAAATGCTCGCTGGCTTCCCTTGCATTCAATGTTACGGGCAGCAACAATGTCATACTCTTTTTGACCAGACAGCATCAGATAGATGGGCTACACATACAGAGACAGAGGGGCGCTGTTTCGCTCGTTAGGATGCTTTCTCCGGTGAGATACATTCAGCCTCTTGCGAATTGAAGGAAAATTATGAAACACAGAAAGACGAAAGATAAAATGATTTCTGGGGGAAGCCTAGCTTCCCTTGGCATCCATGAATACACAACAATGAAGGAAGCTGTTCTAATCAGTTAAAGATCTAAGTTAGATACAACTAAAGACATGTTTTTAAACGTCATGTTAGAGATGAATAAATAGTTGTATATCACAGCTGTCTCTCAATCAATCAATCAATCAATCTCTCTCTATTTCGCAGTTCTTCCCGTATGGCGACGCGTCAAAGTTTGCACAGCACGCCTTTAGGACCTTCGACAAGAACAGCGACGGCACCATCGACTTCCGAGAGTTCATCTGTGCCCTGTCCATCACATCACGTGGCAGCTTCGAGCAGAAGCTCAACTGGGCTTTCAACATGTATGACTTGGATGGAGACGGCAAGATCACCAGGGTGGAGATGTTGGAGATCATCGAGGTAAGGAATCACATTGATGGCTGGTTTCCCGGACACAGATTAAGCCAAGTTCTGGATTGAAAAGCTATTTCCTCCATTGAAATAGTTTTTTAGTCCATTATTAGGTTTAATCTGTGTCCGGGAAACCAGCCCTATACTGTATGTTTAAAACAAATTATACTGGATTGTTACCATGACATTTATACCATTTGTTCAAGCTATCTATCCAGTTTGAAGTAATCAGCAGTGCATGTTGTTAGAATGTATACTACTAAAGACAAACATGACTAAAAGGAAACATTGAGACAGAGGATGATCAAGTTTAACTAGATAATCAGGAGAATGTTTAGGACTACAGTTTTATATTGTGGGGAACATTTGCAGTGGTGTAAAGTACTTAAGTAAAAATACTTTAAAGTACTACTTAAGTAGTTTTTTGGGGTATCTGTCCGTTACTTTACTATTTATATTTTTGCCAACTTTTACTTTTACTTCACTACATTCCTAAAGAAAATAATATACTTTTACTCCATACATTTTCCCTGACACTCAAAAGTACTCGTTACGTTTTGACAGGAAAACACAAGTGCTTTGTTTGTGTTTATGTCTGAGTGTTGGAGTGTGCCCCTGGCGATGCGTCAAAAAGAATATATACACTGCTCCAAAAAATAAAGGGAACACTTAAACAACACAATGTAACTCCAAGTCAATCACACTTCTGTGAAATCAAACTGTCCACTTAGGAAGCAACACTGATTGACAATACATTTCACATGCTGTTGTGCAAGTCGAATAGACAACAGGTGGAAATTATAGGCAATTAGCAAGACACCCCCAATAAAGGACTGGTTTTGCAGGTGGTGACCACAGACCACTTCTCAGTTCCTATGCTTCATGGCTGATGTTTTGGTCACTTTTGAATGCTGCCGGTGCTTTCACTCTAGTGGTAGCATGAGACGGAGTCTACAACCCACACAAGTGGCTCAGGTGGTGCAGCTCATCCAGGATGGCACATCAATGCGAGCTGTGGCAAGAAGGTTTGCTGTGTCTGTCAGCGTAGTGTCCAGAGCATGGAGGCGCTACCAGGAGACAGGCCAGTACATCAGGAGACGTGGAGGAGGCCGTAGGAGGGCAACAACCCAGCAGCAGGACTGCTACCTCCGCCTTTGTGCAAGGAGGAGCAGGAGGAGCACTGCCAGAGCCCTGCGAAATGACCTCCAGCAGGCCACAAATGTGCATGTGTCTGCTCAAACGGTCAGAAACAGACTCCATGAGGGTGGTATGAGGGCCCGACGTCCACAGGTGGGGGTTGTGCTTACAGCCCAACACCGTGCAGGACGTTTGGCATTTGCCAGAGAACACCAAGATTGGCAAATTCGCCACTGGCGCCCTGTGCTCTTCACAGATGAAAGCAGGTTCACACTGAGCAAATGTGATAGACGTGACAGAGTCTGGAGACGCCATGGAGAACGTTCTGCTGCCTGCAACATCCTCCAGCATGACCGGTTTGGCGGTGGGTCAGTCATGGTGTGGGGTGGCATTTCTTTGGGGGGCCGCACAGCCCTCCATGTGCTCGCCAGAGGTAGCCTGACTGCCATTAGGTACCGAGATGAGATCCTCAGACCCCTTGTGAGACCATATGCTGGTGCGGTTGGCCCTGGGTTCCTCCTAATGCAAGACAATGCTAGACCTCATGTGGCTGGAGTGTGTCAGCAGTTCCTGCAAGAGGAAGGCATTGATGCTATGGACTGGCCCGCCCGTTCCCCAGACCTGAATCCAATTGAGCACATCTGGGACATCATGTCTCGCTCCATCCACCACAGACTGTTCAGGAGTTGGCGGATGCTTTAGTCCAGGTCTGGGAGGAGATCCCTCAGGAGACCATCCGCCACCTCATCAGGAGCATGCCCAGGCATTGTAGGGAGGTCATACAGGCACGTGGAGGCCACACACACTACTGAGCCTCATTTTGACTTGTTTTAAGGACATTACATCAAAGTTGGATCAGCCTGTAGTGTGGTATTCCACTTTAATTTTGAGGGTGACTCCAAATCCAGACCTCCATGGGTTGATAAATTTGATTTCCATTGATAATTTTTGTGTGATTTTGTTGTCAGCACATTCAACTATGTAAAGAAAAAAGTATTTAATAAGATTATTTCATTCATTCAGATCTAGGATGTGTTATTTTAGTGTTCCCTTTTTTTTGAGCAGTGTATATACCTTGTGGTGTCTGGTTTTCTTAAAATAACGAATTTGAAATGGTTTATACTTTTACTTTTGATACTTAAGTACATTTTAGCAATTCCATTTACTTTTAATACTTAAGTATATTTCAAACCAAATACTTTTAGACTTTTACTCAAGTAATATTTTACTGGGTTACTTTCACTTTTACTTGAGTCATTTTCTATCAAGGTATCTTTACTTTTAGTCAAGTATGACAATTGAGTACTTTTTCCACCACTGAACATTGGTAAATAACTGCAGTAGTATTGAGAATAAACTTTGAACATGTTAACATATTAACCAAGACTGTCTGAAAATAGGTCTTTCATTCATTCCTTTCTGTGGGATCGCCTCAAACATGTCGTCCCCTGTGTTTCTCTAGGCCATATACAAAATGGTGGGCACTGTGATCATGATGAAGATGAACGAGGACGGCCTGACACCGGAGCAGAGGGTGGACAGGATCTTCAGCAAGATGGATAAGAACAACGACGACCAGATCTCATTGGATGAGTTCAAAGAGGCGGCCAAGAGCGATCCGTCCATCGTGCTCCTCTTGCAGTGTGATATGCAGAAGTGAGAAGGAGGTGCTCATCTGTATAAAACCAGACGTGTACACTCTCTTTGGACAGGCAGCACATGTTTTAATGTCTCATTAAGTTCTTCTTCTCAGCCATTTCTACAGGAAAAAAAATTATGCTTGGACTATTTTTCAATGGACTCGCTTCTTGTGGTTGTATGCATGAGAATGTGAAATAGCTGAATAATTTGGAATATATTATATTACACAGTATCATGATACATTTATATTTTATCAAACCTAACCTGCCAATGTGAATTGTGCACAAGTAATCCTATTCCATTTACCTATTCACTTTTAGGCTAGCTTGTATATCAGTGAAGCGCTATACATTGAATTATTCTGTTCTTGCAGTATTTAGATGATCCATGTCCACTGCTGCAGCTAGCTGCTAATGCTAACGCTTAACATACTGGTAATGAACAATAATTCCTATGATAATTGTAACTCGTCTCTATAATATCCAAACGTATTGAGCTCTTGGAAAAATAGAGATTCTTGTTTGTTCCAAATAGGAAACTAACTGGAACTGAAGTGTAGGTTCTAATCTTTGCATGCATGTGTTATGTGTTCAGACTCTATAATCTAACCTCTTATTACGTTTCTGCATCCTCAAGAGCGGTATTCAAGAAGAAGCCCTCCGAAAAGCATTTGGTATTGTTGCATGGGATGTACAGTAGTGATTCACCAGACCATTATATTATTAACCTCCTGTGGGAGCATGTTGCCCTCCTTATTAATAACATAACGTATGTGTAATTAATGTGACACGAGTTCTTGAATGATAGCTAATACGAGCCCTTGTTGTAACCTTTCACACAGAGACCAGATGTATCTGAAAGTTGAGTATTGAATTTAAGTCCAACAGTATTGAACAACTAGTGAATAAATATGCTGCTAATGATATACTATATTTCCCTTATAATATTATTCAATTGTACTGTTGCCATCAATCAACACCAGGCCAATGCTTATCCATCTTCAATGGAATCAGCCACCCATCACTCTTAGCATTGCTGGATACATAAAGCGCCATGATAGCTCCAAATTGGTTGGATTTCTCAGCCCACTCTATTTACAATACAAAGTAACATCATACATATCAATATGTTTACAGTAACACAGAGCACGGCAGAAATGTAACAAATCTTGGCTTTCAAGCATGGCGTCCGGAGCTTGTGAATTTCCAAAGCCAGATACGAAAAGCCTTACATGAGTTTACTGGACATACTGCATTCCTACAAACGGTACTTTTATAAAAAACAACTTTTTATTGAAGGTTTCATCTTCTAATCTCTTAATCAATCTAAGTTTACAATGGTCTGTGATGATGCAGAACCATTCACGAGTTGCAAGAAGTGCTAGATAAAAACAAAGCTTCTGAAACTAAAGGTTGTAGTCCGGTTTCAAATTTACTCCTATACGGATTGCAGATATCGTGAAAATGTACTTTTCATTGAACATACTAGACCTATTTACCATTTCGAAGCTATGCAGGCATGTACTGGCAAACATTCCACTTATTATACTAGTGGAAGCTGACACCGTTTTTCACAGTTCTGGATACAGCATAATGTAGACTTGAATGCTCATTATTGATTATTATTAGTCTATACTATTATTTGTACAGGATGATCCAAACTCCATGGCAACAATCTTTGTCGAGTAAATGTTTATACTAAATACGAAAAATCCAATTCAAAAGATAAGTTACTGTGTATTTTGTTTGTTTTGTTCTTTTTATACGTGGCATGTGTTGCACCCAAAATTACATGGTTACATTCTTTATGTAGTACTAATGAAACTCAATAAAAACATCTATGGGCTTTTTCAAAAGGCATGGTCTAGTAAGTGTGATGCTATTCATTAACCAATCAATCAAGAACGTTACATATTTCCGTGATTTATACTCCAACATAGAAATTATGCAAGTTTGACAATTGGTAAGGTTCCTAAGGTATACGTTTTGTGATGCATTTTATTGTTGTTTGAGGTGAATTATTCACTTTTCAAGATTCTCTGATTTTTTTTAAAAAATCTCCCATTTCCGTCAATTTTTCCTCCAATGTCTGTAATTGCATTTATTACAACCAATGATAATTGGTTCAGCTAAGATTTGTTATATAATGAGGGGTGAAAGTAAGGCGGTACGGTCCGGTACGGCATCCCGGCAAAATAAATAGTGGGGGTACGCCATATCGGTAAAACATGAGTCTATCACAATAATTAAAACAAAATGTCAAGAAAACTGGAGGCTATTACACCACTTTTTTATCATTACTTCATATCAGATGCATGAAAAATGAGTGAATGGACTTGAAAATTGGTGGTGTAGCCCACGCTCCAAAATGCGATGAGGTTCACTGAGAACAATGACATTTTGCCAAGGCAGAAATAAGTGGCAGACACAGAGACACATGTGAACAGCAGTGGACGCATAAATTCTGGCCTAATGACAATCGCCAAATGTCATTACACCTTTTGCTGTTTTGTGTAACAGATGTCTCTTTCCATTACACCACTGTTTGGAGGCTGGAAATATGTTGCGAGTGGATGAACATGTGTGGATAGCCTAGTAAAGGAGCCCTTTGAAGTGATTATATGACAATCAGTTAAAAGCATCATGACTGGTTGTGTTTATGCCACAATAAAAGGTAATACATTTTAAAAGTTAAATGACAAATCTTTATGACTAGGCCCACAGAGATCCTATTGAATTAATAGGGATTCTATATGTAATTCTATGATTAGGCCCCTAAACATTTTTGCTGCAAGCGCGCACATATAGCAGGTCCCGTACCAGGAAGAAATTAATTATACTTTCTTCCCTGTATATAATTTTTTGTAACAGTAAGAATTCCAACATAATATGTTCTTAGAAAAATTGGCTGCTTAAAACACATACTTCAATTGACAGTAGTTTAAAGAGATATTCAGGATTTTGGCAATCAAGCCCTTTATCCACTTCCCCAGAGTCAGTTGCTAACTAGCGTTAGGCAGTGGTGTGTATTCATGGATGCCAAGGGAAGCCAGGCTTCCCCCCAAAAATGACAAAAAAAACATTTTTTTGTTTTTTGTCTCTGTTTCATAAATGTCCTTCAATTCGCAAGAGGCTGAATGTATGTCACCGGAGAAAGCATCCAAGCGAACGAAACAGCGCCCCTCTGTCTCTGTATGTGTAGCCCATCTATGCTGTCTGGTCAAAAAGAGTATGACATTGTTGCCGCCCATACCATTGAATGCAAGGGAAGCCAGCGAGCATTTGGCCTCCCTTGATATTTTTAAAATACAATAATAGCCAATCAGCGTTGAGCTAAACAGAGTGAGCTCTGCTGTGAATGGTCCTGGCGCACCAAAAAAAAGTGTTAAGGGAAGCCAGTTTGGATTTGGCTTCACACCAATCACATCACATTAGAAGCCAAACATCATTGACAGAAAACTTGAATTGTTGCATCTCATTGTGTCATTGTCCTCCGGTGGCTAGCTAGCTAGCTAGCTAGCTAGCTATAATCAGCCTTTTCCTAAATTAGCCATGGATGGAGATACGGATTTGGATTTGTGGTTTTACTTAATTCTCCGTACTGGTCAATGACTATAACGGCGATTCTGATCCAACCATAAATTCAAACATTGTGCCCCTGGCCTAAAATAACGGAAGTTGAACATGTAGCTGAAACATGCACGAGAGCATCAGCTGTTCCGGATGACTGTGTGATCACGCTCTCCGTAGCCGATGTGAGTAAGACCTTTAAACAGATCAACATTCACAAGGCCACAGGGCCAGACGGATTACCAGGACGTGTACTCCGAGCATGTGCTGACCAACTGGCAAGTGTCTTGACTGACATTTTCAACCTCTCCCTGTCTGAGTCTGTAATACCAACATGTTTCAAGCAGACCACCATAGTCCCTGTGCCCAAGAACACTAAGATAACCTGCCTAAATGACTACCGACCCGTAGCACTCACGTCTGTAGCCATGAAGTGCTTTGATAGGCTGGTCATGGCTCACATCAACACCATTATCCCAGAAACCCTAGACCCACTCCAATTTGCATACTGCCCCAACAGATCCACAGATGATGCAATCTCTATTGCGCTCCACACTGCCCTTTCACACCTGGACAAAAGGAACACCTATTTGAGAATGCTATTCATTGACTAGCTCAGCGTTCAACACCATAATGCCCTCAAAGCTCATCACTAAGCTAAGGACCCTGGGACTAAACACCTCCCTCTGAAACTGGATCCTGGACTTCCTGACGGGCCGCCCCCAGGTGGTAAGGGTAGGTAACAACACATCCGCCATGCTGATCCTCAACACGGGGGCCCCTCAGGGGTGTGTGCTCAGTCCTCTCCTGTACTCCCTGTTCACTCATGACTGCATGGCCAGGCACGACTCCAACACCATCATTAAGTTTGCAGATGACACAACAGTGGTAGGCCTGATCACCGACAACGACGAGACAGCCTATAGGGAGGAGGTCAGAGACCTGGCCGTGTGGTGCCAGGACAACAACCTCTCCCTCAACGTGATCAAAACAAAGGAGATGATTGTGGACTACAGGAAAAAGAAGAGGACCTAGCACGCCCCCATTCTCATCGACGGGGCTGTAGTGGAGCAGGCTGAGAGCTTCAAGTTCCTTGGTGTCCACATCACGAACAAATTAACATGGTCCAAGCACACCAAGACAGTTGTGAAGAGGGCACGACAAAACCTATTCCCACTAAGGAGACTGAAAATATTTGGCATGGGTCCTCAGATCCTCAAAAGGTTAGACAGCTGCACCATCGAGAGCATACTGACTGGTTGCATCACTGCCTGGTATGGCAACTGCTCGGCCGCCGACCGCAAGGCAGTACAGAGGGTAGTGCGTACGGCCCAGTACATCACTGGGGCCAAGCTTCCTGCCATCCAGGACCTCTATACCAGGCGGTGTCAGAGGAAGGCCCTACAAATTGTCAAAGACTCCAGCCACCCTAGTCATAGACTGTTCTCTCTGCTACCACACGGCAAGCGGTACCGGAGCTCCAAGTCTAGGTCCTAAACAGCTTCTACCCCCAAGCCATGAACATCTAATCAAATGGCTACCCAGACTATTTGCATTGCCCCCCAACCCCTCTTTTACGCTGCTGCTACTCACTGTTTATTATCTATGCATAGTCACTTGAATAACTCTACCTACATGTACATATTACCCCAATTACCTCGACTAACCGGTGCCCCCACACATTGACTCGGTACCGGTACCCCCTGTATATAGCCTCGCTATTGTTACTTTTACTGCTGCTCTTTAATTATTTGTTACTTGTATTTTGTATTATTTTATATTGTATTATTTGTGATTTGTTTTGGTATTCTTTCTTAAAACTGAATTGTTGGTTAAGGGCTTGTAAGTAAGCATTTCACTGTAAGGTCTACACCTGTTGTATTCGGCCGCATGTGACAAATACAATTTGATTTGATTTGATTTTATGTAGTAACGTTAGGCTAACGTTAACTAGCTGGCCTGGCACATCGTTGCCCATGAAAGGAAGTTAGGCTAGCGATCAAGCATTTTAGCCAGGTAGCCTAGGACAACAAAAACTAAAAGCGTGTATGACAGAATCATAGACCGTTTAGGCAACATGAAAGACGATGGCATTGGCATTTCTCTACAAGTAGGGTGAGTCAACATGTTTTTTCTACTTGCTCGCACACACGCACACACACACACACCCCTACAGCATGGTAACTCTGTGGTTCTAAATCAATAGTTGTTTAGTAGTCCGAAAATGGCGGAAACATTAACTTGCTTCCTTTTTTTTTAATGGGGGGTGGGGGACACCAGTGGTGAGAGCACGTGGTGCGGAGCGACCACCTGGTAGGAGCGACCTGTCAGGTAGGACGCAATCCAAGAGTCAGCAGCGCC